TGGGGACCCCCGCCTGGGGTCCACGCGCTTCCCAAGCGGGAACCCTAAGTTCCCAGAGGGCCGGAAGATTCCTTTGGACCCCGCCACCGTCTGCGGGGGTGGGGTGGGGGAAGAGTCCACCCCGGGCCTCGGGGGTGGCTTGGGAGATTCCCCCATCTGGAGAGGCGCCGTCCACTTTCCGTGATGTTGCGGGGAGGGGCCGAGGGCTCGAGGGGCGCCCTCTCTGATGTCAAGGGTGGGCGGGTGCTGCAGCTTGCAAACCCCCACCCAGGAGGGGTCGCCCCGGATCAAGGTGCAGCAGGAGCTGGTGCCTCGACTTGGTTCCCCAACTCTCCTCTTCCGAAGCCTTCCCGACCCTTGGTGAGAGGGAGAGGAACCCCGATATCTAAGCACACCTTTCCCAGTAGCTAGCTGACCAGGTTAGCACCTCTGACTGGCCTGGTGGGGGTCTTTATCCCTACCCCAGGCCAGCAGGGCATGAGAGGCCCGGATGGGCTCTTCATGACTCAGTATCCCCAGATGTGACTTCCCCACCCCCGTGACCCACAGAGCCTTCAGTTTATTCTCCTGGGAAAGGGGCTGCATGGGCCAGATGGAGAACAAGCTGGAAAAGCAGGGCTGGTTCCACCTCTTCAAGTTGCTCCCACCTTCCCCTGACTCCCTCTCCTGGAAGTGGGTCCACTCCTCACCATATCCACACGCCTTCACCCAACTGCACCAGACCTCTGCAGCCATAGGGACAATCTGGGGCCTGGGGGCTGTCTGTGGGGGAGGGGCCCAGGAAGTGGGACTGAGCTGTGCTCTCTGGGGCTTGGCTCTAGAAGAGGGGGGTGCTGGATGCCAGGCCCACCTGGGGTCCTTCAGCACCCCATCCCCCAGCCCTTCCTTCCCTGAGTGGCTGCCTGAGCTGCTGTGAGGTGAGGTGAGAAGGGAGCTGCTCCCGCAGGGTCTCCGCTGTTCCCACGGGTGCCTGCTCCCAGAGGAAGCGCCTGGGGCTGGCCTGCGCCCAGCCTCCTGCAGCTGTGTGGGCGGAAGCTGGGGGAGCCTGGGAGAAGGCAGGGGCCAGAGGGTGCCCTGCCCTGGGCCCCGGCCTAGCTCCCACACCTCCTCTGCCTGGAGCTGGGGTGCCTGGCTTTTTCACACGTGCGAGAAAGGCAGCTTGTACCCCCACATCAGTCTCAGCTGGCTTTTCTATTCAGTAGTGTCTTTTCCACTAGAAGCTATTCCTTAAAATATTGTCTAGGGTAGGGGCTGGAGCAATAGCACAGCGGGTAGGGCGTTTGCCTTGCACGCAGCCCACCCGAGTTCGATTCCCAGCATCCCATATGGTCCCCTGAGCACCGCCAGGGCTGAGTGCAGAGCCAGGAGTAACCTCTGCATCGCTGGGTGTGACCCAAAAAGAAAAAAATTCTAGGGTATATATGGCGGGGGTCATGCCCCAAGACCCCAGGTTCAGTCACCACGTGTGGTGCAAAAACCAAAAAAATTTTTTCTTCTCTAACATGACAGCTGTCGAACTTAAATTTGGGGTGCCACACCCAGTGATACTCAGGGGCCACTACTGCAGTGTTATGGGAGTCAGGTGGTGCCGATCCCTGGCATCCCATATGGCCCCCTGAGCCCACCAGGGGTGATCCCTGAGTGCAGAGTCAGGAGTAAGCCCTGAGCATTGCAAGGTGAGGCTCCAAACCATAATAAATAAATAAAATCAATAATCATGAGTTGATAGGTGCCTCAGAAAAACAGCGACAGGTCCAGCCAGCCCTGATTTCCTGGCCACAAGTGCTCAGAAGCTCAAGTAGTGGACTGATGTAAAGATGAACGTTAAAGAAATGAGCGAAGGGGAGGAGCCCAGCAAGAGGACAGGATGGGACAGTCGAGGGTATGTGCAGTGGCATCTGCCTGTGAGTCAGCAATCAGAATTACACTGTGGTCTTTGGTTGAGGTCACATATCCAGTGTTCATGCGTGAGCTACTTGTCTGCTGAGTACTTGGTGCTCTTCTGGTGCGGCCACAGTATCCCCATGGCGCTCAGCATCTTTGAGGGTACTTGAGACAGCATCCTGAAGTGAGGAGCACTGGGCAGAGCATTGGAAGATTCAGGGAAAGGATCTGAGAAGACACTTGAAAATCATGAGCTTGATCATGCTGGACCTGAAAGCCAGGGCAAAAAGATTGGTTGATGCTATTCTTCCGGCTAATACCCAGCCTCCCTGCGACGTTCGTCTAATGGCAAACTTGGAAATGGATGGCCTTTTCTTAAGTGCTATGACAGATCTATGAATCTGAGGGCTGGAAGTACAGAGAGAAGTAGGGCTGTCTAGCATGAGAAAGCAGGGATAGCTGTGCTGGGTTTTAAAGGATGAGTAGGAGTTTGGGAGAGGAAAGGGCTTTAATGGTAGCGGAAACAGCCTAAGTGGAAGCGTGAAAACAGTCTCGACGGTTTGAGGAAATGCTGGAGCCGGAGTCATAGGGGGGCCAGAGGGCCACATTCACCCACAGTCTTGAGGTCCCATCTTTTTTTGGGGGGTCACACCCGGCAATGCACAGGGGTTACGCCTGGCTCTGCACTGAGGAGTTACTCCTGGTGGTGCTCAGGGGACCACAGGGGACCACATGGGATGCTGGGAATCGAACCCAGGTCGGCCACGTGCAAGGCAAACGCCCTACCTGCTGTGCTATCTCTCAGAACAAAGGTGCCCGTCTGCTTTTGGCTATGGATATGGCCAGGCTGGCCAGGACTTGGGCTTTCGGGGGGACCCTTTCCAGTGGGTCAGGCTGGTGCTGCAGCCGCTCTCCTGAGCAAATCTGGCCTCTGCCCCAGCTCAAGCTGGGACCTTAGGACTGTGGGTGAACTTGGCCCTCTGGTCTCCCCTGTGACCGCGGCTCCTGCATTTCCTCAAACTCTCGAGACTGTTTTCATGCTTCTGCTTTTGCTGTTTCCATTAAAGCCCTTTCCTCTCCCAAACTCCTACTCATCCTTCAGTGCCGGGAGCACAGCCACAACCACAGCCAACAGAAGACCCCACAGGGGCCCGTGTGGGCTGGAGAAGCGACTGGGCCACATTTAGGCCAGACTTGGTGCCCAGGTGGTAGGCACGTGCAGGCCCAGTCAGGGGCAGAGGGAAGCTGGGGGTGGACGATGGCCCTTGAGTACCCCCCATCCCACCCTTTTCAGCATCTTGTCTCCTTAATGCCCCTTGGCCATCTGCCTGGCCCTGATGGGGTGTGGCTGGTCACCTCAGCAGGAACTCCACATATTCAAACCAGGAAATGAGCAGAGCTCAGAGTACCCTAAGTTGAGTGCCCTGCCTCTCTCAGTCATGGGGCTGGTCCACTGGCCACTAAGCTCGAGAAAGCTGGTCCAGTCCATCTCGCTCAGGTGCTGAGACTGGGGTGACAGCACACAGGGAGTCTTAGAGTGCCCTTGAGTCCACTGCCTGACTTGAGGGAGGACTCAGAAGGGGACAGGCATTGGACAGACAAGACACACGCGCTCACACACACACGCACACACACCAGGGCAGGGGCTGATGGTCTGGAACTGTCTTCCCAAAGTGAGTAATATTCCCTCTGGGGCACCAGGAACACCCGGGGTGTAGGCTGGAGGGCAGTTGTGGGCTCTATAGGAGACAGACTTCCATGGGATCCTTTCTTATTTTGAAAACAGCAGGCAGATTAGACAAATTTGGGGACTTCTGGACTCGGTGCCCTCCAGGAGTCTCAGATCAACTGGCAAATGTTCCAGCGTGTTGAGGAAGACCGCAGACAGCAGGGCTATGGGCTGTCAGGTGCTCCGAGGGTTTGTCTGAGAGAGTTAGTTGGACGGGGATGGAGAGTTAGGTCAGGGGTCAAGGCTCTTGCCATGCATACAGCTGACCCAGGTTTGATCCCTCGCACCCCATAATGGTCACCTGAACCCCACCAGGAGTGATCCCTGAGCAGAGAGCCAGAAGTATGCCCTGGGAACCGTTAGGTGTGGCCCCAAACCAAACAAAAACCAACTCCAGAATCCAATTTGGCCCCTACTAGCCTTCAGGTTGGGGGCCCTGCGAGGCAGCTGGAGGCTCCTGAGGCCCGGTGCCAGCCTACTTTGGTCAAGGACAGGGCAGAGGGAGGCACTGTTGGGCAAAGGGCGGCCCTTTACTCTAAGGACAGATTTTTATAGCGGGATAATAAGGAATCGCTTTCCTTATTCTGCCCGGTAAGGGGGAATTAGAGGTTTCTTAGGTGGAACATTTCACACCTGAGCAGTTCCACAATCGGAGTGGTGAATCTATTATTGGGGGGAGAGGGGGCTAGGGAAGAGCTGGTTCTCTTAGGGGGTATTTCTGCTGGGGGCCATTCCCACCCAGGCTGGGACCATTCAGTGCTAGGATGGAACCCTCATAGAGCCTTTGAGCTGTGACCCAGCCCCTGAATCCAGTGATTTTTATGAGTTCAGAGGTGGTGGAACCATGAGGTTCCCACCCACAGTCATGGTCACATCCGGGGAGAGCTGAAGCCTCCACCAGCCTCCTGCCCTAATAGAATCAAGTGAGGAAGGAGTCTGGGGCATGAAGAGAAAGGGGGGGACTTGCAAGAACTCTCCAGACTGGTGGCACGGAGGCACCATCTCCCTCTCTGGTGGGGTGCCGAGCACCTGGGGTGACCCCTATGTTCTCGACCTATGCAGGAGTGGGCTGCTGCACCTTGATCTTAAGGAACCCCTTCCTAGTCCCATCCTGATCTGTCCCTGCTGTCCCCTCAGCCTACCCCTTTGCCAGGGGCAGGGCTCCTGGCAGTTGTGATGCCTCTAACTGACACTTTCTTCCCAGCAGACATCCCAGATCCTGGTGCCGGATCTCTTCTGTGGAGCCTGGGGGACTGCCCAGTCCAGTGACCTTCGCCTCTTTGGACCCTGGTTAATCTTTGCCAAAGTCGCTGTGGGCCTCTGACTCCTCCTCCTCCCAGGGATATAAGTCTGCCCCGAGCTGCCCAGTTCCCCGCTGCCGCGCCTCCCGGCTGTCCCCCTGCCCTCACCATGGCTGGCGGCTTCCTAATTTCCAAGCCCGTGGGCATCCTGTGCATCATCCTGGGCGTGGGGGCCGTGAGCACCATCATCGCTTTGTCCGTGGTGTACTCGCAGGAGAAGAGCAAGAATGCCGAGAGCCCTCCTGTCCCCACCCCGCCCCCTGCCACCACCACCCCGGACCCAAGCCTGCCTTGGAACCAGTACCGCCTGCCCAAGACGCTGATCCCACACTCCTACAAAGTGTCGCTGAGACCCTTCCTGAGCCCCAACAGCCAGGGTCTCTATGTCTTTCACGGCAGCAGCACCGTCCGCTTCGAGTGCCAGGCTGCCACCAATGTGGTCATCATCCACAGCAAGAAGCTCAACTACACCGCAGATCCTGTGCTGCGGTCGGTGGACGGCTCCCAGGCCCCTGAAATCAGCAGATGGGAGTTGGTCAAGTTGACCGAGTACCTGGTGCTTCATCTCAAGAACCAGCTCCAGCCCGGCAAGTTCTACGAGATGGACACTCGGTTTGTGGGTGAGCTGGCTGACGACCTGGCTGGCTTCTACCGCAGCGAGTACATGGACGGAGGCGTCAAGAAGTGAGTAGGGGCTGGGGAGACGCGGTGCCTTGGAATCCTCTGAAATGCTTTTGTTTCTTTGTTTTGGGCCACACCCGGCAGTGCCCAGAACTTAATCCTGGCTCTGTGCTCAGGGATCCTCCCGTGGGGCTTGGGGGACCATATGGGGCGCTGGGGATCAAAGTTACGTAGGTAGGCGCTCTGCCCACTGTACTATCTCTCTGGCACCTCATTCTGGAGCCCTTGACTGTCCTCCCCCTCCATCCATGAAAGACGACCAGCTTTTCTTCCCCGTGTTAGGGAGTCAGGGTTACGGTTAGAAGCACCATTGCACAGCTGGGGAAACTGAGGCTCAGTGAAGAATCTGACCAGCACTTGGCCCTCACTCCACACTCTCGGCATCTTGGACCCCTTGAGGCTGCAAGTGTCACCCTGCAGTATGCAGGCACATGGCACGAAATGTCCTCTAACTCCTGGTTTGGGGGGAAAGGGGGCTGGAGTGAGGGTACATTGGGTAGGGCACTTCCCTTGGACCCAGGTTTGGATCTCCTGCGTCCCATACAGCCTCCCAGGCTCTGCCAGGCCAGGAGTGATTCCTGAGGCCTGCTGGGTGTGGCCCGAAAACAAAACCAAAAAATAAAAGAATACCAAAACTTAACTCCTGGTTTGGGTAGGGTGGTGGCCACGACCCAGATGCAGGCTGCCGATGCCCGGAAATCCTTCCCATGCTTTGACGAGCCAGCCATGAAGGCCATGTTCAACATCACCCTCATTCACCCCAACAACCTCACAGCTCTGTCCAACATGATGCCTAAAGGTGAGCGGCGCCAAGGGGCCCTGGAGCAGACCTGAGGCCCGAGGGAAGTCGCCAGCACCCCAGGGCTGGGACTGGGACGTGGGGCGCACCAAAACCTCCCTGAATTCCTGTGCCCAGATACCAGGCCATACCATGAAGACACCAATTGGAATATCACCGAGTTCCAGAGCACCCCCGTAATGTCCACGTACCTGCTGGCCTACATTGTCAGCGAATTCGATAAAGTGGAAGCTAAGTCATCAGGTGGAGTCCAGGTAGGGAGCTAGACGCCCCCCATCCCCTACCCGCAACTGCTTCCCTAGACCCCACGCCCACCACCAACTGCTTCCCTGGACATTGTTGCAGGACTCTGCGGGCTCCTCCCTGTGGGCTGAGGGTTCAAATGCAGAACAAATGCTCTAAAGTTCCCTGACCCTCTGTCTCTGCATCTCGAAAATGGGTGTGTGCAATACACACATGAGGCAACTGTGACTTGCTGTGTCCTAGGGGACCCCACCCAGCTCTGTCCACTGCTGGCCGCACCCTACTCCTACTCCTTCAGTACCCCGTCTTCCCATCTCTTCCCAGATCCGGATATGGGGCAGACCCAGCGCAATCAAGGCGGGACATGGCAATTACGCCCTTAATGTCACAGGCCCCATCCTGGACTTTTTTGCCAAACATTATAGTACTTCCTATCCACTGAGCAAATCCGGTGAGTAAGGTGCCCTGGGGAGGTGGCACACGGCCAGGCGGGTAGGGTGGCACCACCCGCGAGGGACCCTCCTACCAACTGCCTGACCCCCACGCAGACCAGATCGCCCTGCCTGACTTCAACGCTGGCGCCATGGAGAACTGGGGACTGGTGACCTACCGGGAGAACTCGCTGCTGTTCGACCCAGTGACCTCCTCCATCGGCAACAAGGAGCGGGTGGTCACCGTGATCGGCCACGAGCTGGCCCACCAGGTAGCCCCAGGCCTGAGGTGGGGAGAGAGGAAAAGTCACGGGGCGGGGCCTCGGCTCCTGGGTGACCCCTGGCGGCCGTGCTGACTCTGACACCCACAGTGGTTCGGGAACCTGGTGACCGTGGCCTGGTGGAACGACCTGTGGCTGAACGAGGGCTTTGCCTCCTACGTCGAGTACCTGGGTGCTAACGATGCGGAGCCCACGTGGAATCTGGTGAGCCCGCTGCGGGCCCGTGGGGGGCGGAGTGCCTGGTCAGGGCACCCTCCCTCCTCCCGGTTTTTGCTGATGGTCGCGGCCTTTGCAGAAAGACCTGATGGTGCCCAACGAGCTGTACCGGGTGATGGCCGTGGACGCGCTGGCCTCCTCCCACCCACTGTCCACCCCTGCGGATGAGGTCAAAACGCCCGCACAGATCAGTGAGCTCTTCGACTCCATCTCCTACAGCAAGGTGTGCCCACCTCCAGGGCCGGGGCATGGAGGGGGGGTGGCCGCCCCTGTACCTTTCTGAGACCCTCCCCCACCCCTCCCCCAGGGAGCCTCGGTCCTCAGGATGCTGTCCACCTTTCTGACGGAGGACATTTTCAAGGAGGGCCTGGCTGTGAGTACCCAGGGCCAGCCGCAGAGGGGCGGGTCTACAGGGGGGCTCCCCCACCCCGAACTGGATCCTCACTTGCGTGTCTTTCCAGTCTTACCTCCACGCCTTCGCGTACAGCAACACCGTCTACCAGGATCTGTGGGATCATCTGCAGCAGGTTGGTAACAGCCAGGCCCCCTAAAATAGTTCTCTTGGGGCCTGGAGGGCCCTCAAGTCTCCAGTCCAACCATGGGCCCAGCTCCTGCTCATTATCTGAGCATGTCACTGGACCTTTGGCTTATCAGTGCCCTTGGTTCCCCCTCACACACGCACGCGCGCACACACACACACACACACACACACAACTGCCCACAGACTGCCTATGTGTGCCTCAGTTTCCCCCTTCCCTCTAAAGCCAAATGAACCTTCTTAACCCTTTTCCTCTCAGCCCCCACCTCCCATCTGATACTCATTTTTTTCTTTTTGGGTCGCACCCAGCAATGCTCAGGGATTCCTCCTGGCTCTGCACTCAGGAATTACTCTTGGTGGTGTTGGGGGACCATACGGGATGCCAGGAATCGAACCTGGGTCTGCTGCATGCAAGGCAAACTCCCTACCCGTTGTACTATTGCTCCGTCCGGCCCCCTCCTAGTTCTTTTACAGAGGCCACACCCCATGGTGCTGAGGGGCTACTTACTTCCAGTGTTGAGGCTTTCTCTTGGCAGTGCGTGTGGGATCATGTGATGCCAGGGATCGAACCAGAGTCCCACACACAAAACAAGGCCCTTGGAGCCTTCTCTGAGAGCCCCTGTTTTAGTTCAATTAGGAACTGACCCTGGGGGACTATTAGCAAAGTAGTTACAAAAGCCAGGTCCATAGTACATGGGTGAAGATAAATGGCCCTTGGGTGAGGGTGAGGGGCTTGGCCTCTGCGTGATCCCTGAGCACCACAGGGTGTGCATCCACCAAACACTTCAGAGGACAGTAATTCCACGGCCGAGCTCCTAAAAGAGCACCCCTGAGACAGTGCCAGGACTCACTGGTGGGGGTGAGTGGGGCTCCTGAGTGTCCCTCTGACCCCGTTGTCCTCCCACAGGCTGTGGATAAGCACAAGTATGTACTCCCCAGCACCGTGAAAGACATCATGGACCGCTGGATCCTGCAGATGGGCTTCCCCGTCATCACTGTGGACACTACCACTGGAAGCATCTCTCAGAAACACTTCCTTCTTGACCCCGACTCCAATGTCACCCGCCCCTCCCCGTTCGAGTGAGCAGCTTGAACAGGGGGTGGGGGGAGTCCCAGCCTCACAGGCCAGCCATGATGCTCCCTGCCCGGTATCTGGGGCCAGGCAGGGCAGAAGCTGGTCCCCTCACCTCCCGGTCTCCCTGTGTCTTGCAGGTATTTATGGATTGTTCCCATCACGTCTATGAAAAAGGGTGTGTCACAGAACCATTACTGGATGGAGGACGTTAAAACTGGTAATGCAGCCTTGTCCTAGTGGGTGGGCTCCCTACTCTCCCAGTTGCCCCTTGCACCCTAGTTCACCTTCTGGTGCTCACATCAGGCCTCGGTCATTTCCTTGGACAAAGGAGCCCACTTCTTTATTCTCATCTCTGCTTTGCTCTTGTTTTGCTGGGGGGCCTTAGGGCGAATCACTGTCCTTCTCTGTTCTCCACATCCTCTGTGGAGCTAAGAACACTTGACCCTTTGTGCTCTGTGAGAAAAAAGGAAAATATCTGCCCAAAACATTGGTAGTTGTGCCTGGCTAGGTCCTAGCAGTGCTGCTCTGCTAGGGATGGGCCTCCCAGAGCAGGGCAGGAGCAGAGAATAAGCGGAGTTGAGGAGGGCTTTCTGGAGGAGGTGAGCTGCATCTCAGGAACAGGGTCGGAGTTCGCCAGGTGAGCGCGGCAGGGAAATATTCCAGGCAGCGGAAGCCACAAGGGTGAGGTGGGAGAAAAGCTGAGGACCGTGCGTGTAATCAAAGCCCAGCAAACGCTTCCTCGCTGCTGAGGCCCATGGTCATGTCCATGAGCAACTGGAAGGAGCCCTCTGGTGGCTGTGAGGACACAGCCCAGAGGGAGTGATGAGCTGGAGCCGAGGTGAATCCAGGTGGCCTGAGGTTGGAGGCATCTTGTTTGTTTTTGAGCCATACCATGCAGTGCTCAGAGCTTACTCCTGGACTCACTCTTGGCAGGGTGCAGGGGGACCCTATGGGGTACCAGGAACCCGGGTCAAATGCCCTCCCCACTCTTCTGTCACTCCAGCTCCTGGATGGAGGTGTCCTAGCTACTGTCACTGACTAGCCATAGCCTAGGAGGTGGCGTGTGGTCCATCTTGAGATGACAAGTCAGACAGAGGCCAAAATTTGGTCTGTAGCTTAGTCCTATGCCCTAGCACCTTCACTCTTTTTGGGGGTGCCACACCTGGTAGTGCTGAGGGCTCTGCTCAGGGATCACTCCTGGTGGGGCTCAAGAGACCATGTATGATGATGGGGATCGAACCTGGGTCAGCCACACGCAAGCAAATGTCCTCCCTGCTGTGCTGTCACTCTGGCCCCCTTAGCATCATCACCCGGTGGTATGAGGGCAGCTCCCAGGAGGCCTGGGTACAGGAGTGTCAGGGGTGAGCTTGCAGTGCTCTGAGAGCCACAGCCCATTTCTCCCCCGCTCCCCACAGCCCAGACTGATCTGTTCAAAATGAACAACGACGAATGGCTCCTTCTGAACCTCGACGTGACGGGCTACTTCCAGGTCAATTATGATGAAGCCAATTGGAAGAAGCTTCAGAACCAGCTGACGAGTGATCTATCAGTGGGTGTCTTCCAGAGCCCCCCATAATCCCCTGCGGGCCCCAGCATGGCACCCCATTTCTGGCCTGAGGTCACACATCTGTTCGGTTCCAGGTCATCCCAGTGATCAATCGTGCCCAGATCATCCACGATGCTTTCACCCTGTCCAAGTGAGTGGCCCCCTGCAGCTGCAGCTGCCCTCCCTGGGACCCCACACACAAGGAACGTGAGACCCAAGCTTGGAGGCCCTGGCATTGAGGCCCATAACAGCCAGACACGGGTCTGTTCAATGGAAACCCATTGTGTAGAAGTGGTAGGGGTGCCAGATGGTTGCGGGGTGGGGGGGGTTGTTGGGATTGATCACATGCAAGGCAAACACCCTCCCCACTGTGATATCATTCTGGCCCCTGACAAAGGGAATGTGAGTGTTAGGGTGTGGGCAGGGCCTGTGTCAGCCTAATTTGGTTCCAACCACTAGCCCTGGTGACCTTGACCCCCAGTGTCTCCTGGACTGACTCGAGGATCTAGGACCTTTGTCTCCAGGAGGATCTGGACAGGGAGAGGATGCCTACATGGCTCTTTCTGTTTGTCCCCAGCGCTGGGATAGTCTCCGTGACGCTGGCCCTGGACAACACCATGTTTCTGAACAAGGACATCGAGTACATGCCCTGGCAGGCCGCCATCGACAGTCTGAGCTACTACAAGCTCATGTTCGACCGCTCCAACGACGTCTACGTACCCATGAAGGTGCAGGGACTGGGTGGGAGGGCCTGGTTCTTGGGGTTACTGCCCGAGGAGTGAGCCCCAGCCCACACTGCCAGTCATGCAGGAGAGTACCAAGGTGACAGGCTGGCCAAGGAGGGACACTGGCTTCTAGCTGCGTTGGCAGCGTTGGGCAACTTTCAGAGGCACAGAAAGCTAGGGTTGGGGGGCAGGGGAGGCTTGTCTGAGACCAGCTGCAACTCCACGCTGTCCTATTCTGCCCTTGAATGGTTCTGAGCAGCTGGTAGCCTAAGAATGACAGTAATAATACAATACCAATGGGGACTAGGGGGACGTCACAGGTGGGAACCTGGGTTCAGTCCAAGCCCTGCATAGCCCCCCAAGACTGCCCCCATCTCCCCCTCAGGAGCCTCTGTAGGAGAAAGGGGGCAGGCCTCCCACTGCTACCACCTTTCCAGAAGCTTCTGGGTTCTGCTCACAAACTCAGGAGGGATGTTGGGGGCTTTGTGTGGGCTCCCGCGTGCTCCTTTCACCTTGAGAATGGCTCCTGTTTCCTTTCCCCAGAACTACCTGAAGAAGCAGGTCACACATCTCTTCAATCATTTCAAAAATGTCACCAATAACTGGACACTGCGTCCACAGACACTCATGGACCAGTGAGTACTCCAGTCCCGGAGCTGGGGTCACAGGGTCCAGCCCAGCGCCTGGCAGGGAGGGTCTGCCTGGGGATCCCTGAACTACTCAGAGGCCAGAGAAGCTCAGGCCTGAGGCATGAAGCAATCGCGGGGACCCCATTGGTGTGGGTGGGCTGCAGGCTGGGCTGAATTGTCCACTGGGGGCAGGTACAATGAGGTGAACGCCATCAGCACCGCCTGCTCCAATGGGCTTGAGGATTGTCACACATTCGTCACGGAACTTTACAAACGGTGGATGCAAAATCCCACAGACAACAGGTGAGTGTCCCCGCCCCGTCCTCCCTTCCATCCTCCTCGGCCCCTGCAGCCCAACCCCTCCGCTGATGAGATCCTGTCCCCCAGGATCATCCACCCCAACCTGCGCTCAGCTGTCTATTGCAACGCCATCGCCCTGGGTGGTGACGAGGAGTGGGAGTTCGCCTGGAAACAGTTCCGTAATGCCACCGTGGTAAACGAGGCTGACAAGCTCCGCGCCGCCCTGGCCTGCAGCACCAACATCGCCACTCTTGAAAGGTGACAGCCAGCCACCATGCTGGACTTTGTGGGGACCCTGGAGCACTGTGCATGTCCCTACTTCCCAGATAAGGCCCTGGAGGGGCCAGAACCATAGTACAGTGGGCAGGGCATGTGCCTGGCACCCCCATAGGTGCCAGGGGTGATGCCTGAGAACACTCAGGATAAGCACTGAGCACATCTGGGTGTGCAATCCGCCGACATTCCCCCCCCCACACACACACAGACAAATAAATGAGACCCTTGAGACTCAGAGAAGCCAGGCTATTTGCCCAAGTGCCAGGGAGGCAAGACTGGACCCCCTCAACCTGAACCCCACCCTTCCCTCTTCCTCTCCATCAGCAGATGTGTAATGGGAGTTCCAGGGAAACCCAATTTAGGGCACTCAGTGTCATCAACAAGAGAGGGTAGAACATCAAGAGATTTAAGGGACACAGGAGTATAGGGTAGGGATTCCTTTGCCATCCAGCCTTCTGGCACCACACACCCATAGCTTTGAGGAGTGGCAGTTGAAGTCACACCCCACTCTCACAGGTACCTGAACTACGCCCTAGACCCCAACTACATCCGGAAGCAGGACGCCACCTCCACCATTAGCAGCATTGCCAGCAACGTCCAGGGGCAGACTCTGACCTGGATGTTCGTGAAATTCCACTGGAAGAAGCTGTTCAATGAGTGAGTCTGCCCAGCATGGGTGCAGGGTGGGGAAGGCAGGGACGGTGTGGCCAACTTGGGGGGGTCTTCTCCGGGGAGGGGCTACCTGTCTACTTTCACCCCGGTCCGTCATAGAGCCTGGCAATCACGGGGCAGAGCTGCTTGCACCCTTGGGACTTGCGCCCATCTCACTGTGCACCTAAGCACTGAGCACTGAGTCCATTTCATTCTGCAGCTTTGGCGGCGGCTCCTTCTCCTTCTCCAACCTCATCCAGGCGGTGACTCGGCGTTTCAACACGGAGTATGATCTGCAGCAGGTGAGCAGCAGGGTCCCTGGCACCTGCCACTCCACCCAAGGTCGTCCGTGGGGGCCCTGGGCTCACTGTGCCAGGCCTTCCTCCGCAGGGAAGCTTTGGTTTGGGTTAGGGGGGCCACCAGTCTTAAGCCTGCTGGTGACAAGGACCCACCCTCTGGGGTCCCTAACCTGGGGGTGCAGGCAGCTTCTCTGCGTCCCGGTTAGAGGTTAGAGGCTGACGTCCCTCCTCCCGCAGCTGGAGGAATTCAAGAAGGAGAACATGGACACGGGCTTCGGCTCGGCCACGCGGGCGCTGGAGCAGGCCCTGGAGAAGACGAAGGCCAACATCAAGTGGGTGAACAAGAACAAGGTGGCTATCAAGGACTGGTTCACAGCACACCAGTGATGGGCCTGACCCAGTCACCAGGCCATCCGTGTCAGCCTGGTCCCCAGAACGCGCTCCAGCCACCTCACTCCAAAGACAAGTTCTGGTCCAGTCTCCCCTGCGGAGGGGCCATGTCACATTCTCACTCTCACACTGCTGATCTCAGGGAACCCCACCCAGCCCCAGGCCCCCAGGGACAGCCTCCAGGAAGATGATGTCCCTTGAGGGCTTGTTGCCCCTCCATAACACGACAAACCCCAACAAACCCACAGGACCAGATCTGTATTTTTTTTTTCTAAGAGAAAATGTAAATAAAGAATTTCTAGAGGAGTTTCTTTTTTCTTTTTTGGGGGGAGTAAAGGGCCACCCCAGTGGTGCTCAGGGTTACTCCTGGCTCTGCACTCAGGAATCACTCCTGATGGTGCTCGGGGGACCCTATGGGATGCTGGGGATCAAACTCGGGTCACCTGCCTGCAAGGCAAGTGCCTTCCCACTGCCTTTTCTCTCCAGGCTCTATGTCTCTGGCTCGTTACAGATGGTGTGCCCAGTGGGGAAGCCTGGGGTGGCGGTCCAGGGAGCACTGAGGGGAGAAGCAGTGGCCCAGGGCTCCACAGCAGGAGGCCTGAGTTCATCTAAGTCACTGGAGATGCTGCTTCCCACAGAGGATGGGACACAGACAGGCACGCACCCATCCAGACAGACCACCAGCAGGATACGTCTAGGGTCCCACGTGTGCCGCAGCCCTCACTGCAGGAGCCTGGTGCTGGGGGAAAGGGTCACCACACAGGGAGGCAGAGCTGCCCTCCCACCTACCTGTGCTTCGTGGCTACAAGTACATGTCTGCAATTCTAGTTACCTAGAGGTTTGCGACCAAAACGGGCACTGAGAGTGAGAGCACAGCCTGGCCAGGCTCCTACTTTGAGGCTTCTAGAGAGTGGAGGGGTGCTAAGGGAGACTCCCAGGGCTCCTGAGCTGGACTGTGGAAAGGCCTCCGCATGTCAGCCTCAAGCCCAGCTGGGGGTGAGAGGACGCAGAGGGTGGTCTCAGCCACAAGGCCCCTTAGGGGGTCCCCTGTCCTGATATCCACTGCTGGCAGTGAACCAAGGGTCCGTACCCAGCTCGACCAGGGTCTGGAATTAGGGACCCAGAATCGGCTGCTGCCATTCAGCAGTGACGATTTCAGGGGGCCTGGTCTGTGCCATCTCCCCAGCACCTCCCTGCCGCCACTGCCAGTTTCCAGGGGAGCTGGTGTGTCACCTGTCATGTCTGCACAGGAAGGCCCCCCTCCCCCACGCAGCCCCACTGCCAAATGCAGATCAAAGGACAGGGTGGGGATGGCTGCAGCCTGGGTCCCTCCACCTACTGCTGGTCCCCCCAAAGCAGCCCCTCTGGGCCAGCCCTTCCTGTTGCTGCTACCCAGCAGCTGTGGCTGGCACTTGAGCTTCTGGGCCCCTCTGTCTTGGGAAAGGAGCCAGCAGGGAGCAGAGGCCCGCCTGGCACTGGGCTGAGGTTTTATGCGCATTCTCTCTGCATTCTCTCTCTGCATTCTCGCTCAGTTCCTTCCCACCTTGGGGTGGGGTGGGGGGAGCAGGTCTCAGCTCCCATGTTATCTGGCAGTTGGCAGATAGGGAGGGAGGCCGGCGGGTGCCTCAGGGCCCTCAGGCCTCCAACTGGATGTGGGCCTATGCCATCTGGCCTTTAGGTCCTGCTGACAGTGACCACAGGGCCTTCACAGGGACCCCATCTGGACTCAAGGCATTGAGAAGGCCAGCACTGGTTCCGGATCTAGGGTGATGCTATGAAGGGAGTCGGAAAGGGAAGCATCCTAACAGCTTCTCTGCCCCAACCCTGGCTTTGAGGGTTCTATGGCAGGTACCACTGAATGGGTTTTGGGGGGCATTCATTGAAGTGGCTTCTACTCTGCCGGGGTCCGCCTCACACACTTGAAGGTGGCTGAATCATTACAAGTTATTAAATTTTTGTTTTTATTTTGCTTTTTGGGTCACATCCAGTGTTGCACAAGGGTTACTCCTGGCTTATGCACTCAGGAATTACTCCAGGCGGTACTTGGGGGACCAGATGGGATGCTGGAATTGAACCCAGGTCGGCCGTTTGCAAAGCAAACACCCTGCCCACTGTGCTATCACTCCAGCCCCTAAATTTTTGTTTGTTCTGCGGCTCAGGGTTACTCTTGCCTCTGTGCTCAGGGATCACTCACGGTGGTGCTCAGGGAACCCTATGGGATGCTGGGGATCGAACCAGGTTGGCTGTGCGCAAGGCAAACGCTCTCCCTGCTGTCCTATTGCTTAGGTCCCAAATTATTAAATTATTAAAGGTAGGAGGGAGAAGCACCCAGGGCAGGGTGCCCAGATTGGCTCTGTGTCGCCATAGTCTGCTCCCCATCCCCCTTTCTTGTGGCTGACAGGGGATACCCAGGCTCAGAACCCACTTCTAGTCAGAGGGAGATGTGGAATGAGGTTGGGAGAGGGAGGGACTTGCCTGTTGTCGTGGCAGTGGGGCAGGGGACAGGCAGGAGGGAGACTAGCGCAGTGGGAGGTCGGTCAAGCTGCAGGTTAGGGTCCACATGCCCGCCCAAGTCATCCCCCTTGCCCCCCTCCCCGCACCTCCCGGCCAGGACTAGATTTGGGGAGTGGAGAGGATGACCCAGACAAGATGGAAATATGTTTCCGTTCTCAGGGGCAATAAAGGCCTAGGCTGGAGCCAGCAAGCAACACAGATGAGACCCAATGTTTTTTTTTTGTTGTTGTTTGTTTGTTTTTAAGAGGTAAAAAAAATGTAAGCATAGAAGATCTTGAACACAGTCGCCAAGCAGAAGAGGGTTTGGCTGTACCCACCAGCAAGTCTGAGCCAGCCTCCAGAATCTAACTGCATTCTGGAGGCTGAGCCCCCTGCCAACATTCTCAGGGGGATGCCGAGAAGTGGAAGGCATGGTCCAGCCTCCACTCCAGCCAGGAGGTCATCCCACCCCCCCCACACTGCCTCCAACAATAATCACAGCTGGACAGCGGGGGGCCCCAGTGAAAGGCTGAGTCACACATGAGCACCCCCTCCCCAAGCCTTCTCCCTGCTGGAAAGCAGGCAGAAGCCCTTCAGTAGAAGATGCCCAGTTGGGTCCCCTCCAAATCTTCTGGCCAAAGTTCAGGGCGGCCACTGAGTAGCAGGCCGGAGCTCTGGGGCTGGCTTTGGTCCCCAAGCAGGAAGGTGGGGCCAGGTCCCTGGTCCACTTCAGCTCTGGGGTCCCAGCAGTGCCACTCGGGTGGGACCTCCTCGAAGCTCTGGCATGCCATTCGGGGCCGCAGGGGAGACGTTTCGGGCAGCAGAGAGAGCTCCAGAGAAACAGGAATATCCTGGGAAGAGACAGAAGGTGTGGGTGAGTGGACCTGAACCCCACAATCTGGAAGGTGGATACAGCAAGGCTCCCGAGACACACAGTTGGTGCCTACCCCACAGTGCTCCTCACCAGCTCCGGGAAACCATGCTCCCGCCAGCTCAGCTGTCCATAAATACCAACCGCTCAGCGCGGCCGCAGAATGGAACGAGCTAATACACTTGAGTGTTCAATACACTTAGGGCATCAGTGGGCTCTGCCTGTGCATATGTGTCATGTGTGCGTGTATGCGTGTGCATGCGTGTGCGCACACACTCCAGGAATCAAAACTCGGGGTCCCATAACCGCAAGGCAAGCGACAACGCAGTCCTGATATGCTTTTTAATTTGTCTGTTTGGGGCCACATCTTGGAGGACCATGTGGGGTCTGCAGAAAATGGAACCCTGGGTTCCTGCATATAAAGCATCTCTCTGGTCCTTTTGAAATGTAAAGCTTGGGGACCTGAGAGATAGTACCAGGGGTTCCGAAATAGACTTGCAGCTGACCCAGATTTGATTTTCAGCCTCCCGAGCCGAACCAGAAATGATCCCTGTGCACAGAACCAGGAGGAGGCTGTGGGCAGTGAGGGGTGTGACTCAAAAACAAAATCAAACCCCGACACCAAAGCAAACAACAGCAAAACGCGAGAAGCTTCTGGGCCAGAGAGTTGGTACAGTGAGGCACCACCCGATTCCGTTCCAGCATTGTGTGGGGTCCCCGGCACCTCCCAGGGGTCACTCCTGAGCACGGGCCGCGTGTGCCCCAACTCAGCACTCTAGACACCACCCCAAACACAGGCCATGAAGGTCACTAGCTCCAGCCTCCCCTTGGCAGGCAGAAAGCGCCGGCTCTATGCTGCGGACTTCCCTGCTCCCGTTCCTGACCGTGGCCCCCGATGTCCCTTCGGGGCAGGGTTGGAGGAGCGTCCCGACCCTGCAAAACCCTCCCGAGCAACGGGGCGTGCACCAGCCCCCGCAGCCCATCGGAGAAGCCGGGTCCAAACCACTGGAGCTTCTTCCAGCCGGCCCGCCTCCCACCTCCCGTCGGAGCCTGCCCGCACCACCGTACCTGGTACGTGGAGGCCAGTTCCAGGGACGCGGGGGGTGGCGTCCAGGGGACGGCCTGGTTCCCGGGCTCAGGGGAGGGCCGCGTCCCCGCGCACGCTTGGGGCAGTGTCCAAAGGGCGGTGTCGCGGGGCAGGTGTGGGGGCGACCGCACCGCGGGGCCGTACGGGGGCGTCACCCAGGGATTCGCGTCGGGCGCCCCGCATCCCGGACCTTGGGGGCGCGCCAGGGCCCGCGGGCCGGCGGCCGGACACTCCCAGGCGGCCCGGGCGGGGACGTCGGGGCACAGCGGGCAGCCCCCGGGGCTGGCCCGCCGCCGCCGCCGCCGCTGCTGCTGCTGCTGCCGCTGCCGCTGCTGCAGCCGCGCGTCGCCCAGGCCCAGCAGGGCCGACAGGTGGCCGATGTAGCGGATGGCCAGGCGCAGCGTCTCGATCTTGGTGAGGCTCCGGCCGGCGGGCGCCACGGACGGCGGCAAGAAGCGGCGCAGCCGGAGCAGCGCGCGGGCCAGCGTGCGCATGCGCAGCTTCTCGCGCTCGCTGGCGCTGCGCCTCTGGCCGCCGCGGGGCGCGGGGCGCGCTCGGCCCGGGGCCGCCGGGGCGCGGGGGCACGACGAGCCCGACGACTCGGAGGACGAGGAGGCGGGGGACGCGGAGTCGGCGTGGCCGGCCCAGCTCCAGCCCGGCGGGAGCGCCCAGGGGTCCCGGCGGAGGGGCGACTGGGCCATGGGCGGCGGGTGCTCGGGACGCGGGACCGGGCGCGCCTCGCGCGGGGCTTTTATCGGCGCCCGAGGTGCGAGGGGGCCCCCCGCCGGGCCTCGGAGGTGTCAAAGCCTACAGAACCCGGGAAGGGCCGGGCGGGGGGCCCCTGGGAAAGCGGGCCCATTTGCGGAGGTGTGGATTCTGACCCCTCGGGCCCTAATGGACGCCCCCGCAGCCCGGGAAGCGTGGGAGGGACATTCGCATCTGGACGAGCCGGGAAGCTGCTCGCCGGCTCCCGCGTGCTGTGGGAGGGAGGGGCTCCCGAGCCCCCGGCTACTGCCGCGCTGGGGGTGCCCCGGCGACCCTCGAGTCACTTTACGGGCCCTGGAATGAGGAGCCCCGTTTCATCTGTCCAGTAACGTCCGTCAGTGTCCTCAGGGTGCGGGAGGAGCGGTCCAGGGTGCGGGGGAGGGACTGAGGTCCTCCTTCCCAGCTTTGCCCGCTCCCTGAGTGATGAGCACAGAGAGTTCGTGTTTGACCCCCAAATTAAAAGAGCTTGGGGGAGGGCACTTTTATGCGGCCGGACCGGTTTCAGTCCCCAGAATCTCATAATGTCCCCCAAACTCAGCCAGGAGTAATCCCCAAGCCTAGAGCCAGGAGTCAGCCCTAAGCACAGCCTGGTGGACAGGCCTCTTGGAGGCAGAGAGGATGAAGCTTCTGTTCCGTTGGTGTGTGTTGGGGGGGGTCCCTGGAACTACGTGTGACAGTTGTTGGAGGACCGTGAGTTGTAGAGGGAAGGAAGCTGCACTCCATCCCTATGAATTGAGTCCCCAGCCCAGCATTTAAGTGATGTTGAGTTTCTCTTGGAGGCGGTGGTAAGGACGGGATGGAGGCATTTTAATTTGTCCTGCAGGAAGACGGCCCTGATGCACAACAGCCTAAAGTTCAAAGCCACTCTCTCAGTGACAAAGCAGGGAAGGATGCATTGCTTACAAGAATTTGAAAGAGGGGGTCAGAGCAATAGAACTGCAGGGAGGGCGCTTGCCTTGCTGCCGCTGACCCCAGGATTTCATCTCCAGCATCCCATAGGGTCCCTCAAGCCTTATCAGGAGTAATTTCTGAGACAGAGCCAGGAGTAACCATGGCCAGGTATGACCCAAAAGGCAAAAAAAAAAAAAAAGCGTTTAAGTGAGGAGGGAATATGATAATTTCTTCCCAAGCACCAGGAACCCAGGAGCCAGTGAGAGCAGTGTTCACACAGGCCTTCATGGCATCACACCTGTGCAGGGAGCTGGATAAGGTAGGTACTGGAAGGCTCCCGGCCCACTGCCCCATGGAGGAGCCGAAACACAAGCCTTCAGCTGCTGTGGAACTTCCCTGGGCCGCTGGAGAGCTGTCACAGTGGGGAGGGTGCCTGCTTGAACACAACTGACCTGGTTTCTGTCCCACATCCCACATAGTCCCCTGACCGCTGCCAAGAATGATTATTTATTTAATTAATTTTTGAGTCACACTCAGGCTCAGGGGGTGACTCCTGGCTCTGCACTCAGGAATCACTCCTGGTAGTGCTTGGGGGACCTTATGGGGTGCCAGCGATCAAACCCTGGTTGGCCTCATGCAAAGCAAATACCCTCCCCCCTGTACTGTCCCTCTGGCCCAGGAGTGATTTTTTGGTTTCTTTTTGTATTTTTGGGTCACACCCAGCTATGCTCAGGGGTTGCTCCTGGCTCTGTACTCAGGAATTACTCCCGGCAGTGCTTGGGGGACCATATGGGATGCCGAGGATTGAACCTGGGTGGGTCACGTGCAAGACAGACGTCCTACCCGCCCTACCCGCCCTACCACTGTACTATCTCTCCGGCCCCAGGAGTGATTCTTGATTGCAGAGCCAGAAGTAGCCCCCAAGCATCGCTAGATGTGTCTACCCTCACCAAAAAAATCCCAACAGTAACAACAATTGAAAAGAATTTTGATCCAGATGCCTCCCTGCTGAAACAACTTTCTGACCCCTTTTTCACTGCTGTATAAGGTTCTTCCACCATCCGGCCACCACAGAGAACCCAGGTATTTCCAGGTGTGCCAGAAATTATTGACCCATATCACAATAGTAATAATAAACAAAGTATACATTAATATTATCATATTGATCTTAACCAAGAAATAAAAGTCTAAACTGGAGAGGTGAAAGGGGTCAACCTCGAGTGATGCTGGGTTTGGAAGTTGGTTCATGGGCCAGCAGCTGAGCGTTGGCTAGGCACGAGAGAAGCTCCGATTCAACCTTAGCATCGTACAGTCCCATGAGTACCCACAGGAGCAACTTGGAGCACCAAGCCCAGGGTGGTTCCTGAGCACCACTGGGGATGGCAAAAGGGTGAACCAAAACCCTAAATAAATAAAGCAGTCCTGGGCCAGAGCGATAGGACAGTGGGGAGGGCATTTGCCTTGCATGCTGTCAACCCGGATTCGATCCCTGGCATCCCATATGGTCCCTGAGCACTGCCAGGAGTGCTTACTGAGTGCAGAGCCATGAGCATCACTGGGTGTGACCTCAAAAAGACAAAAATAACTAAAAGAAAAGCAGTCCTGTGGGGCTCACCAGGTAGAACAGGGTTCACTCCCCAGGACTGCAAAAAATAGATTTCCAATGGCTGGGGAGCTCTGGGGGGCAGGGAGCCAGCTCCACATGCTGGAGGCCAGGGCTCTGTCTTGATCCCCGCCACTGCATGGTGAACACCATCAAGAGCAAACCTCCTTCCTCCGACCAAAAAAAAGAGAGTATGCCCCAGCATCACCAGCTGTGGCCCAAACAGAAAGGGAGGGTCTCCCGGCAGTCTGTACAAAACCCTCTGAGTCTGAGTTGGAGGGGACCCAGCAGACACCTGTGGATACCCAGAAGCTCCAGCCAGAGGCCGCCGTGCTGGTGCCTGAGGCCAGTATCATCTTCCGGGCTGTGTGCCTGCGCTTTCACTGCTCCCATGAGACTTACTGGGCCATCGTCAGGAGGTAGTCTGGGCACCAGACTATGTGGCGGAAAGGGACATTCGACAGCACATTACCCCAGCACAGTGATGTAAGTGAGGGGCTAGGAGCCAGGGAAGGGAGGAAGAGGCTATTTGCAGGAGCGACCAAGAGGAAGGCGACCAGGATGTCGGGGCATCCTAAGGAGCCCTGAGAGCGGCCCTTAAAACTCCAGTCTCTCGCAAAGGCCCGGGGTGGGTGTTGATGCGATGTGATTTCTGCCCAGTGCTCTGAATGTCAAATTCAATGAAGCGCGGATAAACGGCGGGGTAACTGTGACTCTCTTAAGGTAGCCAAACGTCTAATTAGTGACGCGCATGAGTGGATGAACGAGAGTCCCACTGTCCCTACCTACTATCCAGCGAAACCACAGCCAAGGGAACGGGCTTGGCAGAATCGGCGGAAAAAAAAAAGACCCTCCAGTCTCTCCAGGGTGAGGTGTCACAGTGACCCCAGAGGGCTTCTATGCTCTGGAACTCCCTACAGCTCTGCTGGAACTACAGGACCACTGTGACTTTGGCTGACCCTGCTCAGTGGCCCCAGGTTGCTGGTCATGGCAACGCCACTTCCTGTGACAGGTGAGGGACAAGGCCTGCCCCCATCCTAGTACAGCTGCCTGGACTGCCCCCTGCTTCCACATCAGCTGAGCCAGGCTGGACCCCAAATGTGTCCATTCTGTGCTGGCCCTGCAGGGAGTGGGGCTGGCAGTGACACTCAGTGAGTGCCCCTCTGTCCCCTCTGTGCTCCCCTGGGGTCCCCCAGGCTGTGGGAAGGCTGGAGTGCAGGCGCAGGCGGGCGTGTGGTATTCTCATTATCCCGGCCCGGCCCTCACACCTCTAGCCTGTTGACATAGGCCCCCACCAGCGCCAGAAGGTGTCGACTTGGGAACTGGCGTGCACAGCCTCCAAGTCAGTCCACAGCAGTCCCTGCGCAGACCCCAGAACGCTTGGGGTGCAGGGGGGAAGCCGCAGGGGGCCTGGAACCTCCCCTCCACGGGCCCAGGTGGAGACCAAGGCTCTGCCAGGCACCTTGTCAGGGCCACCCAAAGCGGCCTCAGACCTGCCTCATCTTCTGGAAACTTCTTGACAGCCTGTCTCAAATGGGAAACCCTGCCCCAAAGGTCCCTGAAGCTGCTCAGGGCTTGAAGGACTCGTGGTACCAGGGATTGGACCCACGTCTCACATGCAGGATAAGAAATCTACCAACAAGCAATACTGCCGCCCCATCTTTTAGTTCTGGGGCCATAAACCAGTGCTTGAGGCTCCTCCTAGCCCTGTGCCCAGGGACTACTTCTGGTGATGTTCTGGGACCATGTGCGATGCTGGGACTCAAACAGGCCAGCTGCACGTGAGGCCAGCGCCCTACCCACTGTCCTATCACTCTGGCTATTTCACTAATTTTCGAGTGTCAGCTGCCTACTCCCCTTTGGCATCCATGGATTCACGAAACTCAGATCTATGAAACTCCCCGTTGCCCCCAATCTTTCCTCTTTCACCGGTATCTGAGCCAGAGGAGTCCTGTCTGGCCTCTGATATCTGAGATTGTGTCTATTGGGGTGCAGAGGGGGATGTGTGTGTATGTGTGCATGCGTGTGTGTGTGTGCATGCATGTGTGCATGTGCACATGTGAAGAACCGGGCGCCTGAGCCCTGGCTAGTTCCCAGCCCTTGAGCCTCTTCCCTTCTGATTCCTCATGTTCTTGTCGGTGACCTAATTTCCTGACAGGACAGATGAGCACAGATCAGAGGAGACAGTTCCACAGCCCATTACTCCGGCGCCAAGTGGGCTTCAGCCACACCCCCAGCCAGGTCTGGCACTGCGGACACAGCTCCTGGCACCTTCCATCCCCACCCCCACCCCGGCCTCAAGGACACCCTCCCCAAACGGTGCAGATCTCACCCCACCCCTGTGGGCTGCGCTCTCTGCTGGTGGTAGATGGGAATGCAACCGCCTGCACGTTGCATGGGGTGGCTTCCCTGAGGTGTGGTCACCCAAGATGTCTGCAGGCGGTTCCTGCCCTGTTTTACAGCAAGACAGGGCACCCCACTTTCCTCTGGGCTGATCCAGCTCCTCAGCCCCCTCATGCCTCAGTTTCCACACCTCTCTGGGGCTCAGCAGGGGAGGTGGTCAGTGGCTCTGGAGGACGAGAGACCCTATCTGCTCACCCCAATTCTCAGCCTGATTCCCAGCCTTTCCCGCCTACCCCCCCATTGCGTTTCTTCTCTCCCTTCCTCCCTGGCTCTGCCTGAGATAACAGGATTACGTGGGTCTGGAATAATCGATTCCATATGGTTGTCAGGCAGACAACTCCCAAAATGAAGGTGTGAGGCGAGGGGGCTCTGGGCTCTTGGCCTCTGATGGGGGCTGATGAGCAAGGAGACAGTGTCAGGAAATCTGGGAGCCCCCTGCCCCCCATGGGGTTCTCTGTTCTGAAACTCGGAAGAGAGCAGGAGGGAGGGAGTGGGGGGTTGTCACCTCAACACTCCCCCCATCTCCAGCTGGGGAACTGAGCTTCCCAAAAGCAGCCAAGCCTCCTTATTCTGGGGGACTCAGTCCCAGGTGCAGGCTTGGCCCCTTTTCTTATTCCTGCTGCACGCACCCCTATAACTTGTGAAGGTTCTGTGGGGACTTGCGGGCTCTGGGCATTGGATCGTGGCAACCCTGCAATGGGGCAGGGTCCCTTTGGACATAAAAAAAAGTCTCAATTGTTAGCTACAGGGTGAGCATTGGGTCTGTGGAACGGGGGGGAGTCCTGGACATGCAGAGAGCTGACAGGTTGGCACCGTGTCCAGAGCACCCTGGGACCTTGGTCCTCAGCTTGGCCTCCCTGCAAAGTTGCTGAAGCCCACCAAGGGGACTCGGGTTTCTGGCTCCATTGCCTGATGGGCAGCCCGGCTTCAGTCCAGAGGGGTGGGTCATTGGCCATTGTTGCACTTCTGATGGTACGGTGTAGCTGTGGCGGCACAGCACGTGGCTCACATATGGTTGTGGCCAGGCCCCACGTGGTGGGAGCCAGCACTGGGTGCTGTGGACGGCAGGCCCCTGAGCCCCCGGCCACTGGGGTTAGCCTTGCCCTGAGACGAGACCGGGTCCTCACCCACCTTCACCACGCTCCGGAGGGATGTCCTAGGTCTAACAGAAATGGGAACCTGAAGGGCAGAGGCAAGGGATGGAGGGAAGACAAAGAGCCCCCCAATCTGGTGAAAGGGCGGCTTTTTCTCCTAGAGGCTTTGGGGAAGGGGGCTTTCTCATTAGCACCCCTCTGTCAGAGGGGCTGGCAGGGGAAGTGAGGGGGACCACCCCAGCCCTGGACCCCCCACTGAAGCAGCTCTCACCTCTCAGCCCCCAAGCCTCATTTCCCCAACTTACACATTGGCAGGCTCCAGTGGGCTCAGGCGGAGCCGCTGGGCCGGCACTTGTCAAAACATAGGCCCCCGACAGGCCCTGAGGTGTGAAGGCCTGATCCCGGAGAACTCATTAGTGGGTTCACAAATGAAGCCACCGCAGAGGCAGAGGTGGGAGATAAGGATGCCAGAGCAGGCGGGGATGGGGGAGGGAGGGGATGCAGTCCCCTCCTATGTACCCCCTTTGCACCCACCGGGCCCAGAGTCTCCCCAACACACCCCCTAGACTGTGATTAGGGCTGAAGCCCCGTGTGTCTCACCTGTGTCCATACGTGGTTCTTTTCTTCCACAACCCTGCAGCTGCCCTAGGTGCCCTTTACTGCCCCAGATTTCTCCGGGAGCCCTATCAGAGAGTTCAGGGGCCAGAGCTGTGTTTGGGGGACAAACAGCCTGCCCGCCACTGGTACAACCACTCAGCTACACAGTGGAGTAGATTTGGGATGTAATAAAGCCGGAAGGCATCACAGGACACTGCAGGCCCACAGCCAGCCCACCAGCCAATGCAGGGGGTCCTTAGACCCTCTTTTAGCATTCCTTCACCTCTTCCTCCTGCTCCTCTTCTTCAGATTTTGGGTCACAGCTGACCATGCCTGGAGAGATCATATGATGTGGTGATTGGGATCCAACCAGGACCCTGGAATGCCAAGTGAGTACTTGACTTTAGGCCTTTCCAGTTTATCTTGGAGTTTATCTGGTGGTGCTTGTGGAACCATGTAGTGCCAGGGACTGAAGCAGAAGCCCCAGAATTTAAAGCACACGTCATCATTCACATGGGAGGCACACGCATCCAACTGGAACATGTGCTGTCTCTCTGGCCTGTTTGAATTTCCACCTGTGACTGCAGATATTTTCAAATATGTGGAAAGACAGTCCTGGCAGGGCAGGTTGGCATCATTTCAGCCTGGGTTTGGATATCAGCTTCACCCCCCACCCCGGGCCCCCCAGCACCTGGATCGCTAAGAGCTTACTCCTGGTTCTGTGCTCAGGAATCACTTCTAGCTGCACTCAGGGGACCCTGTGTGGTGCGGGGATCAAAACCAGGTCAGCTGTGTGAGAGGCAAATTCCTTCCCTGCATTCCCATCGCTCCAGCGAGTCTCAATTGTTAGCTAGGAGGTGAGCACTGGGTCTGTGCGCACGGGGATGGGGGCGGGGGGAGGGAGAGTCCTGGACATGCAGAAAGCTGACGGGTTGGCACCGTGTCCAGAGCACCCTGCAAAGTTGCTGAAGCCCACCAAGGGGATTCGGGTCTCTGGCTCCATTGCCTGACGGGCAGCCCCAGCCTCCGTCCAGAGGGATGGACCATTGGCCACTGCTGCTTGCACCTCCAGTGGGCGACAGCACCCGGGCCATGGTTGCTACCTGGTTCTGCGCCCCAATGAGGCTCTCGAACAAACTGGTATCAAAGGGGTGTGTATGTGCTGGGGCGGGGGCTGCCGAATCTGCATAAAGGCGGTCAGGTCGCCCCAAACCTCAGCTGCATCTCCCAGTTGGCTGGCCCGCTTCGTTGAACCTGCCGAGTGGGCCCGCCCCAGGGGTCTCAGGTTCAACCTGGAGTAGACGGGGCTGGGTGGGGGGCAGTGGCCTCACCTTCAGGCCCCCTCCCCCGTGGGTGTTCAGCCCAGGCGCCGCCCCTGCAGGCCCCGCGCCCTCTTTGATGTGCAGATGCGGCCGGGGGGACCCCCTTCGCACCTCGGGCCGGGCATAAAGTGGCCGCGGGGCCGCCCCGCCTGCAGAGCCCCCGCCGCTACCATGGCCCAGTGCCCGCCGCCCGCCGCCGCCGCCGCCCCCTGGGGCCTCCCCGCGGGCTGGCGCCCCGCGCCGCCGTCGCCCTCGGCTCCCGGGCCGCTCCCCGGGGCCGCGCGTCGCGCCCCGACGGCCCCGGGCCGAGCGCGCCCCGCGCCCCGCGGCGGCCAGAGGCGCAGCGCCAGCGAGCGCGAGAAGCTGCGCATGCGCACGCTGGCCCGCGCGCTGCTCCGGCTGCGCCGCTTCTTGCCGCCGTCCGTGGCGCCCGCCGGCCGGAGCCTCACCAAGATCGAGACGCTGCGCCTGGCCATCCGCTACATCGGCCACCTGTCGGCCCTGCTGGGCCTGGGCGACGCGCGGCTGCAGCAGCGGCAGCGGCAGCAGCAGCAGCAGCGGCGGCGGCGGCGGCGGGCCAGCCCCGGGGGCTGCCCGCTGTGCCCCGACGTCCCCGCCCGGGCCGCCTGGGAGTGTCCGGCCGCCGGCCCGCGGGCCCTGGCGTCGCCCGCCGCCCCGACTCTCCGCGCGGAGGCCGTTCGGCCCGACGGACCGTCCGCGGAACCGGGTCCCTCGTCCACGGTTGGTCCCCGCCGCCCCCGCGCCCACCCCAGCCCAGCGCGCCCGGGGAAGGGAGGGCGACGCGCGCGGGACGCTGAGGGCGCGGTGGCACGTGTCCCCACAGCCCCTGCCCGGAGACGTGCTGGCCCTGCTGGAAAGCTGGACGGCCCTGGAGTGGCCGCCCGCCTGAGCGACCGCCGCGTGCGTGGTCAGCGCGATGCCGCTCCGGTCCTCAGCGCCTGCGCAGCGTCCCGGAGGCAAGAACTGGCCCAGCTGGCGTGGACGGTCGGTCCTAAACCGCAGGAGCTGACCACCGCCCCGGCCACGGAGCCCCTGACCAGGAGCCCTCGCCAGGCCGCGGAGCCCCACAGTCACGGATGCCCCCGCCCGGCGTCCCCTTCCCCCGCGTCCACGGTGCCCCCGTGCACGGGGCACCAGCGCCTCGGTCTCGCTTGTCTTTATTTATTTGTGAATAAACTGCTTGTTCTGGTGCCCGCCTGCAGGTTCTTCTCTTCCGCCTCCGCCTCCCGAATCACTCCAGGTCCAGGGGTGGTTGGTCAGACCTCCCCGAGCCCCCAACCCTGGCTTTTGGTCTCCAATTCCAGGATCTCTGGGGGTGACGGCGGTGGGCCATCAATCGTGTCCACATTTCTCCCCTTTGGGGGCGGATTCCACACCTGGTTCTGGACTTAGGGATCATTTCTCCGGAGGCTCTATGGGGTGCCTCGGGTTGAACCCGAGTCAGCTGCGAGCAGTGAAGCGCATCCCTCTGTATTACCTCTCCAGCCCCCCAGAAACATCTTACTAAAGGCTCAGCACCCTCACCCTGCAGCGCCTTTGCCTGGGTTCGAGTGCCCTGGGGCAGGACTCCCAGACAGGTCTTCTCAGATGTCCAGAGTCCTCCCAAGACTTCCCTGTCTGGGGAATTGGGGGCTGATTTCCCTCCCCTGTGACTTGGGGTGACGGAAGCATGAACTGGTTGCTTACACCTGAGGGAGGGTAGCTGGACTGGGAGGATGCACCCAGGGCCTTATCCTGTGCACAGCTCACCAGAAGTGGCTTCACTATGGTTTAGGGCAGGACTCAGGACCTGTCCTCAGGGCTCTGTGGGCCTCTGGGCGTGGAAGGCATTGGGGAAGTGTGGACCATGCAGCAGCGGCCTCTGCCTAGGGGTCCACCAGTTCTCCCCTGGCCCCACCTCAATGTCTTTGCAACAGTTAACTGTGTTTTTGCTAACAAGCATTTTATAATTCGCCCACCTCTACTAGGAGTCTCAGAGTTAGCCAAAGAGGTTCGTTAGCTATGCCTAAAGAAGTCTGGGGGCTTCTTTGAGGCCCCCAAGGATGCCCCATCCCTACTGGCAACCCCCCTACTCCACTCGGCCCTCACCCAACCCCTTTCTTTCCCTTCTGGACCATTCTGATGACCCTGCCCCGGGTCTGGCCTCTCACTGATGTTCTGAAGGCTCTTGTGGAGTCCTTGTTCTTTTGGGGGGGGGGGGCGCAAGCATGTCCCACGAGTGCACAGCTTGGCTATTCGCCCATCGGGGTGGAGGGGTTTGTTCAGATAGTGCCCAGTGTAGACCCAGGTGATTAGGGGGTCACTGTTCTGCGTTTCTAGGGCTGGAGGCTGAACCCGGGCGGCATTTGGCTGCAGAGATGAGGACCAGAAAGAACAGGGGCTTCACACCCTCCCCACACCTCCACCCCATCTCCTCCCAGGGCCCTAAGCAGAGTAGGGCTGGAGCAGACCCGGCAGAGTCAATTAGCATGGCAAAGGCCCTGCAGCTTAGGATGGGGAATTAAAGTTATTAGCAAGTCTTTTCACAGATAAGTTGGCCCTGGGGGTTGCCCCCCACCCAGTGGAGATTCTTGCTCCAGCGGGGGAGTCTGCTTATTAGCACCTGGCTGTGAATTTCCATTAGCACACCCCCGCTAATCAGAGGATTGGCGATTTGGAGCTGGCAAGGGGTTCTCTTTCACACCCCCAACCCCCTGAGCTGGCTGGACCCCCGCCCACACCCCCACACACAATCCAGAGGGCTACGGAGTACCAGCAGCCATGTGGGGGCGCACCAGCAGTACAGAAGACCTGTCTGCCCCCCCCCTCCGCCCTGCCCCCGTTAGAGGATGCAGCCGACCCAGATTTAATCCCTGGCATCCCATAAGGGCACTCAGGAGTAATTCCTGAGCACAGAGCCAGGAGTAAGCCCTGAGTATCTTCGGGTGTGCCCCCAACCCCCAAAATAAGAAAAGAGAGGAGGAGGCTAGAGGTGGCGCAGCCGCAGAACCTGTGTGCTGAGCTGTGGGGATGCCACCTTTGCACACTTACTTGCTTTGGGGACAAGTGCCTGCACCGGGGCGCGGTGTCTCTCTGGTGGCTCTGGCAGGTGCCCCGGGCAGCCATATGGACCCAGCCTACCGGAGTGATTCCTGAGTGCACAGCCAGAGGGAGGCCCTGAGCACAGCTGACATGTGGCAACCCCCCCCCCCCCCCCCACTAAACTCCCCTGGGCCTATCAGTACGGGGCTGGGGGTGGTGGTGGAGAAAGGGAGTGCGCCTAGAGGCTGGGGTGGGCACCCAGCTTGAGGAGGAAGCTGATCCTAACTGCCCCAGGGCCGGTCCAGAGACCACTCTGTCCCTCTCCCCCAGGCTCTAGTGTGGAGCCCACCTTTGCTCAACGCGGAGGGAGGGAGTGGGTATACCCCCTCCCTTACCCATCTCACTCTGGTTCCTGCTTCATGCTGGGGGGGGGTCTAGCACGCAGAGGGAAGGAGCTCTTGGGGGCCACCTGTTCAGTCCAGGGATGCACAGATTCCTGGTGGGACCCCGGTGGCACTCTGCGGACCCTGAATAGTCAGGGGACATGCAGGCTGGCTGTGAACTGATTGTGGGGAGGGGACTATCGAGGGATGTGCGCACCCTCCGGGACCGCCTGGACTAGGGTGGGTCCAATGGGAACCACTGTGGGGACATTTGCTGCTGTCACCGCACCGTCCAGACCGCAGCGCCCCCGCCTGGCGATCAGCGATCGCCGCGCGCTCCTCAGCGCTGGCCTGCGAAGGCTCAAACGTCAGAGGGGCAAAACCTCCCGGGCACCCCCATTGGGTTTTTTTCGGGGGGGCAGGGTTGGGGGACTCAGCCACCACGGCTGCCGGCCTGGTGGACAGAGGAAAGTGGATTATGACGAGTGGGTTTTTGCTGCTGCGTTTCTTTTCCCATGGTAGGGAAGGCGAGAGAAGTTTTGGGGTGGGGTACCCTTTCGTCTAGGGACCGTGAAGCGAGTCAGCACCAGCACCAGGAGAAGGGAGGGGCGGTGGGGAGGGGCCGCGTTTGTCTCAGCATCTCAGCGGTGGGCCCGTCGTTACCACCTGCAGTTCCAGTAGAAACCACAGGATGTCCTCAGTAGCAGCCCCAGGCTGAGGGTCCCAGAACAATTTTCTTCCCTCCCCCCATTCCCCTTCCCTCCCCTCCCCCACCTCCTCTCCCTTCCCCTTCCCTTCCCTTCCCCTTCCCTCTCTTCCCTTCCTTTTTCTTATTCTTTTCTTTTCCTTTCTCCTTTCCTTTTTTCTTCCTTTCTTTTTCTTTCTTGTTTCCTTCCTTCCTTTTCCCCCTTTTTCTTTATTCCTGTTCTTTTTTTCTGTCTTTTTTACCTTTTTGTTTGTTTGTTTGTTTATGGGTCACACCTGGAGGTGTTCAAGGTTGCTCCTGGCTCTGCTCTCAGGAGTCACTCCTGGCTGACTCAGGCAACTCTATGGGGTGCTGAGGATCGAACCTGGGTTGGCCTCATGCAGCCGCCCTACTCACTGTACTATCTCTTTGGTCCCTTTTTGTCTTTTTCTTTTCTGTTTTTGTTTTGTTTTGTTCGTCAGCCCTGAGCACCACATCTGGCAGTGCTCGGGGCTTACTCCTGGCTCTGTGCTCCGGGATTACTCCTGGCAGTGCCCAGGGAACCCTATGGGATGCTGGGAATTGAATGTGGGTCAGCTGCCTGCAAGGCAAGTGCCCTCCTTGCCATACTATAGCTCTGGCCCAGAAGGGCAATTTCTCCCCACTCCTGTGCTTCCGGTCCCCCCACCGCAGTCTCCTCTGCAGGCGACCCAGGTCCTGCTACCAGGGCCCCCCCCCCGCCCCCATGATGGTGACAGCAGGTTGTCACCCCGAGGTGAGTGAGAGAAGGGTGGCCTTGCGGCCCAGTGGGGCCCAGGCTGGCGGGAGAAGGAAGGAAGGAAGGAAGGAAGACACAGGGTGTGGGACAATCACTCTGTTTATTGGGGCATTGGGGGGGGGGTTGCCTCACTTCCTGGTTTCTCTCTGCAGTACCAGCGAGTACCTGCGCAGCCGCAGCCAGTACTGCTCCTCCATCTCCTCATTGGCCTTCAGCTGCTGGAAGCTGCACAGAGCAGAGCAGGGGCTGAGGGACTGGGGTCCCCTCACAGGGCTGAAAACCTCAAGAGCCCCCCACTTTGCTCACCGAGGAGCCCTTAAGGGACGTCTCATCCCCAGGCTTCATTTCTCTGTACCCGGAAAAGGGAAAGGGGCATAGTCCTGGCTTTTTTTTTTATTACTTGGGGGGGCCACGTGTGGTGATGCTCCCTGGCTCTGTGCTCAAGGATCTCCCCTGAGGAGGCTCGGGGATGCCAGGAATTAAACCTGGGTCAGCCTCGTGCAAGGCAAGAGCCCTCCCCACTGTCTTTTTTTGGGGGTCACACTCGGCGATGCACAGGGGTTACTCCTGGCTCTGCGCTCAGGAATTACCCCTGGTGGTGCTCAGGGGACCATATGGGATGCTGGGAATCGAACCCGGGTCGGCCGTGTGCAAGGCAAACGCCCTCCCCGCTGTGCTATCGCTCCAGCCCCGCTCCCCACTGTCTTATCGCTCCAGCCTCTTAGATTCTCCACCAGGGTCCCTGCTGCTCTCTCCTTTCTTCCGAGCTCCAGGAAAAGGTCATACTTTCTGTCCTCTGGGGCTGGGGTGAGGTGGGGAGAAGGGATGGCGCTGGTGGCTGCTGTGGTCTTTGCTTTCGCCTGGGTGGAGAGGCGGTGTAGGGGGCCGAGTGGGCTGGACTCGTGTCTCTGGAAGCCCCACTCATGGGAGGGGGACGTTCCTCGGCACCGAAAGGGCTTTACAAAGCCCCAGAGCCCAGGCTGTGGCCACCCTGGGTTTCGTAAGAGCAGTTTGGACGCTGTCGCAAGGCTGAAACTCGCTCTATCACCCACAAACCCACCACCCCCAAGTGCCACCTCATTCCAGGGCCAATCTCAGGATGGGTGGAGACAGATGGCAAAGGACAAGAGCGAATGATGGCGCAGCTGCCCACCCAGGGTGCGGGGAGGGGGTTTCCCGCCTCCTTCTCAGAGTGGCATGTGTTTGGGAACTGTGTCACGCAGAGTTGGGGGGAGTCAGGGGCAGGCCCCAGTGTCAGGCCACAGAGCTAGTCCTGAGGAAAAGCCAGTTTCCCAATGCAACTCGGGGACCAACTCAGAAATTGGGGACTGAACTTGGGGTCTCACACGTGCAAACCTTTGGTGTTGGTGTTTTTGGGGGGTCCTGAGCACCAACCTCTTCTGCAGAAGCAGCTCGCATCTCCGCTCCAGGGGCAGCACGTGGTCAAAGGCCCGGCTCTCCTGCAGATCTCTCTGGGACACAGTGCAGTTGGCCAGCATGCCCCCCAGGAGCGGGTAGGTCTGCAGGTCGTAGTAGAAGACCGAGTGCTGGGTGCTGCCAGAAGCTTCATCCACGTAATCTCCTGAGACAAGCAGGAGCCGGGTCCACGGGGTTCCCTCGTGGGGAAGAGGGGGAACGCCGGGGGCCGCTCTCTAAAGCTAGGTGGCCGGGATGGGGCTGTAGGGGCCCCTTGATCTGCGGGTGCGGGGGTCCCGAGCAAGGGCCTTGCTTGCTTGCATCAAGGGAGCCGGGGCAAGCAGACCCTTTGTGTTTGTGGGGCCTGAGAGCACTGGGGTCACCCTAGTAGGCTTGGGGAAGGGACCGGGGGCGAGTGCCCCCCCAACTCCCCAGACCTTGAACCAAGAAGAACGGCTGATGTGGTGACATGACAAACATGGGTTTCCAGGGCACCGCCAGGTGCTGTGGTTCCGGAGGAGCAAAGGCGCAGACGACCTGAGGCTTGGCCACATCCAGGAGCTGCACCAGGCCCTTCTTGGAGAAGGTGAGCAGCTGGGAAGGGAGCAGAGGGTGTGGCCACCCGGCATGGGGGCGGGCACAGGTGTGGGGCCCCTGGGCTGTCCCGACGCTTCTGGTTCTCACAGCACTACCCTCCACATGGCCGGGGGTCCTTCTGCACCTGTCTTCCGCACCTGCATGGACTCTGACACCCCTCCTTCTCTCCTCATTGGAGACCCCCTGTTTAGCCCAGTGGTCCCTAGTGGCTGGGTGCCCTCCTTTCCTGCTGAATTTGCTCCATCCTGGAACACCTGTCTTGACCCCCACAACCTCTCGCACTGCCTCCTCCTCTCCCTGCCCTGCTCACCGGGTCTCCCTGATGATGAGCTGACCCACCAGACTCTCTCCAGCCCTGTCATGGCACAGAGACTCCACGCAGCCAGGAAACGTGATCTCTTTCTCCTGTGTGGGGGTGGCAGAGAGGAAGGCCAGGGCGAGGGACCTACCATGCCAGGTAAGGTTTGGACCGGGGCCACGTCACAGATGGCTTCATCCAGGAACTTGGCGGGCCTGCGGGAACCAAGACTCATGTTGGGTCCTGCTGTTCTCTCCATGTGCCCGCTGGGGGTTCCTGTGTCTGAGCATCAGATACGCAGGGTGCGCTCATGACCCAGAAAGCAAGTGCAACATCTTATACTACGGCACGCAGGGTCGGCAATAAAATAACGGTGGGGTCAGAGCCACAGGACAGCAGGGAGGGCGCCCAACCGGGTTTGATCCCTGATGCCCCATATGGTCCCTCAAGCACTGCCAAGAGTGACCCCTGAGTGCAGAGCCAGGAGGAAGCCCTGAACAAAAATTAAAATAGAATAAATTAAAATGATGGGAACTCCACCTCTCCTCACGCCACAGCCCCACCCAAACCAGCCACATCTCATCTCACTGTGGAATGGTGCATCTGTGTTCATGGGCTGGCTCATGGCTCGGAAGGCAGGGAAGCCCCTTGGGGAAACAGACCAAAGTCTCTTTGGACAGATCGACCCTCTTCCCAGCCGTCCTGTCCCATGGGCGCCACCCATTGTGCCATCCTGTCACCGCAGTGCTGGAATCATGGATGGGCCTTTCCGGATGGTGGGCGGGTAAGACAGCCTGGCTGGAGAGCTGGTCAGGAGAGGCGACTGGTGACACTCACCTCTCCACGATGACCTGGATGGACAGCTCCTGGGTGCCCTTGGCAGAGACAAGGTGGAGGGAGGAGTCTGTGCACAGCACCACGCACTGCACCTGTGACTTCAGTGGGGTGTCGGGGAACACGCAGCGGCCGTCGTGTACCACAAAGTACTTCATGTAGTGCAGGCTCTGGCAGACACAGCCCTCGGGCAGTGCCACCACCCCCAGGGAGATCCCTGTGGCGGGTCGGAAAAGGGGGCAGGGGTGAAGGGGAAGAGCTGCAGCACAGCGGGGTGACCAGCTGCTTCCAGCCACGGCCAGGAAGTCAGAAGCAAGGGGGTGAGCCCTGCCTGTGTGCTCCTGCACCCCCGGGGCCGAGCACTGGACTCAGGCCTACAGCTCGGCTGAGTGTCAGCAGGGGGCCCCAAGCACAACTGGAAAGGCGCCCTCCAATTCAGGAGTCCCCGCAAACAGATCTTGTCCATGGACACTGGGGTGAGGGTGGGGAGGGCACCTCGATTTCCCAAGGAGAGCCACGTGTGGCTGCCAACTGACCGTGTGCCGGGTTCCTGCTCTGGGGGTGCCGCAGATGGCCATGGCCACGTTCCAGGGCTCTGCACTTAGGTGCCAGTGGGACCATGCCAAGTGGGTGGGCCGCAGGGGTCTGAGGGGCTCACCTTCATGCATGTCCCACAAGGTCAGCACCCCGTCCTCGCAGGCCACGACCAGGTAGGTGCGGGTCTGGCTGAGCTGGGACATGGTGATGGGGGCAGCGAAGGGCCACACACCCTCAGGGTCTGGTGGGGGACAGCACGTGTCGGGTCACCCCGGATCCCCTGGACACCCCAAGGCACGGACAGCGGGGAGCGGGCAGGCACTGCCTCTCCTGCTCTCAGGAGGGCCAGTGAGCAGCCCTGCCCACATCCCATCTGTACCTTGGGGGCCCACTTGCCTCTGGGCTACTTTGAACATGGCGCCCACCAGCCCTCAGTTTACAGAGGAAGAAACTGAGGCAGAAGAGCCTCTGCCCAAGGTCTCAGACCCCTTGGCATGGTAAAGGAGAAGAAAATTCTACTTTGTTGTGAGTTTTTTCTTTTTCCAGGTGGGAGGGGGTTCTCACCTGGAAGTGCTCAGGGCTTTGTGAATTTTAAACCCCACCTTATTTATTTAATGTTTTTGTGATTTTTCTTTTGGCCCTCGCAGCAATGTGTCAGGGCTCTGCACTCAGGAATTACTCCTGGAGGTGCTCGGGGGACCCTATGGGATGCTGGGGATCAAACCCGGGTAGGCCACGTACAAGGCAAGCGCCCTCGCCTCTGTACTGTCGCTCCAGCCCATAAACCCGATCTTTGAAGGAGAAACTAAAGCATCACCCACGTGTACAGCTCAGGGAATGGTCACAAAACTCCCTTACCCGCAAAAGGCCCCAGGAATCTGTAGGAGACAATACCAGGGAGCTGTGCCATGGCTCCCACTGCCGAGAGCTTCCACACCCCGATCTCAGCAATAGGGTGGCTGGACTCACCAGCTCTGTTTGCAGTGAGAAGGGGGTGCGGGCGCCCATCCTGCTGCCCACAACACCCCCGGGCCTGACATGGGCTGTGTCTCTTCAGACTTGCCAGTCTAAGAATTCTGATGCCAGTGGCCGGACAGACGGCACGGCAGCTGATGCCCTGAGCACGGCTGACCCAGGTTTGATCCTTGCCCCCAGAGTGCTCCCAACTCGCCAGGAGTAAGCTGTGAGCACCTCCAAGTGTGGCCCCCAAAACAACGAATACAAAATGAAAACACAGAAAAGAGAATCCTGATTCCAGGGAGCTCCTCCGCCCCAAACTGCTGCCTGCCCTGCTGTGAGACGTGTGCGGGCAGTGCAGGAAGGCCTGGCGCAAGGCCCAGCGCTGTACCCAGGCCCAGGCTGCAGCATTCAAGTACCCGCCTTGTCCTTCAGAGTCCGGCTAAGCGAGAAGAAGAAGAAGTTGTGCCTCCCGGTCCAGTGCAGGCCGAGGAGACAGGGCACCCCTGGGAAGGAAGAGAGGCCGTATCAGGCCAGAGCCCTGGGGAGGGGCTGGCCTGATGGGCAGTGGCAGAAGTGAACATTCCAGTGGCAGCTTCCACAGAGGCCCAGCTACTGACTGAGAGGGGCTGGACACAGCTCCCGTGGCTTCACATCTAGAAACACGTGCTCTCTGGGCGCCAGCAGGAGGAAGCGAGTGGCATCAAAAGCAGCCGGGGGCAGGCCACGTACGCACTGTCCCCTGCCCCTAACCCTTGTGGTCACTCCCTGCCGGCAGAGTCCACCTTCACTCTTGGGAGATCCAGGCTGAACCCACAGGGCAAACCAGAACCAACCAGGCCAGCTTACCTGCCTTCCTTCCTCCCTCCCTCCCTCTCTTCCTTTTTTTCTCTTCCTTCTCTCTCTCTCTCTCTCTCTCTTTCTTTCTTTGCTTTTTTTGGGGGAAGGTGCCACACCCAGCAATGCTCAGGGGTTATTTCTGGTCCAGGGGACCATATGGGGTGCTGGGGATTGAACCTGGGTCGGCTGCATGCAAGGCAAACACCCTCCCCACTGTCCTGTTGCCCTGACCCCACCGACCAGAGACTTTTCTCTCCCTCAAGTGTGGTTTTGAGGCGTGAGCTCAGAGCCTGGCTTATGCCAGGGTGGTGTCTGCCATGAGACTGCATCCCCAGTCCAGCCCCTACAAGCGCCCCCTCAACACCACTTCCTCCCACCCCAGCCAGCCTCCTTCTCTGCTCACTTACCCCCGGGGCTCCTGGCTTCCGAGGGCAGGGAGATGAGACTGCTATAGAGGAGGAAGTGGAACGTGGCCGTCGTGCTGCGGGGAGGAACGGTGGGCACTGGCACCCCCTTAGCAAGGAGGGGGCTTGTGGAATCTCAGAGCTGAGACCCAAGAGGGGTCCTGTGGATGGACCCCCCACCCTATAACAGTGCTGTGGACACTGTAGGCACCATCCTGGGGGTGTGGGCCAGGGCCGAGGAGGGTTCTGGGGAGGGTCCCGGACAAAGCCACTTCAAGAAGTTCCCTCAGGGATCAGTCAGACTTTTAAAAATATTTTGCTTTTTTTGGGTCACACCTGATGGTGCTCAGGGGTAACTCCTGGCTCTGCACTCAGGAATTGCTCCTGGTGGTGCTTGGGGGACCCTATGGAATATCGAGGATTGAACATGGGTCGGTCCGTATTCAAGGCAAATGCCCTCCCCACTGTAATATGACTCCAGCCCCAGGGATCAGACTTGTGGGCTGGAATGGCAGGAAAGCAGCGAGGGCGCTCGCCTTGCATATGGCCAACTAGAGTTTGACTCCCAGCACCCCATATGGTCCTCTGGGTGTGACTCCAAAACCAAGCAAAACAAAAAAAAAAAACAAAAAGAGGAGCAGACTTGGTGGGGTCTGCTGGGGTGGGGGAAGAAAGCGCTCACTCATCCTGAGGGCCATGTAACCAGCAATGGGTGTACTGATTCACTGACTCCCCTGAGGGGTGCAGGGGGACAGATCAAAGGTCTGGAGCATGTGCTTTGTAGAGAGAAGTCCTGGGTTTGAACTGAGGGCCCTCATAGTTCCTCAGCTCTGCCGGGTGTGTCCCCAGAAACTCGGGGTCAAACACATGCCTTGGTTTGTCAGGACATGGAATTGATCCAAGAAAAAACAAACCAATAAAAAAATATGTTGGAAAGAAACAATTTTCTAAAAAAATAGAGGGGCTGGAGTGATAGTACAGCGGGTAGGGCGTTTGCCTTGCACGCGGCCGACCTGGGTTCGATTCCCAGCATCCCATATGGTCCCCTGAGCACCGCTAGGAGTAATTCCTGAGTGCAGAGCCAGAAGTAACCCCCATGCATCGCCGGGTGTGACCCCAAAAAGAACAAAAAAAAGAAAGAAAAGCCTGCCTGTTTGGGGATCCAACCGAGTGGTGCTCAGAGGCACCTCCCAAATCAGTGCTTGTGAGCCTCTTCCAGCAGAGCCGGGGATGGAACCACCCCCCTGCGCTGGCCCTCAGGCCCTCTCCCATCTCCTAACTCAGGCCTCGCGTGTTTCCAAGAGCTTGCTCCGTGCTCTGCATGGCCGTCCGGCTCACCTGAGCAGCTCGTCCTCGCCCTCCGCACACAGGTAGCCCTTGTAGGCCGCACTGAACATAGCAGCTTCCTGTTCCCACTGCGTCTCCTTGATGTAGTGGTTCTGGCCCCAGCCCAGGCTGCTGCAGTCCTCCACCCGAGAGAAGACTTCCAGGGGGCTTTTGAACGTAGTGCCTGGGGGAGGGGATCATTCCAGGAGCCAACTGGCTCTCCCTCCCTCCCGCCCGCATCCAAGATCCCACTGGCAGGGTGGGGGTGTTTTGATTTTCTGTTTTGGGGCCACGCTCGGCGGTGCTCAGGGCTCTGTTCGCAGGGACCATCCCCGGCGGTGCTCCGGGGACCTTATGAGATGCTGGGACTTGGACCTGGGTCGGCTGCGTGCAAGGCAAGTACCCTCCCGCTCTGCTATGGGTTGGGCCGCGGCTAAATCTTTTTCTCATCTGGTCGTGGGTTGTCAGAGGCAAGCGCCAGCTCTCGCTCGGTTAGGAAATGAAGCGCTGGAAGCTCGCGTGACCGCTGCAGAACCATACTTGAGATTTAGCTGTGACGACTGACGAGGGGGAAAGGTGGGAGCGCTCTGGGGACAGAAGGCGGCAGCCACGGAGAACCCCACGGGAGGAGGGAAGCGGAAGGGGTTCCCACAGACCTGTAATCGGCTTGGGTGGTTTGAGCTTCATGATCTGAACTGGAGGACTCAGCTTAATGTCTGTTTTATAGGAAATGCTGGAATCCTGCAGGAAGGAAGAGGCACAGTGCACAAGCCAGCAAAGGGGGTGGTGCTGCTGCCGAACCCACACTCAGAAAGGAAAAGGAGAGAGAGAGCAAGAAGGAAAGTGGACAGATCAAAGGTCTGGAGCATGTGCTTTGTAGAGAGAAGTCCTGGGTTTGAACTGAGGGCCCTCATAGTTCCTCAGCTCTGCCGGGTGTGTCCCCAGAAACTCGGGGTCAAACACATGCCTTGGTTTGTCAGGACTTGGAATTGATCCAAGAAAAAACAAACCAATAAAAAAATATGTTGGAAAGAAACAATTTTTTAAAAAAATAGAGGGGCTGGAGTGAGGGTGGGGTGTTGGGGGATGGAGGGAGGGAAACGGGGGATATTGGTGGTGGGAAATGTACACTGGTGGAGGGATGGGTGCTGGACCATTGTATGATTGAAGCCCAGCTACGAACAGCTTTGTAGTGGTCTATCTCATGGATATTCAATTAAAAATTTTTAAAAAAAAATAGTAATGTGGAGTTCACGCCCATTTCAATCAGCTTAATCAGTGAATTAAGCTGAATAAATAGCAGAACTCCTACATTTAAAAAAATACACTGTCGGGGCTGGAGTGATAGCACAGCAGGTAGGGTGCTTGCCTTGCCCGCGGCAGACCCGGGTTCGATTCCCAGCATCCCATCTGGTCCCCCGAGCACCGCCAGGAGTGATTCCTGAGTGCATGAGCCAGGAGGAACCCCTGTGCATCGCCGGGTGTGACCCAAAAAGCAAAAAAAAAAAAAAAAACTGTCAAATACACATTTAAACATGATCATTAAGTACACACGTTCCAGTGTGGGCAGAATTGGGGGGGGGGCCTGGGGCCAGGGAAGGAAGAAGGGATGGGGGAGGAAGAGAATACATGGGACGAAAAAGAAAGTAAATAGCAAGGTGCCAGAGTGAAAGCCCAACCTCACACCAGCCCATTGCACAAGGGCTGGTGCGGGAGACCGGGGCCCGTCCCAGCTCAGCACACCTCCGGCAGCACCGGAAGTGACCCCTGAGCCCCAGCGCCACCAGCTGTCGCCCCAACCCAAACCAAATAGATGTATTTTTTATTTGCCTCAATTAAAGAATGACAGTCCAGTGAGTAGGGCTCTTGCTTGTACATGGGTGACCTAGGGTTAGTTCCTAGGGCCCCATAGTGTCCCCTGAATCCTGTCAGGGGTGACCCTTGAGTGCAGAGCCAGGAGTGAGCCCTGAGCACTGCCCAGTGTGGCCCTAAAACCAAAAAGTAGAAAAGCCAAAAGATTCCCAGGCCTGACTAATTGATCAGCCCTCAGGATGTCGGACCTCACCCAGGAGGGAGGCAGGCCCTGCCCCTTATATCACATACCCCAGAAGACTCGAGAAAAGGCCAGTGCTGGGCCTCAGGGGCCTGGCAGCGGGAGGCTGGCAGAAAGTCTCATATGAAGCAACGAAACCTTGAACTCTCTCTAAGTCCACGTGGCCAACAGAACCGAGCTAAAGTTTACGAGCTGAGCCTTGGGGCTCCTCTGCCAACCCGTCCCTCCTCCCCCTGCACTCCACCCCTCAGGAGGGAGTTTCTTGTTTGTCTGTTTGTTTTTGCTTTTTGGTCCACATCCAGCGATCAGGGGTTACTCCTGGATGTGCATACAGAAACTACTCTTGGCGGTACTCGGAGGACCATCTGGGGTGGCAAACCCAGGAGGCAGTTTTTTGTTTTTGTTTCTTTCAGTGCTGGGACTCAAACACATGCAAAGCAAATGCTCCTCCACTGAGCTGCCACTCCAGCCCCTGAAGGAAGGAGAGAGTCTCCAGTCAAGAGAAAATCTTATCCCCTGCCCCTTTCATGACAGCTAGTCCCAGCCAGGGCTGGAGGCCAGAGTCCCAACTGCGGGGCTTCATGCCAGTAATGCCCTTTGTGCTTTCTGGGGGTACCCTCAAGGATGGGGACCCCATCGCTGGTCACAAGGCACCAGAGCAAGTCTCTGAGAATCTGGGGACAGCGCCCTAGCGAAGCCCTTAGCCTTAAACCATGAAGTATTTGGGGTAAATTTCAAGTTGAAGCAAAAAGCTTTCCTTTCAGAAATGGAACGGCTGGGCCCGGAGCCGTAGGACAGCGGGGAGGGTGTGTGCTTGGCACATAGCAGCTGAACTGGGTTCGATCCCCGGCACCCCACTGGGTCCCCCGAGCACCGCTAAGAGCGATTCCTGAGTGGAGAGCCAGGAGTCAGCCCTGAGCACTGCTTGCTGGGTGTGGCCCCCAAACCAGACCAAACCAAACCAAACCAAACCAGAAATGGAACATCTGCTTCGAAGTTTCATACCAAGTCTGCAGCGTCTGGAATCAAGGCACTCGTGTGACTCTGTGGGACAGAGAGAGGTGTTTGCTCCCCACAGGGACCTGCCAACATGCGTCACCCCCAGCCTGTTTACTCTGACCCGAAGGGCTGGTGAGTGCCTCACCCCACAACTGAACCCGCCTGGGGCCTGCACACGGACACAGGACCTTCCGCCCAGCGGCTGAGGATGCCAGGAGCACAACAAAGAGTGTCGTGAGGAGGATGGGTGGGTGAAGAGAGATGAGATCAGGGTGAAAGGCAGCCCTCCCCAAGGAGCCTGGAGCACTGGCTGTGGGCGGGGCCACTGGAGGCTGGGGGTGTCTGGACTGTCCCTGCGGAAGGCTCAGCTGATGGACCCTCCGGGTTGTGTCTCCCACCACCCCCAAGTTCCCCGCGGGCTTGAGAAGCCTGTGGCCAAGACACCCAGATGTCCCTTACCAGCTGCAGATGTTTGGTCTTTTTCTTGGGGTTCGCAGAGGTCTGGGGGTGCTCCACCTCCTTGAGCCAGGCCTCCTTGGGCAATTTGTACACCTCCAGCCAAAGATCACCAGCCCCTGCACGGGAGCCGCAAGAGGGTTGGGCAGGAGGCCGCTTTTCTGGGACCCTGTCTGCCCTCTCGGCACCTGTGGGGGACAAGAGCCAGGGCCCGCCTGCCCACCCCAGGACCTGGCCAGGCAGGAAGTGGGTCCTGTGGTCACAAAGTGGGGGTGCCCTTCACAAGCTTCTGCCTTTCAAGGTTCCTCTCGCCTTTTCCTCCTCTTCCCTCCTGCCTCTCCCTTCCCCTTCTCTTCCTTTCTCTCTCCCTCCTCCTCCCTGTCCCCCTCCTCCTCCCTCTTCCTCTTCCTCCTGGCTTTGTACTCAAGGATCATTCCTGGTGGGCTCAGGGGACCATATGAGGTGCTGGGGGTCCATCCTGCATTGGCCACTGCCCTGTGAGCACTCTCCCCGCTGTCCTATGGGCATGGCTCTGGCACTGCTTTCTTTTTTCGTCTTTTTGGCTTTTTGTTTTTTGGGTCACGCCTGGTGATGCTCAGGGATTCCTCCTGGCTCTGCACTCAGAAATTTCTCCTGGCAGTGCTTGGGGGACCATAGGGGATGCCGGGGATCGAACCCGGGTTGGCTGAGTATAAGGGAAATACCTTCCCTGCTGTACTATCACTCCGGCCCCCTGGCACTGCCCTCTGCCCCCAGGACTATGCCACATGTATGAGGAAAGTGCCAACTCCATCCACTGCCCGTGGTCTCCAGGCCCCTGTGGGACCCTGCACTGGGGTGTTTCATGGCTATTCTGTAGGGAAGAAGACACCCTGACAGAATCAGCCCTGGGAGGGAACTCAAGGGTCCCTCTGCCTCTGAACACCCACGGGGCAGCGGTGGGACTTGATTTCGCTCTCCCAGACAGAGGGTTTGGTTAAGAGCGCCCGGGAACAGTGACACCTGGATGCCCTGGTAACATCAGACTTTGGGCTACGGGAACAGTAGAGGGACATTTGATCCCTAGTGCTGCATGCTGCAAGGGTCCTCCGAGTCCTCCCAGGAGCCCGAGCACTGCCAGGTGGGGCTCTAAACCACACCAAACCAAGCCAGATCCAGGAGGAGGAAGGTGGTGGTCGGGGAGGAGCTGCGAATATGGCCTTCCCAACAGTGCTCCCCATCTTGCCTTGCAGCAGGAAGGCGGCAAAGTCGCCCCCCAGGGAGATCTGGACCTTGATGCAGGAGGTCTGCTTACTGGTGTCCTCCTGAGAAATAGAGCAGATGCAGTGGGGTGAGTCCAGCTTGATTGTAGCAGAGAATGCCTATGAAGGCCCCCACAGCAGTTGGAGGACAGAAACCCCTGTGAAGTCTGAGTCCCGGCTGTACCCCAATTCTCAAGTCACTTCAGATTTCACGTTAGTAGCACAGGAACTGAGCGAGGCTTATGAGGAGGCAGGGCCTTTGGACTGTGCTTGACTGGGCCTGCAGTTCCCAGGAAATCCTGGTGGGGGAAATTAAGCCGCGGTGGACAGCATGTGCCGCAGACTGTGGGGAGTTTATTGATTTATCCTGTTGGGGGGTGGGAGTGAGTGGGCTACACCTGGCAGTGCTCAGGACTACTCCTGGGGCTACATCAGGGCTCGTTCCCGGCAGTGCTCAGGGGGCCCTAAGTGGTGCTGGGGTCGACCTCATGCAAGGCAAGGTTCTCTGGTTTGGTTTTGGTTTCTGGGCCACATCTGGCAGTGCTCAGGGCTTACTCCTGGCAGTGCTCAGGGGACCCTATGGAATGTCGGGATTGAACCCGGGTCAGCTATGTGCAAGGCAAGGCCTCTCCCTGCGACCTATTGCTCTGGCCCCCAGAAGCTTCTGTTTTCTCTCCAGTAGAAATAGGAGTGTCCATGGCCTCCACATTCATAGGATTGTCACCATCATGGAGAGAGAAATGGGACTTACAATGTCATTGATGGTCTTGATGAAGTAAAGACTTTCTCTGCAGAAGTAGAAGAGTCTGACAATGCCTGAAACGGAAACGTGGGCATGTCAGACACATCCCCCCCTGCGACCTGGACTGTCCACCTAGCACTCTGGGTTGACCCTCACAGGTTTCCTCCCAGCCTTGCTCTACCCAGATGATCTGGTGGAAAGGTGAGAGAAACTGGCGTATTGCAGGGCGGAAACATGCTAACATGTTTCGGTTGGTTTTGGTGATGCTGTGGGCTCTCTCCCAGTTCTGCACTCAGGGATCCCTCCTGGCAAAGTCAGGGGACCGTATGGGGTGCTGGGGATTAAACCCAGGTTGGCCGCATGCTGGACAAGCGCCCTCCCTGCTGTGCCATCATCCAAGCTCCACCTTCCTGAATGATCTTTTTCCCAGTTTCCTCCAACATGAACAAGGCAGGTCTCCGGGCTATGTGAATTCTCTCTGGCCTCGCCTGGAGAAAGGCTGTTTAAATTCCAGGCCCCGGCTGTTCCTTCTGCAAAGCAGGGCCACAAACTCCCCTTCTATCCTGACCAGTGGATGCCCGGTGCGCCCCACTCGCTGGCCTGCCCTGTTCCCATTATTCCTCCTCAGCGTCACAGCTGCCCAGACCCGAAGGTTGACTCAGAACAGCTGGCACCTCCCGTAACTCAGGCTGAAAGGGGAGAGGGAGTACCTGTTTCATCCAGAAGCACAAGGAGAGTTTCAGAATCTAAGTCCATGGTCCAGATGGAAGTGACATCCACCTTCAGCTTCTCCCACACGTACAGCTGTTTCCCACTGAACGGGTTATAGATGGAGAAGCCTTTGGCTCCACCGACAAACAAATACTCCTGGGAAAAGGCCATACAGGTGGGTGCACTGCTGAGCTGGAGAAAAAAAAAGCAAGAGAGAAGGAATGAGTGTTTGCTTTCCTCAGCTTCACGGAAATGAAGCCCTCAAACAGGGCTTGCGGGGCCCAGCAAACCGCCTCTACTGGAAGGGGAAGGGGCCAGTGGTGGGAGGCTCTGGGGGACCCATTCCCCAGATGTCACCAATACAGAGGAATCCAAGTGAAAAGGGTGGTGAACTCCTCGGGGGGTATGAGGGAGGTGCTCTCTGTGCCATTCAAGAGGGGAGATTTGGGGCTGGAGCGATAGTACAGCAGGTCGACCTGGGTTCGATTCCCAGCATCCCATATGGTCCCCTGAGCACCGCCAGGAGTAATTCCTGAGTGCAGAGCCAGGAGTAACCCCTGTGCATCACCAGGTGTGACCCAAAAAGCCCCCATCCCCCAAAAAGAGAGGGGAGATTTCCAGGGGGTGCTGATTCTTTTTTTTTTCTTCTGAAAAAGGGACAGTAGGCTAGTTAGTTGTTTTATTTTTAAAACTTTTATTGGGCCATGCCTGGAGATGTTCAGGGGGGTTACACCTGGCTCTGTGCTCAGGAACTGCTCTTGCTGGTACTCAGGGGACCATATGAGATGCCGGGGATCGAACCCGGGTCAGGTGCGTGCAAGGCAAGCATCTTACCACTGGACTATCTCTCCAGCCCTATTTTTGATTTTGGGGTCACTTCTGGCGGTGCTCAAAGATCACTCCTGAGAGGACCCCATAGGGTGTTGGGGAATGAACCTGGGTCGCCGTGGGCAAGGCAAGTGCCCTTCCCTCTGTATGTCTGCGGCTCCAAGACCAGTCAATCTGGGAAAACTGTCTAGCTCTCCAGGGAAATGTCTCGGGCCCAGGCTCTGGCAGCGCTGCAAGCACATGGGTGATGAACCCACCCTCTGAGAATTCCCAAGAGTAGTGGCTGGCTGGGAAACCTTCACCTGATCTCCAGAGAACCCGGACGCCCTTGTCCCCCAGACTCATTTTCCCCATGGGCCACAGTCTCAGTGAAAGGCAACCCCGGAGAGGAACTCCTGCACTGTGGGTGTTGGGGAAGAGACTCTCCCACCTTGCTTTCAGCCTGGGGGGCATATGTGGTGGGCTGCACCCGGCTGCGCTGTGCTTCCTGCAGCACATCCCTCTGTTGGATCACATCCCACGACCGGTCGAACAGGTAGTTCACCAGTTTGTTGATCATACGATAAGGCTGAGGCAGGGAATCCTGCTCCTCATCTGGATCCCAGAAGACATAACCCTCGTCCTCCTCCTTCGACCAGTCCCTCTCGGTGGGGGACGGCACCTCCAGAGGTCCCTTCCGCGTGGCCAGGGGCAGCTTCGTCTTCTTGGCCCCCCTTCCCTTGGAAGACGACATGGCAGAAGGCGGGCCTGGGAGAGTCTGCAAGGCCCTGAAAGGCAGATAAAGGAAAGGAGTGGGGCGGACAGGTAGTACGGGGGTGCAGGTGCTCGCCTCGGAAGGCAGCTGACCCTCGTTCTGAACCCAGCACCAGCAGTATGCCCCTGCCCGTGAACATCACGCTGGCCAGGGGTCAGTCCCGAGCACGGAGCCGGAAGTAACCTCCGGGGGCATCACCAGGAGTGACCCTCCCCAAGAACAAAATGGGAAAACCTACAAAGAGAGCCAGAGCAGGTAATCGGCACTTTGTAAGAGTCCAAGCTCCGAATCAGAAAAAGGCTTTCAAATGCTTGGGGGACAGCTGTCAACGCAGGACACGGAGCTTCTGCTAAGACGCTTGGCGGGAAGGGGGGTCTTGCGCGGTCACTGCTTCTCCAGGTCTCGCCAGCACAGGGATTTGCCACGAGTCAGCAGGGGCCGGTCGCCGAGCCCGGGCCCCCTCGACACCCGCGGCGGCACCTACTGCTCTGGGAGCCGCGGGGGTCCCACGCAGACTGCAGGTGGAGGCGGCCGGGGACTGACGCCCGCCCAGCGCAGAAGCCGAGGCGCCCCTCACCCGCCGCCGACGCGCGGCGTCGCCTGGGTAACCCCCACTTCCGGCCCCGACCGGAAGCCATGCCCCGCCCCTGGGCGTGGCCGCCGGGAGAAGCCACGCCCACAGGCCACGCCCCCGGCAGCACTCGCGGCGCCCCTGGGGACTCGCGGGCACCGTGCGACCCAGTGGCCCCGGGTGGCGCCATGGACACCTTCATCCGCCTGACCAACCAGACCCAGGGCCGGGATCGGCTCTTCAGGTGAGTCGGACGCCGGCGGCCGCACCGCGGTGCCCGCACCCGGCGGCGGGAGCCGGGACTTGTGCCTGCTGGACCCCGGCAGGAGGGACACTCGGGCCCCCGCGTCCCCGCCGGCCTCGGAATTCCGAGTCCCGCCCCCGAGCTCCGGCTCGCTGTCCCGCAGGGGAGGCCGGAGCCGCGTCGTCGGGCGCCCAGCTTGAGCAGGAACTTTGCAAGGGTGCATTTGGGCCTGAAGCCAGCCTCGTGCCCGGCCCCCCCACCCCCACCCCACGCGCACAGCTGCCCCCCGGGCCCCTGCCCGGACCGCTGAGTCCGCACGGACTTGCCCCCTAGGAAATAAATATCTTTTTTAATGTAAAAGGTACAGTTGCAGACATATAACCAGCTTTCCCCTCCACTTCTAAGTGGTTCTACAAGGTTCTGGGTACCACGGCTGACTGATTCACCTTGGGTGCTAGGAACTGAGTCCAGAAGCCCGTGGTTGCCCACCCCGGAGCAGTATGCCCCTGCCCGTGAACATCACACTGCCTGCCTACTCACCTGATTAGTTTTCAAAAATTAAACTGTTAGATCACCACCTCATTAAAAGCCGGAGCCAGGGGCTGGAGTGATAGTACAGCAGGGAGGGCCTTTGCCTTGCACACGGCTGACCCTAGTTTGATCCCCAGCATCGCTCCCCCACCCCCAGCATGCCAGGAGTAATTCCTGAGTGCAGAGCCAGGATTAAGGCCTGAGCATTGCCACGTATGACCTAAAGAGCCAAAAATAAGTAAAACAAAAGCAGAAGCCGGTCACAGAGCTGAACTCCCCTCAAGGTTCATAAAGGAGGTTGCTTAATAAAAAATACATCTTTAGGGGGATGCCTTATATTCCAGCCCCTTTGGTGTTCTTTCATGAACAAAACTGCAGTCATAGAAATCGTCGCAGGGGCTGGAGAGATAGTATGGTGGGTAGGGGCTGCCTTTCATCAAGTAGATGCGGGTTTGATCCCTGGCATGGCATTCCATATAGTCCCCAAAGCCCCACCTGGGGTGATCCCTGGGCACAAAGCCAGAAATAAGCCCTGAGTACCACCAGGTAAAGCTCCCAAACAAAAAGAGACAGAAACCCAGAAATCTTCACAGCCCTAGTGTTAGGTCAAAAGTGAGAAAGGGGAATTCAGTGACATGCCCTGTCACCATGAGGTCCACCCCGACTCCTCTGTCACCCTAGTAACAAGCTCACACTTTTGAAAAATGTTCATCTTTTCATGAAGAATAAGGCATAAACGGATTCAAACCGCTACAGGGCAGATGGAAATAGCGGCTGCTAAGTGTGTGTGGATGTTGACTGCTCAAAATCTCTCATGCTCTTCAGTCAGGCCTTTGTGATTGTGACTAGCTGCAGTGTCTAATACTTCCCTGTGTGCACAGCAGCTGACCTATACTCGGTGTGAAATATTAGTTTGAAAGACATCTACGCTTCTTCAGGTGCAGGTGGATAATTGGCCCTTTCATCAAAAGTTAAGTCAAGTTGTCCGGGCTGGAGCGATAGCACAGCGGGTAAGGTGTTTGCTTGGCACGCGGCCGACCCGGGTTCGATCCCCGGCATCCCATATGGTCCCCCAAGCACCACCAGGAGTAATTCGTGAGTGCAAAGCCAGGAGTAACCCCTGAGCATTGCTGGGTGTGACCCAAAAAAGAAAGAAAATTAAATAAATTGGCTTCTTTAAAAAAAAAAAGTTAAGTCAAGTTCTCAAACTCAGAAATTTCTTCCTTTTTTTTCTTTTTTTTGGGGGGTTACTCCTGGCAGTGCTTGGGGGACCATATGATGCCAAGGATTGAACCTGGGTCAGGCACATGCAAGGCAAGTGCCCTACCTGCTGTCCTATTGCTCTGGGCCTCAAACACAGAAAATTTTTTTTGGGTCATACCCGGAGATGCTCTGAGTTTACTCCTGGTTCTGCACTCAGGAATTACTCCTGGCGGTGCTCAGGGGACCATATGGGATGCTGGGAATCGAACCCGGGTTGGCCGCGTGTAAGGCAAATGCCCTACCCGCTGTGCTATCGCTCCAGCCCAAACACAGAAATTTCTTGAGGCTCTGATTTGAGCCTGACCCTGTCCCCTGAGTAGCTGGCTAATTACAGGGTAGAAGCATGCATTCGAGAAATGGAGACTTCGTTCCACCTTATCAAAAAAGTGATGGAGCTGGGAAGAGGCTGCCTGGTCTTGGTCAGTGCCAGCCGTGGCCTTGAGGGCCGGCTCGCAGTGTTGCGAAGTTTGCTCACTTTCATTACCTTTGTGTTGCATTCCCATCTCATGCCCTACCCTTTGGCCTGCAAGTGACTTGCAGAATTTTGCTCTTGGAAGCGCTTCTCCGCGAGAGACTTGTCTTGGGGGAACGCTGGCACGAGCCAAGCCTGTTTCTCCTCCCCTTCACGGGTCCCCTCAGAGTGGATGTCTAAACCCTTCTCCTCATTCTTCCATTTCAGAGCCACTCAGTACACTTGCATGTTGCTTAGATATTTGTTAGAGCCAAAGCCTGGCCAGGAGAAGGTGGTCGAGAAGCTCCAGAGTCTGGAGGCCAGTGTGAGCACAGGCCGCAAATGTAAGTACTGGTGAGGGACAGCAGCTCGAGTCAGAATTCCCAGCTCCTGTCTTTCAGAACCTCAGCTCGGCCCTAGGTCTTTAATTTCCAGTCATTCCGTTTCCCCAGCCACCGCCAAGGAGCCCCAGGCCCCAGAGGTGGACACTCACAGGCGCCCCTTCTGCCCATATTCGGTACTACACACAAAAGATAAGGATGTTTTACTGTAACCGACCACTGAGACGCAATCCGCGTTGGGTTCACTTTGTAACCTGTCCCTGGGAACTCTGTGTTCTCTAGAAGAACACCAGAGCTGCATCCTGGACCTCCACCTTCTCGCCTATCTTGAGGTATTGCTACAGGAACAGGCCATGTATGGGGTGGTTGCGTAAGGCCCTCCCGTTGATCGTCGATTTGCTCGAGCGGGTCCAGTAACGTCTCCATTGGAGACTTTGTTGTTACTGTGTCTGGCATATCGAATACTCTCGGTAGCTTGCCGGGCTCTCCGAGAGGGGTGGAGGAATCGAACTCGGGTCGGCCATGTTGGCCGCTTGTTTGGTACCCACTTAAAGCAGTTTAGTAACGAGCCACATAGGCGATCCCCAGATTTCTAGTGTTCCTTGCATGCCTGGCTCCCCGCTGCTGGACCAGAACCAGGCATTGCCACACCAGGTGAGCGGAGGTATTATTAGCCCATGAAGTGTAGGCCTTGGGGATTGAGCAATTCCACTCAAAACTCTGCTTCCCAGAGGTTCCAGTGTGAGACTTCCTGGGGCACTAAGATCGTGTAATACTGATAGGAGATGGATATGCTGGTTGACTGGAGGAGAAGGAAGGTGTTTGGGAGGAGGTGGGACTTGAGGGATGTCTACGGGAGAAGGAAAAGGGAAGTCCCCCTGCTCAGGGCTCAGAGCCGTGTGGGAAGGGAACCTTTGTGTGGGAAAGCCATCAAAGAAACCCATTTGCTTGAGAAAAACAAAGTCAGTGGAGCACGAAAGTTTGTAAGTCTGTAACTGTACCTCATGGTGATACATTAAAAAAATTAAAATAATAATAAAAAAAAAAGTCAGTGAAGGACTGGGCAGCAGAGTGAGTTTTTCTGGATGGATCAGGGGCTGAGAATATATGGATACAAGCACTCTGGTTTAGAAAGTCCAGACCTACTCAAAATGATTTGGCATTGTTCATTACACATGCTTTTTTTAAATGTTATTTTAGATAATTACAGCCAGGGCTGTAAGTCAGTAGCGGGGCCTGGGGGGTGCATATGTGAGGCCTTGGATCTGACCCCGTTGCTGCAAAAACTGGAAGTATCAAGCATCCTTCTGAGGTTGTTCGTTTTCTGGGTTTTGCGGCTGGCCTTGTCTGGCTGACACTGTGCCCTGCTACGAGAGGATCCGTTTCAAAAGTCACTCTGAACTATGTCTTCGGTGCCCTCTGAGACCCTTGTCCCAGGTCCCTCTTTCGGGAGAAATACTGACCCTTACGCTCAGAGGGAGGCACGCTCAATCGTGGGCAGGAGCCCCACGTGGCCTGTTCGCTGTTTCTGTGGTCCCACGTCCCATCCCGGGCGTGCACAGTGACTCACCTCTCATCGCCTCTTCTCCAGGGTTCAGACTCGGCAATGTGCTGCACGCGCTGCAGGCCACACAGCAGAGCCTCCACGCCACGGAGGTGGTGCCCCGCCTGTGCCTGACCCTCGCCAACCTCAACCGCGTGCTCTACTTCATCTGTGACACGGTGCTCTGGGCCCGGAGCGTGGGGCTGGTGGCGGGTGTGGACAAGGAGCGCTGGCGTGGCTGGGCGGCCCGTCACTATTACTATTCCCTGCTGCTGAGCCTGGCCCGGGACGTGTACGAGCTGGCCCTGCATATGGAGCGGCTGGCCCGCCAGCGCGCTCGGCGGGCACAGTCGTCCGCCCGGACGCCTGCGGGCCACAGCGTGGCCGATGAGGAGGTCGTGTGGCTCCAGTCCTTCCTTCTGCTGCTCTTCCGCTCCCTGAAGGAGCAGCCACCCCTGCTGCTGGATGCCGTGAAGAATGCGTGTGATCTTCTCAACCCACTGCACCAGCTGGGCATCTACGAGTCCAACCCGGGCCTCATCGGACTCGGAGGCCTGGTGTCCTCGCTGGCTGGCCTCGCCGCGGTGCTTTACCCTCACCTGAAGCTGAGGATCCGCTGAGGGTCGCCCTGCCGAGCCACCCTCTGCAGGGAACCCAGAGCGGACACTTTTCAGACCTTTGGAGGTGACCACCGGCTGGCACATTCGGGGGTCTCCAGTGTGCTGGGCTCTGGGCTGTGCCAGAGGATCTTGAGGGTGGGGAAGGCAAGTGAGAAGGTGCCAGCGGGGGCCAGGGAGGCTCTGCCAGGCAACGGGAGAGGAAAGAGGCCCCAGACCCTGGGATCCCAGCGACGTGATTGAAATGCTCCTGACAGTAACCCTTGAAGTGGGGGAAGGAGAAATGTGCCTGGCCACTGGCGGTCCCCAAATCTCCAAGAATGACGTGAAGCTGCGAAGCAACTGTCCGGGGGAATTTGAAGAGCAAGCTGTCAGCAGCTAGGCGAGGGCAAAGTCGTTTGTCCAGAACTTCCACTGAATGATGATGACCAATAAATTTCTAGACCAAGCTGGTGTGTCTGTCAGCGGGTCTGGGCCCCGGGAAGGTGCTCACACAGCTGTCTTGGCGCGACTTTGCCCTCTCTGGGGTGGGCCACTCAGTCCCACCTCTCCTGGAATCATGCCATAGTCTCCCCCATCCTCACTCTCCTGTCCCGTCTCCCGCCTTCCCGAGGGTCCCCCAAACTAGAGGCCATCGGCACTCAACGGCTCAGCTGAGCTGCATCCACAGCACCACTCACAGGCCTAGTCCAGCTGAGTCTGGGGTCCCCCGAGAAGAGACAGTGAGGGTCCTCCCACGGGAAGGACAGGTGGGCCTGGAGGGCAGCAGGGGGCTGTGCCCTTTGAGCTGCTCCGGGTAGCAGGCTCGGCTCGGCCCTTTCACCACTCACCTCTCACCTACATTCTGGGTTCCCAGCCCAGCTGGCCAGAGGCCTGGCTTTGTCAGCAGAGTGCTGGGCATGGAGCCTGCTGTCCCTCTGGCCCAGGGCACGGCTCCAAGGCTCCAGCCCTTTGCCCTCCGGACACAGTCCGAAGACACTTGTCCTACAGTGTAAAGTGAGGCCAGAGGCCACCTCCTGAACTACTTCCTTTTACCCTCCAACAACATTGTCACCTGTTTCTTTTACTTTATTGGTTTTTTTTTTGTGTGTGTGGGGGTGGGCTACACCCTCTCAAAATTTTTTTTAAAAAATATACTTTATTTTACTCCTGTTTCCATTTAGCACAATTAAAAAAAAATCCAAAACTGGTACCCAACCCCCTCCATTTTTTTTTTAAAGAGAAACCTTTTCTTTTTCCATTTAGCACAATTCCGTTTAGCACACGCCTCTGGGCCAGGCTGAGAGTCCATGCTTGCACACGGCACAGTGCTCCCTCATCTGATGGCTGCTGTGAACTGGAGTTCTGACCCTCTGCTTGCAGTAGCTCAGCCAGAAGACTTTCATCATTGCTGCCACTTTTTTTTTGGCTTTTTTGGGGTCTCACCTAGGCTCTGCACTCAGGAATTACTCCTGGAGGTGTTTGGGGGACCACATGGGATGCCGGGGATTAAACCCCAGTGGGCCAGCGTGCAAGGCAAACGCCCTACCTGCTGTGCTATCGCTCCGGCCCCATTGCTGTCATTTTTTGTCTTATCTGGGGCCACACCCAGCAATGTTCAGGAGCTACTCCTGGCTCTGAACTCAAGAATCCTGGTGGTGCTTGGGGGGAACCCTATGGCATGCCAGAGATCGAACCTGGGTTGGCCGCATGCAAGGCAAGCGCCCGCCACGCTGCTCTATCGCTCCAGCTGCACACACATGTGTGTGCGTGTATATGTGTGTGTGTTTGTGGGGGGGGGCAAGAAATCTTAAATCATGGGGTGAGAGGCCGGGGCATCTGCAGCGCTGGCCACCCTGCAGAGAGGAGCTGAGGCTGAGAGAATGAGAAAGCCAACACCACCTGTCTGGAAGACAGCTTTGGGACTTTTGTTTGTTGGGGGGCCACATCTGGTGGTGCCTGCAGGTAACTGCCAGCTTTGTGCTGGCGGGGGGGGGGGTTGTTCCTGGCAGTGCTGGGGAGCAAACCTGGGCTTCCTGCATGCCCAGCATGTGTCCAGCCCTTTGAACTGTCTCCTGGTCCTTGGAGAGAGTTTGTTTTATTCGTTTGTTTTTGAGATGTGGGGGCTGGAACGTGGGGCAGAAGGAAGAGTTTCCGAGCTTGTATCTGATTAGGCTCGGGGCCCCCCTCCTACTTGGCTGAGTGCCCATGTGAAAAGCAACATATGCCCAGGGGACCCTGCTCAGCGAACCACGACACGGGCCACCAGCTCTCCCCTATGTTGCCCTCAAGCCCAGAGCAGCTCCGCAGCGAGGAGCACTGACCTGTGAGTGCAGGGGCTGGGAGGATGGGCCGCGGGGTCTCTCAGAGGCCAGGTGATCCTGAGGGTCCAGGGCCCCATTACTAAAGAGTCCTGTGGAGGGGCACCGAGGGTGAGTTTATCGGGGCCGATTTCTTACCAAGAGCGGAGCACTGAAACTCGGACCCTAGAATTCCCACAGCACAGACTATTGTAACAGCAGCAAGCGGACTGGCCACTTCTCACCTGGCTGCAGAGAAGGAAGGACCAGCAGGGATGCCGTGCGGGACTCGGGCTGAGCGCAGGCTTTGCAGGAAGGAGGTGTAGGTTTGATCCCCAGCACCGCATGGTCCCCTGAGCTCTGCCATCCCTAAGCTCTGAGCCTGGAGTAGTGCCTGAGCGTCACCAAGTATGGTCCAGACCCTCATGCCACAAAAGAAAAACTCAATCCAGAACTTCATGGTTAAAAAAAAAAATAAACCTGAAACTTACTTTTTTGGGGGGTGGGGGACCACACCCGGCGATATTCAGGGGTTTCTACTGGCTCTATGCTCAGGAATCACTCTTGGTGGTACTCAGGTGCTTATGGGATGTTGGGAATTGAACCCGGGTCAGTTGCAGACAAGACAAATGTCCTACCTACTCTCCTGTTGCTCTAGCCCCAGACCCGTTTTTGTCTCTCGGACCCTACCCAAGAGCTCCAGGGCTCCCTCATTTTCCAACCTCATGCCTGCTTCCAGCTAAGAGCACCAGGCTGGCTGAGTAATGAGGCTGTGGGGTAACCCAGCCCTCTGGGACCTATCCTCCGTGCCCGCCCACCCCTGCTGACCGCCTTCTGTCCAGGGTTCTTGAGCAACCAGGCAGGGCCCAGTTGGTGGCCGTGAGAGGCGGGGGACGGACACAGGATCGCAGCCGAGGCTTGCTCATGGCCCAGGGCCTTCTTCATTGCAGCTGGAAGAGTAATGATGGCAGTGAACAAGGGTCCAGCCTTACTGGATGGAGAGCTTCCCGTGAGTACCCGCCCGGCACTGCAGGACAGGATGGACAGGGTGGAACCCGACCGGGGCGGGGGGCACAGGGGCTGAGAACTGTATCTCTGTCAGTCGAGCCCTCACCAGAGATGGGACAGCAGGGACCCATGTGGTCCCCCAGCCCCGCTGGTGTGAGCCCCGAGAGGCTGGAGAGATAGGACAGCAGGGAGCTCCTTTATCTTGCACACGGCTGACCCAGGTTCCGTCCCCAGCATCCCACAGGGCCCCCCGAGCACCGCCAGGGGTGGTTCCTGAGTGCACCAGGAGTGACCCCTGAGCACTGCCACCGGGTGTGGCCAAAAACAAAACAAAACCACACAAAAATCAAGTGAGCACAGAGCCAGGAGTGAGCCCTGACCAGCCTGACCACTGCCCCAGTGCTCCCTGAGTCTTCCTGGGAGAGGCAGGTGTCCTCAGAATCGCGGCCCCCAGGGACAGCAGTGGGGACATTGTGGGCAGTTCCAGACAGGAAAGGCTGTGACCACGGCTGCATATGTGTGCTCCCTGGTGGGCTAGAAAGTGTGTGGGTTCAGCCTCCACTGGGGGCAGCCAAATCCTGGACACCCCAGCATTCCTAGGGCACCTGCTGCTTCCCAGGAAGAGGGTGAAATTGGTCTGGGCCCTTGGTGGACAGTAATGGCCGCTCGTGCTCTGTGAGCCTGTGCTCTGCCCTATGGGGCCCTTGGGAGCTTCCTGGTGGGTGACTCTGCGAGCTGGGGCGTGGGTGGCCCCCAGCAGTGGGGGGCGAGGCAGGGGGACTCAAGACCCCCATGTGTTTCTTGTAGGAGCAGGAGAACGTGCTGCAGCGGGTCCTGCAGCTGCCCGTGGTGAGCGGCACACGGGAGTGTGTGCAGAAGACCTACACCAGCACCAAGGACGCACACCCGCTCGTGGCCTCCGTGTGCAATGCCTATGAGAAGGGCGTGCAGGGTGCCAGCAGCCTGGCAGCATGGGGCATGGAGCCAGTGGTCCGCAGGCTGTCTACCCAGTGTGAGTGCCACTGCCCCGGCCATGCGCCGGCCAGAGATGACGGCTCTGCCTGTAGATGCCCAGACCTTTCCCCCAAAAGGATGACTGTGCTCCATCTGAGAGACCTAGAGGGGGCGGGGGTACCCAGCGCCCACTCCTGCTTCTCACCAAGCAGTGGCAGGAACTAACAGGGTGTGGCTAGCAGGGGGGTCCCGGCAGGGCTGGGGGGGCATTGGGGAAAGCTCTGGATGCCGGGAGACCTGCTAAGTCCCAGAGGAGACCTCAGCCGCTTCCGAGAGGCTGAAGAGTCGCAGAGCTGGTCGGGCACAGGTGGGGGTGGTGGGGGTCACCACCATGGCCCCTCACTTGCAGTCACAGCTGCTAATGAGTTGGCCTGCCGAGGCCTGGACCAGCTGGAAGAAAAGATCCCAGCACTCCAGTACCCTCCCGAGAAGGTAAGCCCCTGGGAATGTTCTGGACAAAGCGCCACTGGGGGCAGCGGGGGGGGGGCACGCACCTCCACAGCACGACACAGTGAGGGCCTGGCAGAGTCCTGCGACAGGTGGCACCAGAGGCAGTCCTTGAGGGGACACCCCTGCCATGGCCGCCTCACGGGCAGAGAAGCCCAGAGATTCTGCTGGTCGGCTCAGGAGGGCTGGGCCGGATCCCTTTCAAGCTCAGCTCAACCCAAAGTGCCCAAACTTTGGGGTTGAAAGATAGCATAGTGGGGGGCTGGAGCGACAGCACAGCGGGTAGGGCATTTGCCTTGCGCACAGCCGACCCGGGTTCGATTCCCAGCCTCCCATATGGTCCCCTGAGCACAGCCAGGGGTGACTCCTGAGTGCAGAGCCAGGAGTAACCCCTGTGCATCGCCAGGTGTGACCCAAAAAGAAAAAAAGGAAAAAAAAGAAAGATAGCATAGTGGGTAGCGCATGGGCCTTGATGCAGCCAACCTGGGTTCATTCCATATGGTTCTCTGAGCACCGCCCGAAGTGATTCCTGAGCGCAGAATCTGGAGTAATCTCTGAGCACTGCCAGTTGTGGCCCAAAAATTAAAACAAAAAACCAAAGAGTCCAAAACCTTGGCTCCAGCCCCAGCCTTGACTGATGGGCCTGAGGAAAACTTCCAAGCAGAGTGCGCTGACCAGCTTGGCAGTGCTGGGGATTGAGCTCAGGGATTGGCAGCTGCCAGGCATGCACACCTGCCCTTTGCACCATCTCCCCGGCCCCACCCTCTCTGTCCTTCTGGGGACCTTCCCGGAAGCAGTTCCGGGGGTCCATGCCCAGCCCTGTGCCCCCCAGATTGCTTCGGAGCTGAAGGGCAGCATCTCCACTCGCCTGCGCAGTGCCAGGAACAGCATCAGCGTGCCCATTGCCAGCACTTCCGACAAGGTCCTGGGGGCCGCCCTGGCCAGCTGCGAGCTGGCCTGGGGGGTGGCCAAGGACACGGCTGAGTATGCCGTCGGCACACGGGTGGGCCGGCTGGCCTCGGGCGGGGCCGAGCTGGCTGTGGGCGGCATGGAGAAGGTGGTGGGATTCCTGCTCCCTCCCGAGGAGGAAGACTCAGGTATGGCCAGCACCCTCCCCACGGAGCTGCCCCGGAAAGAAAAGGGGGGAGGGGGACTTCCAGCAGGATCCCCCCCACTCAGGGTGCATGAGGGTGAAAGCACATCCAGATGCCTTTTAAGATTGTGGGGGACGGGCCAAGCGATAGCACAGCGGGAAGGGCATTTGCTTTGCACACAGCCGACCGGGGTTTGATCCCCGACATCCCGTGGGGTCTTCTGAGCCCTACCAGGAATAATTCCTGAGTGTAGAGCCAGGAGTCAGCCCTGAATCCTGCTGGGGGCGCCTCCCTCCAAAAAAGTTTGTGGGGACTCCTGGTGGCTGCAGACACACCCTCTTTTCACTCCCTTCACACCTCCCAGCCCCAACTCCAGGAAACCAACGGACCCAGAAGCCCCCCAAGGCCAAGCCGAACCTCATGGCCAGGGTGGGGGCGCTGGCCAACACAGTGACGCAGCACACCTACCAGACCACAGCCCGGGCGCTGAAGCAGGGCCACGCCCTGGCCATGTGGATCCCCGGTGTGGCCCCACTGGTAAGTGCCACTGGCCTGGGAGTTGGGGTGTCCCTCCAGCCCCCTGCAGCCCGCTCTTTCAGGGGGAGGAAATGCAGCTCCAAAGATGGGGGCAGGGGGTCTGGCCCACCACCTCAGATCCTCAGGGGAGTCCTGGGGTCATGGGGGGATGCGGGAGCCACCAGGGAGTCCCCAGGCCCGTGGCCAGCCACGCCTAAGTCCCCTTTCCACAAAGTCCAGGCTGGCACCACACAGGAACATGGGAGTAAGGGCTGGCGGAGGGGGCACCCGGGGCTTGCAGCGGGGTCCCAGCGCCCCCTTCCCACTCACAGAGCAGCCTGGCGCAGTGGAGCGCGTCAGCCGCCATGCAGGTGGTGTCCCGACGGCGTGAGAGCGAGGTGCGGGTGCCGTGGCTACACCACCTGGCGGCCGCACAGCAGGAGGACCGGGACGAAGCCAGCGACACAGAGGGGGATGAGTCGCAGGATGACGACTCGGGTTCTGAGGAGCACAGGCTCAGCGAGGTGAGGGAGCACTGGCCCCGGGTCCCAGTGTTGAGCTGGGGTCCCTGTGCCATGCCCCTCACTGCCCAGCTGGCGTCCACGCCATCCTCCAGTTGGGGGGGCCCTCCTGGCCATACCCTCCGTCCCACTGATGAGCTCTCATGCCTACGAGGGAGAGACCGAGATGCAGAGGGGGGTCGGGGGCTGGTGGCAGAGCCCGCTCCAGCTCCAAGGAAGGGGGAAACACTGACCTTGTTCTGGACGGCAGGTGGCGGCCCGGTCCCGAGCGCCCAGCATCTTGGGCAGCGTGGCCCATACTCTGCAGGAGGCCCTGCGAACCAGCATTGCCGCCGTGACATGGGCGCCCAGGGCCATGCTCAGCACCGCCGGTCGCCTGCTGCACCTCACGCCCGCCCCGGCCACCCCCCTGGCCACCCCCAAGAGCCGCGCCATGTCCCTGTCGGACGCCCTGAAGGGCGTGACCGACAATGTGGTGGACACAGTGGTCAATTATGTCCCGGTGAGTCTGCCCCCCTCCCCGGGTCCCAGGCCCCATTTCCTTGGCCCTCCGGGCTGCCTCGGTCTGTTGCCACCTTGACACAGCTCCCTGACCCCAGACAGAGACCCTTCCCCACCGCTGGCAGCCAGTTTGTGGGTCCCCAGCCCTCCCCCATTAGCTTACAACCCAAGGACCTGGCTGCTCCCCGGACACCCGCGGGTGGGATGGGGGCTGAGGGAGGTGGCGGCTGTGAGCGACACTCAGGCTCTCCTGGGGGGGGCGGTCCCTGGGAAAAGCTGCAGGGGGGCTCTTGGGGAGGAGACCACCCCTGGAAGTGTCTAGGTGGGCGACCCGGTCACGGCTTCACCTGGCGCCCCGGGGAGGGGATCTGGCAGCCACTGATCACTGGGCGGCTCTCCAGAACCTGGCCGGGCCCTGCCTCGGGCTGGGCAGGCGTGGGCAAGGGGGTCCCGAAGCCGGCGGAGACACCGGGGCCCTCCAGCGCGACGGGGGCCGGCGACAGGGTCCTGCTCTGCCCTTAGCTCCCCAGGCTGTCGCTGATGGAGCCCGAGAGCGAGTTCCGGGACATCGACAACCCGCCCCCCGAGTGGGAGCGCCGGGGGTCCCGCGGCAGCCTGCGCGGCGCCCGGAGCCCCGAGGAGCGCGGGGAGGTGCCCGCCGCGCCCCGCCACAGCCTCCCGGTGGCCACTCGGGAGAGGCCCAAGCGCCGGGTCAGCGACAGCTTCTTCCGGCCCAGCGTCATGGAGCCCATCCTGGGCCGCGCGCAGTGCAACCAGCTGCGCAAGAAGAGCTGAGCCGGGCAGGCGGCCACCGGCGGGCAGGGGCCCCGGAGTGGCCCCGGAGACGGCCCGGAGCACCGCCGGGTGCGGCCCCGAATCGCGACCCAGACGGGAGCCGAACTCCGCGGAGCCCCGCCCCGCACCCCGGGCCCGGCAAATAAACACCGTTACCGCGCGCACCTGGGCCGAGCTCTTTTCCGAGCCGCTACCCTTGGCACGCCCCTTGGCACGCCCCTTGGCAGCCCTTGGCACGCCCCTTGGCACGCCCCTTGGCAGCCCTTGGCACGCCCCCTTGGCACGCCCCTTCTCAGCCCTTTGCAGCCCCTTGGCACGCTCCTTGGCACGCCCCTTCTCAGCCCTTGGCACGCCCCTTGGCAGCCAGCTCCGACCAGACCAACCCCGCGCCGGCTGTTTCCCGACGGGAAAGGTGCGCCCCTGCCGACGCCAGGGGAATCGGTTCTTCCCGCGTCCCGGCACCCCGGTGCCGCTTCAGATAGTCACTGTTGGCTGGAGGGCCGGGACAGCCGCTGGTGTACTTCCAGTCCTCTCCCCCACACCCCTCCGCAACCCCCAGTTGCTCGCATTCCCTTCTGCAGCGAAATGGCAACTGAATCAGTTTGGAAGAGTAGGAAAAATAAAAATAGGCTGGGCCTGGAGCAATATAGTACAGTAGGGAGGGCATTTGCGCACGGCCAGCCGGGGTTGGATCTCCAGTACCCCATAAGGTCCCCTGAGCCCTACCAGGAGTGATCCCCGAGCACAGAGCCAGGAGTAAGTCCTGAGCACCACCAGGTGTGACCCCCCCAAAAAAAAAAAGAATGTATCTGTTTCCATATTCATATGTCTCCACACCCTCACTCCTGGATCATCCAGTCTGACCCCCTCACAGCCACACCATCCTCTGCACCCTCACCCCTTCCGTCCCCTCTTTGGTTCTGGAACTGCCACCATGGTGTCATCCAACTAGTCACGTGTGTCCTTTGCCCACCTTGCCACCACTCCTATGTGTGCTCATGCCAGAGGTGCCCCCTGGGGGCTGGTCAGCAGCTCGCAACACTCACTGCCCAAGACACAACTGCACAAAAATGACAGTCCCCCCAACACACTTCAGAAAGCTGAGGTCAGAGACCTTCACTTTCAGCCTGCACAGGCCATCCACGGGGACCAGAGAGGTCACAACCTGGACCCAGGGGCCAACACCCGGGATAGCCCAGCTGCACGGATCACCCCTCTTTGTTTCACTTGTGGGACATGACTCTGGTGGAAGAACACAGAGCTAGCATGTCCCTAGCTCCTCTGGGTGTGGCCCTTGACCCCGGAGCCCCTGCAGGAGTGGTTTCCAGAAGTTAAAAATGTGATGAGCAGGAGCTCAACAGAGAGAGCACCTGCTCGGTGTGTAGGAGGCCTGGGTTTGAGCCCAGCACCCTCAGAACCGCTGGGAGTGAGCCCTGAGCACCGAGTCAGGAGTAGCTCCTGACGACTTCCAAGAGTGATCTCCAAAACAGAACAGAAATTGCTGGAGAGATAGTACAGCAGACAGGATGCTTGTCTTGCATGTGGCCAGCCTGGGTTCAATCTCTGGCATGCCGAACCCACCAGAAGTGATCCCTGAGCACAGTCAGGGGTAAGCCCTGAGCACTGCTGGGAGAGGCCCAAAAGAAAACAAAAAAGAACAACAGAACAAATGTTATAGAAATAATGAAATGCAATGGAAATCAGCACCCCAGCCCCAGTGCTGTTCAGGGTCAAGTGTCAAATGTTTACTTTAGGAAGTGTCAGAGCATATGGAGACTTCTGGCAGATGCCGGTGCCAGTACCTGCGTGAGGGCCCTACCTGACACCGGGATGAGTTGGCTGGTGCTTTGGCCTAAGATGTGCTTCTGGAGCTTATGGTCCCTGCACTGTCTGGGACCTGCAGCAAAACGGGACCAATGGGAGGAGTAAATGAATATATATAATAAATGCACTTACCAACAGACCAACATATAAGTTATCCTACCATAAGGCTAGAGAGACAGTACAGTGGGTAGGGTGCTTATCTTGCATGTGGCTGAGTCAGGTTTGACCCCCAATACCCCAAAGGGTCCCGCCAGGAGTGATTCTTGAGCACAGAGCTAGGAGCAAGCCCCGAGCACTGCCAGGTGTTGCCCAAAAAACAAACACACAAAATCCTTCTATAATATCCCTCCTTACCCATCACTCACCCTCTGATTTCAGTTACCTGGTCCACTGTGACCTACAATAGTATGTTTCTGGCTGTGCTTTGGGGTCACTCCCAGAGCTTCTTAGAGCACTATCTAGTGCTAGTGAGTAAGTGCCCATGTGCTTCAATCACCTCTGACCCACAATAAAACATTCTGGAATACTTCTGAGATAGTCTTTTTTTAATTTTTTGCTTCACACCTGGTGATGTTCAGGGGTCACTCCTGGCTCTGCACTCAGGAATTACATCTGGAGGGGCTTGGTGGACTATATGGGGTGCCGGGGATAGAACCTGGGTTAGCTGCAAGAAAAGCAAATGCCCTGCCCACTGTACTATCATTCTGGCCCCTGAGATAATTTTAGGGTCCAACCCCTCAATGCTCAGGGCTTACCTCCTGGGTCTTCGCTCAGGAATCACTCCTGGTGAGCTCGAAGGACCATATGGGATGCCAGGGATGGAACTGGGTTGGCCTTATAAGGCAAGTGCCATACTCGCTGTACAACCTCTAGCCCCTGAGATATTATATTAAATACGTTATATACAAATACGTTGATATTATATTAATATGATATATTGTTAATAATTGTTTTTTTTGATGCCAGAAATCAAACCAAGTCTTATGCCCACCAGGCATGCACTTTACCACAAACCCGCCCTTTATTAGGTGCTAACGTCACTGTATTGTGCCCGAGTCATTGGGAAAACACTGTCTGTACACAGCGGAAATGGCAAAGCCCATGCAGGTGGGCGCAGGGAGCATAGCGCTGTGAGGCAGCGCCCTCCACTCAGCCCCAGGGAGTCGCAGAGGACCGAGGCGCCCCACGCCCATTCCAAGTGCAGACTAACAAGCCTCGGCCTGCGCGTCCAGGCTTGCGCGGGGCGTGCTGGGCGCCGTCCTGCTCCCTGGGTCTGGCGGAGCACCGGCCTCTTCCCGCGTGCAAAAGCGCGGGGCAGGAGGGGCGTCCCAAGCCCCTGCCACAGTCCTCGGGCGCGGAGAGTCTCGTGGGGCTACGGCGGGCAGGCCTGAGGACTGGAGCTCGGCGGCGGCCCCGGAGGAAAGAGCAAAACTCCGAGCCCCCTGCTGAGAAGTTCCTACCCCACCGACCAGGAGGACCAGGCCGTCTGCGTGGGAAAGCCGAGGCCTGACCACGCCCACACACACGCCCACTCACGAGACGCCCCGCCCCGCCCGCGCTTCCCAGGCCTCATGAGGGGCGTGGAAACTGGAGACCACGCCCCCGGGGAATGCCACGCCCATAAACAAGCCCCTTCGCCGGACGCCCCATCCGGCCCGCGCCTCCGCCCCCGCGAGCACCCGGAGGGCGGAGTTCCGGGTAAGGGAGGGGAAACCGGAGGCATGGCCACGCCCCCGACGGAACACGCCCACACCCAACCAAGAAGCCACGCCCCTTCGCGCCTCCGCTCCGCCTTCAGCACCCCGGCGGGCGGAGTTCGCATAAGGGGCGGGAAACGGGAGGTCTGGCCACGCCCCTACGAGGCCACGCCCACATCCACCCAATCAGCCCCGCCCCGCCCGCTCCTCCACTCCCCCCGGCACCCCGGCGGGCGGAGTTGCGGGTGCGGGGCGGGCTGTTTGGGGGGCGGGGGTCCCGATGACGGCATCGGAGCGCGCCGCGCTGGAGCTCCGGGCCTGACTTTGCAGCTGGGGACTGCAGGCACCCCATAGAGGTGGGCTCGGGTTCGGGCTCGGGGGTCGAGGTGGGCGCTCTCCCCCGGCTGCGGTTGCCTGTGGATCTGGGGCGATCGCAGAGTGGGGGAGCCCCGACCCGGCACGGGGAGCCCCCATCCTTACCTAGAGGCTTCCCGGAGGCCCTCCGACCCGTTAAGTTAGGGGCATCTGATGCCCGCATCCGGGACGCGCCAGACGCTGACACTCTGCGAGAGTCGGTCAGCTTTGGTCATCACTTTTCCAAACTTTCCCGGCCCGGCACCTCGGGTTTGCCTGCCCCTTGCGCCTCGGTGGAACTGCGCGGGCTCCTCCAGGACGGGGAGCTCTGAGCCCTGGGCAGGGATGCGGGGAAGCCCGGCCAGCGGTCAGGGTGAGCGGGGCGCGGACGTTGTCCCCCAGGCTCTGGCTCCCCGCGGGACCGGCTCAACGCACTGTTCCTCGTGGAGGGCAACCGCAGCGGAGGAAATCGCGCCGGGATGAGGGGCTGGGGTGAGGGTCCTGGACGGCTCTTCGCTCTTGGCTAGGCAGCACCTGGAGCTGACCTGCTGGGCCGCCCTGGGAGGTGGGGGGCGGGACGCCTGGGGTGGCAGGAGCTGGCAGGGAGCTCCAGGGAACGCCTGCGTCTGTGCCTGGCTGGGAAAGAGAGCGGGGAGCCCAGGACTAGGGGAGTCCTGGTAAGTCCTCGGGCAGGCACCAAGGAGCTGCTTTTCGTGGGGGTGACCATCATATTCCGGTTTTTCAAAGTGGGGGACAGAGATCACCAAGGGCCCTGTCCAGATGTGGTCAGTCAGGGCCAGGGTGCCTGTGACCAGATGGGGTGGGGCAGGTGGAGGCCACAGCATTAAGTGTAGGAGCTTGGTGGCGGAGGCAGGGGGCTTTTCGGAAAAAGATAGGGGTGTAAAAGGCAGACGCTGGAACTCCCAGAAGTGAGAGGGGCTTGTGTCGTTTCTGTCCATGAGGGATGCAGCTGGAATCCAGAAGCTCTCTGCTTGCAGCCCTCTGTTGGGTGCTGGGTACCCACCTGTGGGGGTCCGGATCTGGGCCCCCTCTATGTACAGTAGTGGTCAGGCCTGGATCAGGGCAATGTCCATGGCGGCCTCTTCCTTTTTCACAGGCCCTCACCATGGGGCTGGAGGCCCCGAGGCTGCCCGGGCCAGAGGAGGCCACCATCAGGGTAGCCCTGCGAGTCCGCCCGCTGCTGCCCAAAGAACTGCTCCATGGCCACCAGAGCTGCCTGCGGGTGGAGCCGGCTCATGGCCGTGTCACCCTGGGCCGTGACCGCCACTTCAACTTCCACGTGGTGCTGGATGAGGACACAGGGCAGGAGGCCGTGTACCAGGCCTGCATGCAGCCCCTCCTGGAGGCCTTCTTCGAGGGCTTCAACGCGACCGTCTTTGCCTATGGCCAGACAGGCTCGGGCAAGACCTACACTATGGGAGAGGCCAGTGTGGGTGAGTGACCCTACACAGGGAGGGGACGGGCCCCCTGACTTTCTGCTCCAGCCTCCCAGTTCTTCAGCAGAGAGCAAGAAGGTGGATTTCCTGACCCTCCAGCATCCTGATGGTACTTACCATGGTCAGGGCAGGGCAGGAAGGCAGCTGGGTAGCCGGCTGGCCGGCTGTTTGTGGGGGAGCAGGAAGCTGGCTCTCCTCAGGGGAACAACTCATGGAAGCTTGGATGAGACCCACTGGCCCGCGGACTCTAAGGCATTCATGGCCCTCCCTCCTGTTGGCTTATAAATCAGGATGATAGAGCCACACTGCGTGCGGGTTTGGCTCCCCCATCAGCACTTGGCTGCTCCTCCTCCTCCTCTTCCTCCTCCTCTCCTCCTCCTCCCCCTCCTCCTCCTTCCTTCTTCTTTCTCCTTCTTTCTTCTTCTTTCTTCTTTGTCTCCTCTCCTCCTCCTCTTCCTCCTCCTCCTCCTTCCTTCCTTCCTTCTTTCTCCTTCTCCTCCTTCTCCTCCTCCTTCCTTCTTCCTTCTTTCTTCTTTTTCTTTCTTATTCTTCTTCTTTGTCTCCTCTCCTCCTCCTCCCCCCTCCTCCTCCTTCCTTCTTCCTTCTTTCTTCTTTTTCTTTCTTATTCTTCTTCTTTGTCTCCTCTCCTCCTCCTCCCCCCTCCTCCTCCTTCCTTCTTCCTTCTTCTTTCTTCTTCTTTCTTCTTTGTCTCCTCTTCTCCTCTTCCTTCCTTCCTTCCTTCCTTCCTTCCTTCCTTCCTTCTCCTTCTTCTTTCTCCTCCCCCTCCCCGTCTTCCTCCTCCTCCCCATCCTCCCCCTCCTCTCCCTCCCCCTCCTCCCCCTTTCCTCCTCCCTCCTCCTTTCCTCCTTCTTTCCTCTTCCTTTCCTCCTCCTCCTTCCCTCCTCCTTCCCTCCTCCTTCCTTCCTTCTTCCTTCTTCTTCATACCCAGTGATACTTTGGGCTTACTCCTGGCTCCACACTAGGAATTACTCCTGGCAGTGCACGGGTGGACAATATGGGATGCTGGGAATCGAACCCTGGGTCAGCCACGTGCAAGGCAAACGCCCTACCTGCTGTACTATCACTCTGGCCCAGCACTCTGGCTTCTTGCTCTGTGGAAATGAGACCAAAAAAAGAAAGAAAGAAAAAGCCCAGGCTGGACTGATTGTGGATTGGACAGTAGGTACTGCTGACCTGATACCATCCCTGGCACCACATATGGTTCACCAAGCCCTGCCAGGTGTGCCCCCTCCCAAAAAAAAGAAAGAAAGCGGAACTGTGAGAGGTACTTTCCAGTGTTTTTTGTTTCTGATTTTGGGGCTCCACCCAGCACTGTGCAGGTCAGTCTCTTGGCTCTGTGCTCAGGGATCACTCCTGGCAGGTCTCAGAGACCATGTGGAGTGACCTTGTGCAGATGCTGTTTCCTCTGTACTGCCACTCCAGCCCCTTGCTGAACCCCCAGCCTTCTGCCCAGCCCCTCCAAGCTGGCATGGCCCAGGCTGCCCTGTCCATCTCATTCCCCTGGATCCCTGTGTGTCTCCCCAGCCTCCCTCCGTGAGGACGAGCAGGGCATCATCCCGAGGGCCATGGCCGAGGCCTTCAAGCTCATCGATGAGAATGACCTCCTGGACTGCCTGGTGCATGTGTCCTACCTGGAGGTGTACAAGGAGGAGTTCCGGGACCTGCTGGAGGTGGGCACTGCCAGCCGAGACATCCAGCTGCGCGAGGACGACCGCGGGAACGTGGGTGAGGAGGTGCCCGGGGCTTGCACTTGTCCGGGAGCGTGCCGGCCTCTGCTCTAGTTCCCCCATGGGCACTGAGCTCTGTCCCCAAGGTGGAGAGCATGGGCATGGGCAAGGGGCAGGGAGCCTCCAGTCCCGACCTGGATGAGCAGGACCCTCTCCTGTGCCCACAGTGCTGTGTGGAGTGAAGGAGGTGGATGTAGAGGGCCTGGACGAGGTGCTCAGCCTCCTGGAGGCAGGCAATGCTGCGCGGCACACGGGCTCTACCCACCTCAACCGCCTGTCCAGCCGCTCACACACTGTCTTCACTGTCACCCTGGAGCAGCGTGGCCGCTCTCCTAGCCGCCCGCCCCGGCCAGCGCCCGGCCAGCTGCTCGTGTCCAAGTTCCACTTCGTGGACCTGGCAGGCTCCGAGCGGGTGCTGAAGACGGGCAGCTCAGGCGAGCGGCTGCGGGAGAGCATCCAGATCAACAGCAGCCTCTTGGCGCTGGGCAACGTCATCAGCGCGCTGGGTGACCCGCAGCGACGTGGCAGCCACATCCCCTACAGAGACTCCAAGATCACTCGGTGCGTGAGCTTCGGGGAGGCGTCCAGCAATCTTGGGGAGGTACCCTGGGTTCTAGGGAGAGCGTCTGAGAGTATTGGGGAGGTGTCCTGGGTTCTAGGGAATGCGCCCGAGAATCTTGGGAAGTGCCCTGTGTCCTAGAGACAGCGTCCGAGAATCTTGAGAAGTACCCTGGGTTCTAGGGAGAGCGTCTGAGAGTATTGGGGAGGTGCCCTGGGTTCTAGGGACAGCATCCGAGAATCATGGGACGGTGCCCTGGGTTCTAGGGAACGCGCCCGAGAATCTTGGGAAGTACCCTGGGTTCTAGGGAACGCGCCCGAGAATCTTGGGAAGTACCCTGGGTCCTAGGGACAGCGTCAGAGAGTCTTGGGGAGGTGCCCTGGGTCCTAGGGACAGTGTCAGAGAGTCTTGGGGAGGTGCCCTGGGTTCTAGGGGCAGCATCCGAGAATCATGGGACGGTGCCCTGGGTTCTAGGGAACGCGCCCGAGAATCTTGGGAAGTACCCTGGGTCCTAGGGACAGTGTCAGAGAGTCTTGGGGAGGTGCCCTGGGTTCTAGGGGCAGCATCCGAGAATCATGGGACGGTGCCCTGGGTTCTAGGGAACGCGCCCGAGAATCTTGGGAAGTACCCTGGGTCCTAGAGACAGCGCCCGAGAATCTTGGGAAGTACCCTGGGTCCTAGGGACAGCGTCAGAGAGTCTTGGGGAGGTGCCCTGGGTTCTAGGGGCAGCATCCGAGAATCATGGGACGGTGCCCTGGGTTCTAGGGAACGCGCCCGAGAATCTTGGGAAGTACCCTGGGTTCTAGGGAACGCGCCCGAGAATCTTGGGAAGTACCCTGGGTCCTAGAGACAGCGCCCGAGAATCTTGGGAAGTACCCTGGGTCCTAGGGACAGCGTCAGAGAGTCTTGGGGAGGTGCCCTGGGTCCTAGGGACAGCGTCAGAGAGTCTTGGGGAGGTGCCCTGGGTTCTAGGGGCAGCATCCGAGAATCATGGGACGGTGCCCTGGGTTCTAGGGAACGCGCCCGAGAATCTTGGGAAGTACCCTGGGTCCTAGAGACAGCGCCTGAGAATCTTGGGCAGTACCCTGGGTCCAGGGACAGCGTCAGAGAGTCTTGGGGAGGTGCCCTGGGTCCTAGGGACAGCGTCAGAGAGTCTTGGGGAGGTTCTCTGTGTTCTCTGGGTTTTAGGAAAACCGCAGCCCTGACCCCCCTGCCCTGACCGCCCCCAGGATCCTCAAAGACTCGCTGGGCGGCAATGCCAAGACGGCGATGATCGCCTGCGTCAGCCCCTCCTCGTCCGACTTCGACGAGACCCTCAACACCCTCAACTATGCCAGCCGCGCGCAGAACATCCGCAACCGCGCGACGGTCAACTGGCGGCCCGAGGCCGAGCGCGCGCCCGACGAGGCGGCCGGGGGCGCGCCCGCGCCACCGCGCCACCGCTCGGAGACGCGCATCATTCACCGCGGCCGGGGCGCGCGCCCGGGCCCCGCCGCCGCGGCCTCCTCCGCAGCTGCCGCCGCCGCCGCGCGCCTGGGTGCCGAGTGCGCGCGCTACCGGGCTCGCAGCGACGCCGCCTGCAGCCTCCTGCGCCAGCTGCAGGCCGAGCCCGGGCTGCCCGGCGCCGCCGCGCGCAAGGTCCGCGAGTGGCTGTGCGCCGTGGACGGCGAGCGCAGCGCCCTGAGCTCCGCCTCGGGGCCCGACAGCGGCGTCCAGAGCATGTCCACGGAGGAGCCGGCCCCGCAGGGGCTCCGCGCGGGTCAGGTGCGACCCTGGGAGGGGTCGCGAGGAGGCGAACGCCCTTTCGCCCAGTCTTTTTGGTAACCTCGGTCGCTTGGCTTCGGTCCCGGCTGGGCAGGAGGGAAGGGCTGCAGGGCTGGTCCGGCGCCCAGGGCGAGGCTCTGCAAGTGTCAGTGGTGTCGCTGTTAAAATAGAGGAGGCTGGCCCACGGTTGGAAGCTTGTCACAGGTGGGGCGCAAGAGGGAGAGGGCAGTTAGGACAGAGATGAGACCGCTATGACAGTGACAGCTGGAAATGATGATCACTCTGGACAAGAATTGAGTGCTAAAAAGAGGTAAAGGGATATAATGATAATCTTAGAATACCTATACTGCAAACCATAATGCCAAAAGGAGAGGGAGGGTGGGGGAGAAGGAGAGAGGAAGAGGAGAAGAGGAGGAGACGGAGAAGAAGAGACAGAGAATAGTGTCTGCTGTACAGGTGGGGTGGAGGAATGGATTGAGGGAAATCAGGGACATTGGTGGTGGGAAATGTTGCAGTGGTGAGGGATGAGTGTTGGAACATTGTATGACTGAAACCCAGTCATGGACAGTTTTGTAACTGTTTATCTTACAGTGATTTAATTAATATATATATATATATATATATATATATATATAGAGAGAGAGAGAGAGAGAGAGAGAGAAGGGGCTGGTGCTGGGTGTAGAGCCCTTGCCTTGCAAGCAACTGACCTGGGTCCCCGGAGTACCACCAGGGGTGTTTCCTGAGTGCAGAGCCAGGAGTAAGCCCTGAGCATCGCCATGTGCAAGGCAACAACACAACAATACCAATAATTTAAACTAGAGGCAGACAGTGGCTGCAGAGGACATACGGTGCGGGTGGGACCTGGGTGTGTGTTGCCTCTGAAGCTCCTCTCCTGCCCCTAGGAGGGGGAGGCGGCACCACAGCTGTTGGCCCTGCAGAACCAGGTGGCCCGACTGGAGGAGGAGAACCGGGACTTCCTGGCAGCGCTGGAGGATGCCATGGAACAGTACAAATTGCAGGTGAGTGGTGGGTCGTCTTCCCCAGAAGTTGGCACGATTGGGTTCTTCAAGGTGGGTAAAGATGGGGCGAAGCACAGCGGGAGCGAAGGAGGGGGAACGTGGGGTGGTGTTGGGGTCGCCCTATATGCTTGTTTGGGGGTCATGCCCAGAGGTGCTTCTTCCCGCGGGGTGCTGTCTTGGGGTCACTCCTGGTAGTGCTGGGATTGGTTGTAAAGCATACCTGTTGCCCCAAGGTAGAGGGATCAGAGCTGGTCTTAGCGCCCTCTCGTGGCAGAGATTTGTATGGCAGGAGGGAGTGATAACCGGTAACAGCATCCTGATGTCGTGGCCCCCACTCCTTGGCACCTGCTTCTTACCCTGCAGAGCGACCGGCTGCGTGAGCAGCAGGAGGAAATGGCGGAGCTGCGGCTGCGGCTGGAGCTGGTGCGGCCTGGCTGGGGTGGGGCCGGGCTCCTGCCTCCTGGCTCCTTTGTGCCCCGACCTCACACGGCTCCGCTGGGGGGTGGCCACACTCTTGTGCTGGGCACAGTGCCCCCAACCTGCCTTCCTGGAAGTGAAACTGGTCCTGAGAATTTGGGAGAGGTGAGGAGGGGACAAGGCAGGGAGTGCATCCCTCACCTCAGGGGGTGCCCAGGGAAGGGCTGGGGTTGGTCTGTGACACTGGGCAGTCCTGATCTGGCTGGAGGTTCTGGGGAGGCTTCTGCCCGTCAGTCGGGTGGGAACTTGCGTGTCTCCCTGGATGGGGTGCTCACCCTGTCTCCAGCTTCACTGCGGGTCTGCCCTGGCAGGTGGCAGGTGACAGAGAAGCTGCAGCCGTGCTGCTGGCAGAGGTGGAACAGTTGGAAAGTGGTTCTTCCACATCTGAGGAAGAGGAGGAGGAGGAGGAGGAAGAGGAGGAAGACCAGGAGGAGGACCAGGAGGAGGAGGAGTTGCTGAGGCAGGTTCGAAAGTGAGTGGAGCCTCCCCTTCTGTGCAAGGCCAGCTCAGGGCCGGGTGGGGCAGCAGGAGGAGCCACTGGTCTCACAGGTGCCCCCTGCAGGGCAGGGACTTCATGATCAGAGCTGAGTTGTCACTGGTGAGGGGGTTGGCTTGGGCCTCCAGGGTCTCTGGAAGTGACCCTTGGCACCTCCCATCAATGTGTGTCTCCGAATCATCACCCCAGATCCCAGGTTCACCCCTGTCCTGAGCAGGGTCACATTGGGACATTGGGGACTAGAATGCCGGAGGCTTCATTCCGTGTGGACACGAAGGTGGGCAGGGGGAGGGGCTGGGGTTGACACTGACTCCTGATTCTCCCTTCCAGAAATGGCATCAGCAAGTGGAGCCAGAGGAGGCGATGCGCTGGAAGCCCCCCTGACAGGAAGGGTCCTGAAGTTTGCCTGCAGGAGCTGGGCACAGCACTCGCAGGGCCCAGAGGTGACCAAAGGGCCACCTTTCCCTGTACTCCTTCTTTACGGGCCCTGTATGATGCTCCCGCATGCCTTCCCCAGGCCCAGGGCATGCCCTCCTCTCCCTTGTCTCCCTTGTTGACTGTTGGAGCCCTGACGATGAGTCTTTCACTGCAGTGGAAGGGAGCCAGGCTGCCCCTCGACCCCGCCAGGCCCCAGCTGCCTCGGCCTCTGAGTGGCGGCTGGCACAGGCGCAGCAGAAGATTCGGGAATTGGCCATCAACATCCGCATGAAAGAGGAGCTTATCAGTGAGCTGGTCCGCACAGGTAGGACTGGCAGGGCCTCTGCCTGCGATAGGCATCACAGTCTCTGTCTGCTCTGTCTGTGACAGGGTGATAGGTCACCTGTGAGCATGAATGCGGGGCCGGAGCCACAGTACAGCGGGGAGGGCACTTGCTGTGCAGGGGGCCAAACTGCCTTCGATCCCTGACATCTCATGTGGCCCCCCGAGCCCGGCCAGAAGTGATCCCTGAGCACAGAGCAGGAGTCAGCCCTGCGCACCGCCGGGCTGACACGGTGCTTGCTCCAGGGAAGGCAGCCCAGGCGCTGAACCGTCAACACAGCCGGCGCATCCGGGAGCTGGAGCAGGAGGCGGAGCGCGTGCGGGCTGAGCTGAGTGAGGGGCAGCGGCAGCTTCGGGAGCTGGAGGGCCGGGAGCCGCGGGATGCAGGCGAGCGGTCCCAGCTCCAGGAGTTCCGCAAGCGGGTGGCCGCGGCCCAGAGCCAGGTGCAGGTCAGTGGCAGGGGCGGGGGCGGGGAGAGGGTTGTGGCTTGGAAGCAGGACAGTGGGTGCAGGCCCCAGGCCCCATCCCTGTCGTCGTCCTAGTTCTTTTAGAGACCCCAGCCAGCCTGGTCTCCTTTCTGTGGTCCCATTGCCTGCCCATCCACTCTCCATCCCTCGTCTCTGCATCACCATCTGGCTTCCCCCTCCTCCTCCCAGTCTAGGTCCTGGGGCCAGTCCTGGTGATGCCACACCCTCGTTGTATTGTCCTTGCTCGTTCTCCAGCCTCTTTGTTCCTCAGTTTCCAGTTCTGTGATTCTGTGTGTCTGTGCACGCCTGCGTGGGACTGGGGATCCAACCCAGGAATGTGCTTTGCTACCTCACCATGACAGAGCTGTGAACTGTCACCAGATCAGCACACAGGAGTGTGGGGGCCCGGCGTAGGAAGTGCCCGAGGGGTGCCCGTTTGCTGTCCACCCGCCTGGCACCCCTTCTCCATCCCTCTGCCGAGCAACCCCGGGCACCATCACGCCAGGCTTCTGGCCACCCTTGTGTTGGTCGCAGGTGCTGAAGGAAAAGAAGCAGGTGACCGAGCGGCTGGTGTCGCTGACGGTGCAGAGCGAGAAGCGGCTGCAGGAGCTGGAGCGCAGCGTGCAGCTCATGCGGCAGCAGCAGGGGCGCCTGCAGAGGCGGCTGCGCGAGGAGACGGAGCAGAAGCGGCGGCTGGAGACGGAGATGCACAAGCGGCAGCACCGCGTTAAGGTGCCGCTCCCGGCCGCAGGGGGCGCTAAGCGCGCCGGACTGAGCGCTGGGCGGAGCCGGGGAGGCCGCTGGTGGCGGGCGAGGCTGAGTCGGAATTCGGAAGGGTCTGCCCAGGCAACCAGCACTGGGAGGGGCTTCTGCCGCACGTCCCCTTGGACTTGGGGTGGCAGGGTTGGCCTGTGGATGCTCTTGAGGTCTGGGTCTGGGGTCTCCCCCACCTCCCTCTGACCCCTGCACATCCACCCGCGTATCCCCAGGAGCTGGAGCTGAAGCATGAGCAGCAGCAGAAGATCCTGAAGATCAAGACGGAGGAGATCGCGGCGTTCCAGCGGAAGCGTCGCAGCGGCAGCAATGGCTCTGTGGTCAGCCTGGAGCAGCAGCAGGTGGGCCCCGTCCCCGGCGTCCGCGGTGCCCCCGCTGGTGGGCGCTGCGCTCCTCCTGCGACCTTGGCGGCCTGGTGCAGCCAGAGGCCGGAGCTGACCTCCCTCTGCCGCCCCGCTCCGGCCGCAGAAGATTGAGGAGCAGAAGAAGTGGCTGGACCAGGAGATAGAGAAGGTCCTGCAGCAGCGGCGGGCGCTGGAGGAGCTGGGTGACGAGCTGCGCAAGCGGGAGGCCATCCTGGCCAAGAAGGAGGCCCTGATGCAGGAGAAGACGGGGCTGGAGAGCAAGCGCCTGCGGTCCAGCCAGGTGAGGGGCCGCCTGGCACGCCAGGTGGGGGCCTGCGGGTGAGTTTCAGTGAAGTCCCACAGCCGATAAGCTTGGTGAGTTATTGATGGGTCGGGGACTCCCCAATCAGGCGTCATGGTCCTGCTGGATCGTGTCCCGGGAATCTCCCTAGAGCTTTCTTTTTGCTCTGTTCTGTGATGTCGGGGGTGGAACCCAGCGCTTGATTCCTCCCCCAGGCTCTCAGTGAGGACATCGTCCGGGTGTCCAGCCGCCTGGAGCACCTGGAGAAGGAGCTGTCGGAGAAGAGCGGGCAGCTGCGGCAGGGTAGCGCCCAGAGCCAGCAGCAGATCCGTGGTGAGATTGACACCCTGCGGCAGGAGAAGGACTCACTGCTCAAGCAGCGGCTGGAGATCGACAGCAAACTGCGGCAGGGAAACCTGCTGTCCCCGGAGGTGCGCTGCCCCCCTGGCCCCCCAACTCCCCCGTCCGTAGCCCCGCCCCCAGAGCCACTAGCCCCACCCCTGGAACATCTATCTCCGCCCCTTACCGGTCCCCAGCTCTATCCCCGCCAATGGTCCCGCCCCAGCGCCACCCCCACCCTTGGCCCCACCCGCGGCCTCATGTAACCCAGCCCCTCACCTCGCCCCCAACACCTCTATCCCCGCCCTCTGCCCCGCCCCCAGTGCCACTGTCCCTAATACCCCTGTCCTCACCCCACCCACCTCCAAGTCCTGCTAATCCTGGCTCTGGCCATTGCTGGACTGGGCAGTGGGAGGGCTGCTGGGGTGGTGCCCCGGGACCTGGGATCTGGGCTTGTTCTTGCCCTATGGGACATATGAGACTCATGGCCTCATGGTGTGAGGACCCGAACTTCCCCGGGCACATCGTGCAGCCTTTGGCCATGCTCCTGCTCGGGGTCCCAGGCGTCTGTGTGTTCAAGACATGCTTGGGAGGAACGGTGCAGCTGTGGTGTCTTGCTGATTCCCCCAAGAGTCCATGACGCACCATACCCCTGTCCCCGCAGGAGGAGCGGACACTGTTCCAGCTGGACGAGGCCATCGAGGCCCTGGACGCTGCCATCGAGTACAAGAACGAGGCCATCACGTGCCGTCAGCGGGTGCTGCGGGCCTCAGCGTCTGTGTTGTCGCAGTGTGAGATGAACCTCATGGCCAAGCTCAGCTACCTGTCGTCCTCTGAGACGAGGGCCCTGCTCTGCAAGTACTTCGACAAGGTGGGCTGCTGCCCTGCAACTGCACCTGCACCCTCAGGCCAGGGGCGGGGGTACTCAGCCCACCTATAAGTCCCTCAGAAGCTTGTTTCAGGGATTCCGAGGCTTCCCTCCCCTTGGGCACTGCTTGCGCCTTTGGACAGCCCTGGCCTGGACCTGTCCAGCAATCCTTACTGGTCCCCATGGTGGGTGGGGTCCTGCTAAGCTGCCCTGGTCGTGGTCCTGCTGGCATGTGGGTAGGAAGGAGTGGGGTCTCACAAGCTGCCAAGAGCTGTCAAAGGTGTCAAAGGCCCCATGGATTGGGGCTGGAGCAATAGCACAGCAGGTCGGGCGTTTGCCTTGCACGCGGCCAACCCGGGTTCGATTCCCAGCATCCCATATGGTCCCCTGAGCACCGCCAGGGGTAATTCCTGAGTGCAGAGCCAGGAGTAACCCCTGAGCATCACCAGGTGTGACCCAAAAAAGCAAAAAAAAAAAAAGCCCCATGGATTTCTCTGTGACACACACCCGGAGCCTGGTCGGGGTACCCGACTGGGGGCTGAGGCTGGCGGTGATGGCGGTGCAGGTGGTGGCACTGCGGGAGGAGCAGCACCAGCAGCAAATCGCCTTCTCGGAGCTGGAGATGCAGCTGGAGGAGCAGCAGCGACTGGTGTACTGGCTGGAGGCAGCCCTGGAGCGGCAGCGCCTGCAGATGGACCGTCAGCTGACGCTGCAGCAGAAGGAGCACGAGCAGAACATGCAGCTGCTGCTGCAGCAGAGCCGAGGCAGGCCGGCCCCTCACCCCTCACCCCTGCCTGCATGCGGCCCCTCACCCCTCACCCCTGCCTGCATGCGGCCCCTCACCCCTCACCCCTGCCTGCATGCGGCCCCTCACCCCTCACCCCTGCCTGCATGCGGCCCCTCACCCTCACCCCTGCCTGCATGCGGCCCCTCACCCCTCACCCCTGCCTGCATGCGCACACCCCCCCACCCGTCTGCGTGTGGTCCCTCACCCCTCACCTCTGCCCATACGCATTCCCTGACCCCTGCCTGCATATGACCCCTCACCCTTCACCTCTGCCCGCACGTATCCCCTCACCCCTGCCTGCGTATGGCCCCTTAGCCCTATCCATGCATAATCCCTCACTTCTTCCCATGTGCAGCCCCTCACCATCCCCCCCACCCCGTCTCTCCCTGCAGATCACCTGGGAGAAGGGTTGGCAGACAGTAGGCGGCAGTATGAGGCCAGGATCCAGACTCTGGAGAAGGAGCTGGGCCGCCACGTGTGGCTAAACCAGGAGCTGAGACAGAAGCTGAGCAGCGTGCAGGCCGCGGGCCAGAGCAGGGGTAACGCCGCTGCCGCCACCGGCCTCTCCTTCCTGGTAGCTCAGAAAGCCCCCAAGCTTTTGTCCTGACTGGGCCATTGCTGCCCCGGCTGAGGGCGTGGGGCTCAGGGAAGCGTGGCCTTCCCTGGGGCGTGGTTGCCCATTCCTGACAAGGACTCCTCTCGGCAGGCGGGGACAAACGGGCCTTGTGCCTGGAGAGCCGACAGCACCCTGCGAGTGAAGAAGAGCCCCAGCCGGCACCCCCCGAACTGCTCTGGCAGCCCTCGCACGTGGAGAACAACCCCCGCGGCCCCCGGGAGGAGGCAAGGGACTTGGTCCACGCCCCGCTACCTCTGAGCTGGAGACGCTCCAGTGGGTGTGGCGAGGAGCCCGTTGCCCCCGAGGAGCTCAGGCATCGGGAGGCGGCGGAACCCCTGGTGGGCCGGGTGGTCCCTGCGGGGGAGGCGGGCCTCCCCTGGAGCTTCGGGCCTCTGGCCAAGCCGCGGCGGGACGCGCGCAGGGCCAGCCCTGGGATGATCGATGTCAGGAAGAACCCCCTGTAGGCTGGCAGTGCTCACCTCCCTCTGAGCACTCCAGGAGCCAGCTGAAGGGAGGGGACCAAGAAGTGAGGACTAGGCTCGTTCTTGAACCCACCAGCAGTCCTGATTGCTGCGAACTCGCGACTGCCCCCTGGTGGCCAGAGCCTTGAGCCCCTTCTGTTCTGAAGTTGGGAGTTCAGCCAAATCTGAGTTTTGGGGTTCAGCCACGGCTTGTAACAGAACTACTAGTGGCAACAGGGGCGGTGCCTTTAATGTCTTTGGATGGGGATCCGGGAAACAGCCCAGTTTTAGGGTTTGTAAAAGCATTTCATAATAAAGTCATCCTTGAAGGGAGTGTGTGTGCGTGTGTGTGTTGGGGGGGGTTCACTTGAGCTGGCCTCAGGGGTATGAGGATTGTGCTGGCTTTCAGGCCTGGCAAGGTGGCCACCTCAGAAGCCCCTGCTGCTGGTGCAGGGCCGGCTCCTCGGGTGGGAAGAGCAAACACGTGGACACTGTGCGGCGTTTATTATTATTTATTGTTAGGTAGAGACTAAAACACATTCTGTCCTGAGCCTGACCAACTGGCAGCAGCAGCTCTGGGCCAGGCTGTGCGTCCAACTTCTGTGCAAGGGGTTCTGTCCAACTTCTGGAGGGGTTCCTGGTCTTCAGCTGTCAGGCCCCTGATGCCCAGGGTATACCCAGCCCGACCCCTTCCCTGGCCAGGGAGCTATAAAGGTCACAGGCTTGGGACCCGGTACCTCATCCTCTTTGGGCACTCTGGGTCCCCGTGTCTGGCCTCCCAGCGCAGCCCTGCCCAGGGGAAGTGCGTTTTTGGGCCTCTGGTCAGGCACCCTCCAGGGTGTCTGGGGACACGGCTGGGCAGTTCAAGGGTGTGATAGTCGAGTCCTGGGGTTCTTCCTAGCTCAGCAGCTTCTTCCGCGTGTATGTCCTGACAGGGCACCTCCTGGTCAGTGCTCGGCTGAAGGGGGATTCCTCAGCCATGGGGAGAATGGCATCCCCGTCATCCCCTAGAGGCAGAGACAGGCTTAGGGAGCAGCCAGAGAAGCAGGGAAAAGGGCCTCAAACTGCAGAAGGCCACAGTCAGAGCAAAGTCCCGCTGGGCATCAGAGAGTGAGCGACGCCATGGCCAGGATGTGAGCTGAAGGTGCTGCGGAGGGACCCTCCTGCATCAGAACCACGTGACGGTCTCACCCCACTCCCTCATCCCTGTTAGTGAAAGGCTCGGAAGGAAATGACCCACTCTCCAGTGACCGGTTCCTGCCACCGTTACCCTTCAGAGCTACTTGACGGAAGGGGCTTCTGCTTGAACACGGACATCTGACTTGCTATGCCGGGGACAAACCGACATCCACCCCTGGCCCCGATGCCTTTCCAGCCCACCTCTCTGGCCCCTAGCTCCATCCAGAGCCCGTGTGCCCGTGCCATCACTCCATACCTCTGGTGTTGGCAGCTGGTGTGGAGGGCATTCTGCCCTGGAACAGCAGCGGGGACTGCGTCAGGGCCTGGAGGCTGCTGGCAGAGAGGCAGCTCCGCCTGGCAGAGACGGGGGACAGGGCGGGCCCTGGGGGGACAGCAGAGTCAGAAGAGGCCCAGGTCGCAAAGGCTGCTCCCAAGCCCCCAGTCGACCCACCTGAGACAAATACACTGTCATCATCAGGGGAGGGCAGCGGCTGCCGGAGTCCTGGGGACCCCTCTTCATTCCTCTGGGGCACCCCGTCTCCTTGCAGCAGCTCACACGCCCTCTTGGCCTGAGACTTGGTTTCCTCCTGCGGGGAGAGGAGTCTCTTCCTGGCCCCTGTGCCCAGCTGTCCCCAGGGGGCATCCTCAGGGGCAGGCCCGTCAGTCCAGGGAGGGGACAGCTCAGGCAGCTGGCACACCCCCTCAAGCTCAAAATCCCCCAAGAGAGGGGGGTCCTTGTGGCAAGGGTGGAGCTCGACGCCTGGCTCCTGGAACTCGGGCCCGGGCAGAGCCCCAGCAGGGTCCAGGCCACCCTCGGCCCTGCCCACCCCACAGTCCACAGCTCTTTTCTTCCGGGGCCAGTCCTGGATGGTCTCAGGCGTGCCCTTCCCACTGGGCTTTGGTGACGGGGTCCAGGGAGCCCCTGTGCCTGCCTGCAACGGAGAGGGGTCAGCATGGCAGCGGGTCGGGGTACAGGACTGGCAGATGTAGATCTGGCCGCCACCCTTGCCGGGCGTGCTGTGTGAGGGCCGGAGGCAGGGTGCCGGTGGGTGCACAGTCTCAGGCTTATTGGCAGACTTCCTGGTGCTGGGTGCACCCCCACCAGGCAGGGGACCCTTCCCGTCCAGGGGCTCAGCCTCTGAGCTTGGGTCTCTGTTTTGGATCCGCAGTCTTGGAAGATCCATGGTGGACGTGCCCAGCTCCAGCTTGTAGGGCTGGGGGCTGGCAGGGGCCTGCATGGGTGGGGTACAAGCTGGCAGGCCCTCCAACTGAGGGGCAGCCGAGGGTAGGCTGAGGGAAGACGGCATCCAGGGAGAGCTGGGCCTCGAGGACAGCGGGGACACAGGAACCCCGGAGTCAGGCAGAGGTTCTTCGGAGACACCGGGTCGTCGGGACCCCTTGCCTTCCCTCATGGGCTGAATGTCTGTGACGGAGCTGCCATGGATGGGGCCACTAGCCTGCTCTGGGACAGGGACAGTTCGCATGTCACCAGGTCTGAGCAGAGGAGAGCAGACGTCCCTGCCGAGGCTGGTCGCAGAGGAACCCCATCTTTCAGGAGAGTTGTCCGGAGGGGGCAGTGCTCGGCGGTCAGGCGGGCTGGCGGCAGGGCTGGGCGTGCACCCCAGGGCGATCATCCCGGGTTTCTGTCCAAGTTTGGAGGGGGGGGGTGTGGGGGCTGAGCCCAGGATGAGCTCGCTGTGAGTCTCTGTGTGGAGTGGAGGGGGACCCGCTGGCTTCTCCGGTGAGAGGTCGGGGCAGGGATGTCCATGGGGGACTCTCAGAGCTGCCACATGGCGGAGTGTGAGGTGGTGAGGAAGGCAGTGTGGCGGAGTGGCCCGGCCGCTGGGGGCCTGCAGTGGGGTGCCGGTGCTTGGGATCTGGAGAGACGCTCTTCCGGGCAGCTTGCCTCCGTGGAAGACACTCACACTGCACCCCCACAGAGCCCGGAACCCCGCCTAGCAGCTGAACGGGGCTCTCGGGAACCACTGGGGGGTGCTGAGGAGAATCCACCAGGAATTCAAGGGTCCGGCTGGCTGGCCTGCAGCATATCCTCGGGCTCTCCTCTCTCGGGGATGCCCCACCTGCCAGGGAGCCCCCTCGAAGCAAAGTGCCTTGTGGACAGGGTGAGTCCCAGTCACAGGGGGAGGTGGCTGCTAAGCGCCCCCGACAATGCGCCCGTCGGGCAGGTGTCGTTTCTAAGGGGGGTCCCTGCAGCCTCTCAGGGGTGCAGAAGGGAGCCTGTGGGGTCCGAGGGATCTTCCCAGGCGTTGCTTTAGAAGAGCTGCAAGCAGTCTGAGCATTCTTCTTTGGTGTCTGTTGAGAAAATGCTGGTTTTAGGGAGAGGGCGTGCCTACAGGGTTGGGCAGGTGCTCATGCTCTGCACACAGGAACCCTGGGCTCCCTCCCCCGGCAACCCCAGGTGGGACCCAAACATCAAGAAGAAAAGGAGAGAGAATTCCACACTGAGCATGGTCTCGGCACCACTCAGAACGTGACCAGTGGCTGAGGTGGCCGTTGCAGAAAGATACATGGTGAATGAAGCAATGGTGCAACAGGCAGAGCTGGGGTCATCTCTAGCTCCTTGGTCTGAAACTGATACCCAGTGATCATCGCTCAGGACCACCACCCATCAGCATCAGCGGACACGGGCTTTCAGGCCCCTGACGCATGGTGTGTTTCCATGCCTCCCAAGACACACACAGACATGGCAGGATCCTGGTACCTGGTAAGTGGACGCACTCTCGGTTCCTGGCGTGGCTCCGGAAGGCCTTTTTTTCCTGGCCGACGTCGTCTCGGAGGGATAGGTCATCTCCATCACCGCGCCAAAAAGGAGCCTTTTGGGAGTCTGGATACGCTGGACGGGGGAGTCTTCTCTTTGGTCTGCAAGTCGAAACCATGACAACACTCAGCACCTTCTTCGATTTCCGCCCTCCCAAACAATCCCACCAGAGAGTCACAGGAAGTCTTTCACTGAGTTGGCGGGCCCACACTGCAGCCTGCTTCAATTTTTCAGAGACCACAGACTAGCCCCAGTTCAAGTTAGAAGTGTTGGCATCCAAAAGCACTTCACATGCTAACACAAATTACTGACAAGTGGGGACGGTTGCTTGGAGTGTCCACCGCTCTTTGCCGGGAAGGAAAATGTCCACTTCTTTCCACCCCACTCCCTGGCACACCGGCAGGGGCTTTGGAGATGGACACGTACCTGACTTGGCTTGCTGGAGCGAGTGAACTCTCTGCACACTTCGAGACTTCGGCTGAGACAGGGAGTAGAAAGAGCCAGAATGCGTCCTGGTTAATGACAGCTGCTTGATTCGAGGACTTCGTCTCAGACCTGCTTCTGTAAAACAGAATTAAAGGGTAGTAAGAAGGGAGCAGTGCAAGTCTGGTATTTCCCCACGTACACAAGGGGTGTGCCTGTGTGCCACACAGCCAGGGTGGAGGCCTAACAAGTTCTTGGTTGTGGAAACAGAGCTTGAGAGGTATAAGGCATCAAAACAGTGACTCCCCAACCCCAGTCCTGGACTGCACCTTTGTAAATCTCATAAACTTCTTCCCATAAGCGTGATGTAGACAAAAATATATAAACTTGAACTACCGTTTCTATATGCTGTGAGAGTATGATTGAAGTTAAAACATTAACAGGACTTCTGGGTTAAGCGAGGTAAGAATTCTGGGGCTTCTGATTTTCTACAAAGAGTGCAAATTACTTGAGTAAAGGCAGTTAGCTTGTGGAGGTGCCAGAGTGATAGGACAGCAGGTGAGGCCTTGCATGCGGCCAGCGTGGGTTAGATCCCTGGCACCTCTTATGGTCTCTCAAGCACCATCAGGAGTAATTTCTGGGTTTTTTTGGGGCTTGCTTTTTGGGTCACACTCAGTGATGCACAGGGGTTATTCCTGGCTCATGCACTCAGGAATTGCTCCTGGCGGTGCTCGGGGGACCGTATGAGATGCTGGGACTCAAACCCGGGTCGGCTGCATGTGAGGCAAACACCCTACCTGCTGTGCTATCGCTCCAGCCCCATCAGGAGTAATTTCTGAAGGCAAAGCCAGGAGTATCCCCTGAGCATCTCCGGGGATAGCCCAGAAACAAAACAAAAAAAGTTTATGAAAAGCCCTTCATTACACTTGTAGTAATTGGTCTCCACTGTGGCCTCAGTGCTCTTAATGTCTGTGAAGCATCGCTGGAGATGAGCTCAAGGCTGAGAAACGGGGGCCGGAGTGATAGTATACAGCCGACCCGAATTCAGTCCCCAGCATCCAATTGGGTTCCCCAAACTCCACCAGGAGTGTTCCCCAAGAGGGGGAGCACAGAGCCAAGGGTGAGTCATGAACACCAGAGGGTATATAGTTCAGAAAAACAAAACAAAGGTTTTAAAATTAGGTTAACTCCAGAAACAAAACCCCACCACAAAAGGCCCCCAAACCTAACTCCCCCAGTAAAACAAACATTAGCAATACCGTCATCTCCCTTCACTGGGGATTCTTCAACGACGTCGATCTCAGGCCCCGGGTCAGAGGATCTTGGGAGATAACAAGCACAGGGTCATTCCCTCCTTCTCATCAGGACACATCCAGAGGAATAGCCTCACACCAGGAGCCCAAGACCACACAAATGACTGTCGAGTCTGCCTGGACATTCCAGAACTCAGCACACAAGTGAGACTCGAACGGGTTCGTGGGAGGGGAACTGGAGCAAGGCCCTGAGGCCCTGAGCCTGGACGCAGCCCGCTCACCTGCCCTGGATCTGTCTGTGGAGCAGCCTTCTGGATATCTGCTTGTGCACTGGTGTCTCCGCCACACTCTTGGTCAGCAGCCGGTGAACCCCTGAGGGAAGCAGCAGCTGGTCATGTCTCCACACACCTGACTCGGACCCAAACCCAGTGGAACCCAGCAAGGTGAAACCCTGGAGCAAGACTTCTCAGCACTTTTTTTGCTTTTTGGGTCATACCTGGTGAAGTACCGGGGTCATTCCTGAGTGCAGAACCAGGAATGGTTCTGGCGGTGCTCAGGGGACCATATGGGATGCTGGGAATTGAACCCGGGTCAGCCATAAGGCAAACATCCTACCCACTGTGCTATTGCTCCAGCCCCTTCTCAGCACTTTTTGATCCCCACAGCAAGTGAAGTCAACGGAGAAGAGTCTCTCAGTACCCAGTACCCGAGTACTCAGTACCCAGTACCCGAGTACTCAGTACTCAGTACCCGAGTACTCAGTACTCAGTACCCGAGAGTCTCTCAGTACCCAGAATACCTGACTCTAAATGAACAACCAGAGTACAAAGGGAAATAGAAAATTAAGGCCCTAAGCAGAGTGACCAATGTGCTTGTCAGTGGGGCAATGACAAGGAAGACGGGGCTTGAGAGACCATCGCTGATTTTCATCAAGCCCAGAGAGGCCCCAGTGACAAAACTCACTGGAGCGAAGTATGAGGAGGGGAAGCAAACGAGAGCAAGAGCTGCAAAGTTCTCCGAGAGAGTGCAGACTGGTTGGGAGCCAGGGAGGCTCTCCTCCCAGCTGCTGCAAACATGGTACCTCTGGACCTCTTGGAGCTGTCCTGAGTGTACTCCAATCCCTCCACGGCAGACACAGAATGGCTCCTCGGCAGCCCTCGCTTTAGTGATTTCTTTGAGGGCGAGGTCATTTGCTGGTTAAAGAGGTTTCTCCGCACTTTGGTCACTTCTGAAAGCATTAAAAAAAAATTAGAAAATCCAATATTGTCTCCAATAAATGCATAGTTGGGAAGAGAGGGTTTTATCTAAGACTTTCACTGTCACCCTTTGAGTAAAATGGGCAAGGTGCCTTCAAATTACTCTACCTAGCCTGAGGGACTGCACAAGGTCGGCCCCTATCACGTAGGTTAGAATCTTGTCACTGTAAAATGGACACAACCCCCAGGTTCTGTATTATTAGCACCTGCAGGCCGCCTTTTCACAACAGTCAGGGCACCATCATGATTCTACATCCTTTTCCTGTCCTGTATTTAGATCAGTCTCGAAGAATCAGTTCTCAGGACGGAGTGAAGGACAGTGGGCAGGGCAGGGCAGCTGCCTTTCACAGCCGATCTGGGCTTGGTCCCTGGCACCTACATGGTATCCAGAGCCCCCCAGGAGTGACCCCTGAGCGCAGAGACAGGAATAAGCTCTAACCCTGACCCCTATCCCTCAAAAAAAAAGAGAGAGAAAGGAGAGAGAGAGAGAGAGAGAAAGAAAGAAAGAAAGGAAGGAAGAAAGAAAGAAAGGAAGGAAGGAAGGAAGGAAGAAAGAAAGAAAGGGTTCTTCTTGATGCCCAGATGGTTCATTCTGCTGCCACTGTTTCGGTGGAGGCGAGGAGTGGGGCAGGTGGACAGCACAAAGGCTCCTCCAGCTGCCTTCAGAGCACTTCCGCACGGGTCACAATGTTCACGTTTCCTAGAGCACTACAGGCTGTCCAGTGTGGCCTGAGCACAAATCCATCTTCTCACCCTCTTGGCTGTACAGATCACACCAAACAGCTTTCCCTCAGTTTGTATTTGGGATCATGGAGTGCACCTAGCTGTCACAGAGACTCCTCTCATCTCAACTAGAGTTGTTACCTGTTTTTTTGGGAGGGGATATGGGACACTCCCAGCATCCCTCAGAGCCTGGGCTGCCTCTGCTTTTGTGGCTTTCGTGAGAACAGCATTTTTAGACTTTAGGCCAGTTACTTTGCAGCATGTAGTATTTTAAGATCATGTGACTCTTCTGAAACTACAGCTTAGTATCTGTCATGTTACCTGACAATCTCATGAAACTAACGTCCAGTTCTATGTATCTGCTTAGATATCTGTCATTCTGGACAAGATCTGTCTCTGAGACAAGCAACGGTACCTTGCACAGTCTCCTTCACCAGGAGCGATGGCTGCTGAACCGTGGGGAGAAAGTTTTCCTGAAAGATGAGAAAACCCAGTCAAATTCGTGTTTTATTTTTGGGCCACACCCAGCAATGCTCAGGGCTTACTCATGGCTCTGCATTCTGGGATCACTCCTGGCAGTACTCAGGGGGCCTTATGAGACGCTAGGGTCAAACCCAGGTCAACTGCGTGCAAGTGCCCTCCTCGTTGTACTATCTCTTCAGTCCCCAAAGGGGCTACATCGGATTTTACACTCTCCAAACAGGACTCCAAGCTATGTGAGGTTCACTCATATTGACTAAAGCAGAAAACGGAGATTTTGAATGAACTTATTCAAATCCTAACCTTGATTTGCCTATTTTCACAATAACACTTCACTGTGATCTTTTGAGTAAAATGGTCAGTGTGTAACGCATCTTATACCATGGTTCCTTGAATGACGGCTCAGAGAGAGCCGTCTCTCACCTCATCTCTGCTCGCCCACTGCCCATTCCCTGGAAGGGAGGACCCATCACCTTTCACTCCCATTTCCCCATTTTTTCTGTTAATGCACAGCTGAGAGGCTGGAGTGATAGCACAGCAGGTAGGGCATTTGCCTTGCATGCGGACAACCTGGGTTCGATTCCCAGAATCCCATATGGTCCCCTGAACACTGCCAGGCGTAATTCCTGAATGCAGAGCCAGGAGTAACCTCTGTGCATCACTGGGTGTGACCCAAAAAAGAAAAAAGGGAAAAAAAAAAAAAGAAAAGAAAAAGAAAAAAGCACAGCTGAAAGAACAACATCTGGAGGACTGTCTCTACACAACTTACATTTTTGGCAGCCCTTTTAGACACTCTGGGAATTTCAATTTGTCGAAGATTTTGTGAAACTTCTGCAATGCTTTTATGTCTTGTTAATGCATTTTTCCTTTTAAAAATAGGAAGAAATGGTCAATACACACTCAACAGACATTATGCACAGTTAAATGAGAATGGAACCAGAGTTTAAAATAAAACCTTATTCAAACAAAAGTCTCTTGGGCATTAGGTGCAAATCAGCTTGTGTGACCCAATCCAGGTAAATACCAACAAACAGAATACGAACAACAGCCCCGCCCATGCCCTCTGTTGCGTCTACAGCACTCGGCACCATCTCTCGCCGTTCACCTACCTTCTCTTCTTAGCCGATCTAGTGCGAAGTTCTTCGAGCTGGTCAGAGTCTGTGACCTGAGGTGCACTGGACAGGTGGGGCACAGAGAGCAGAGGCGACTTGCTCTCCTGAGACAGGGAGTCATCACTGAAAAAGTCCGCAGGCAGGACACTGGCCAGCTTTGGAGGGATCACAAAGCCCAGGCTGTTGTACAGGTCTCCCAGCATCTTTGGGATGGAGCCGATATACCTGGGGGGACAGAAAGTGCCCGTCTCGGCTTCTCGAAGCCTCCTCAGCCAGGAGATATGCCAAAGCAACCCCAAGGTTAGTAGCCGTCACACTTACAATCCCAAGATTTCCTCCAGAAACATGGCTAGGTAGGCAGAGTCCTCAGTGAGGCACACGGCACGAAGCAAGTCGGCTGTCTGAAGGAGAGGGCAGTGTGTCACCCCTGCCCACCCCCCCCCACCCCATGAACTACCCCATGGAACCAACCAAGTTTTGTTTCTTTTGTTGGGCCACACTCTGGCAGTGCTCAGGGGTTCCGCCTGGCTCTGCACTCAGGAATTACTCCTGGCAGGTCTCGATGGGATGCCGAGGACCGAACCCAGGCCAGCCAGGCAAGTGACCCCCCTCGTTGTGCTATCTCTCCAGTCCCCAATGGCATAAACCAGGTAACTTGCCTCCTCCACCACCTGCTCCAGGTCGCCCACACTTTCACGCAGTGACGGGCATTGCTGACACAGCTCCAAGCGAAGGAACACCTGCAGCTGGCACCTGAGAAGAGACAGGTGGTCAGGGCTGCTGGGAAGGCCCTTCATGGAGGACGCCAGCCTAGGTATAGAGCTAGACATTAAAGAAGCCACCCCTACCCCTCCCCTGCGAAAAAAGAAGGGATTTCGCTTTCTCTAAATGTGGCTTATTAGGTAAAGAGGCGATTCAAAGTGCACCTTTAGGAAGAACCAGCCACAAAACCCTCCTCAAACAAACGGAACTATTTCAAACCAATCTTGGTGAGTCCTGGAGCTGTGTTGGAATAATGGTTCAAAAAGCTAGAGCAGGGGCTGGAATGATAAGGCAGCGGGTAAGTCACCTGGCTTGCTTGTGGCCAACCGGGTTCCATCCCCAGCACCCCACCAAGAAAGACCGCTGAGCACAGAGCCAGGAGGAGCCCTGAGAATTGGCAGGTGTGGCCCCAAAACAACAATAAAAAAACCCAAAAAAGTGGGCCAGTGGGGCTGGAGCAAGAGCACAGCAGGTAGGGTATTTGCCTTGCACATGGACAACCTGGGTTCGATTCCCAGCATCCCATGTGGTCCCCGAGCACAGTCAGGAGTAATTCCTGAGTGCAGAGCCAGGAGTAACCCCTGTGCATCGCTGGGTGTGACCCAAAAAAAGCAAAAAAGAAAAAAAAAAAGAGAAGTGTGTCAGGGATATGGCTCAATGGTAGAGTTTCCTTGAATGAGGGAGGCCCAGAGCTTAATCCCTAGCTCGAGGCAGAAAAGTAGTTACTTACTCTCTGACTTTGTCTTCCTTATCCAGTTCTTTCCCCAGATTATCTCGGAGACTTTTGCTTGTTTTAAAGAGGTTATTTCTTATCTGATTCAGGCAGCTAATCTAAAAGCACAAAATTATTAATAGGAGAAAATTACTTATTAGTTTTAGTTTCCTTCACAGCTGACTAATGCCCTAAGAAGGGAAAAACGAAAACAGTGAAATGAAGTTTTCTCTTATATCTTTAGAGAGAACAGTTTATTTTAAAAATTTTATTTGCTTTGCTTTTGGGCCACACCTGCAGTGCTCAGTCTAACTCCTGTGTGCCCAGGGATCACTCCTGGTGATGCTGGGGACCATACGGATGCCAGGGATTGAACCAGAGTTAGCTGTGTGCTTGTATCCTAAAGAAAACAGAGTTTAAGAAAAACAAAGCCTAGTGTTTCACTAATAAAAAAAAATGATAAAAAAAAAAAAAAGAAAAAAGAAAAACAAAGCCTAGTGGGAGAGGCATCCAACCAGCTTCAGCACTGAGTCTGGGGCCACATGTTTTCTGGGACATACCAAGAGCAGTTCCGAAGCACTACCAGGGGGGCGCTTACCTTGTACCCAGGGTTCAATCCCCAACCCCCCCATACAGTCCCCCGAGCACAGATCCAGGAGTCAGCCATGAGCACCCCTGGGCGCAGTCAAAACAAAAAACAAAGACATATTTCAGGGCAAGTGGGCACCAGTACAGGAGCCTGAGGCCGTGGTCACAGATAGCAGCTGCTTCCAAGGGCTCTCCACTGAGCAGCAGCAGGAAGCAGCAATAACAAACTCCAAACACAAAGATGGGCCTGCGAAGCTGCCTGGGTCCACAAGTCCGCCTGGGAGACCTTCACGAGAACTGTGCACTCAACACGCAGCTCAAGGACAGCACTCTCGATAGGGCTCTGCGGAGATGTGTGTACTGTCCCTCCTCCCTGCCCCCGCCTATCTACGTCACAGTCCATCTCAGAGACTGGACTGTGCTGTCCCCCACCAGCTCATCCTATCTCGAGACCGTATGGTGCAGAATGGACACTGCATTGCAAGACATAGGAACCAAGCTCCCAACAAGGACCCAGCCACTTAAGTGGTAACAACATGGGAGCCTTACTTCAAAGTCCTTGGTGCCTTTGGACTTTAGGAACGCTTGAACGGTGGAGACAATGTTCTGAGCACACGAGTACAGCCCAGCTTCCCCTGCAGCCACGGTCTTTCGGTAGCTTTCATGTATGTAAGAGAGCAGGGCCTCTTCAGTTTTTATATCTGTGAGAAAGTCACACTGGTTTCAGCTGAAAATACCTGCGCTCCGAAACACCTACCTCCCACTGCCATCTGTCTCTGCTAGTGCGTCCACACCAGGGTGCCCAGGAGGCCACTCCCAGCATCCAGAGGGCGGCGCCATGGATACTGCTAACCTTCTGGCAGTGCCCAGGACAAACCTCACAAAGGAATCATCTGGCACAAAGAAGGCAATTTACAAAAGATCTACCAAGGAGCTGAAAGATAGCACAATGGGCAGGGTGCCTGCCATGCATGCAGTTGACCCAGGTTCAGTCCCTGGTTCCAGAGGGTCTCTCTAACCCCCCACCAAGAGAGAACCTGAGTGCAGGGTCAGGAGTAAAGCCTGAATGCAGCCAGGTGTGGGCCAAGAAAATAACTGAAAGAGTAAACACAGGCTTGGACATCAACATGCTGTGGAACAGAGGAATACCTTTTGGTTTAGAACTCCTGAGCGTCCTTCCTCGGTTTTCTGGTCGCTCTGCTCTGCCTCCTGCTGCTCTCTGGAGGCCCTTCTCCCCCGCTGCATCTGGACTGCTGTCTGGGTTCAACTTCTGAGCCTTCACGTTAAGCCTGGCCACATTCAGCATCTTCAGGGAACGGCACATGGTATTCATCTTCTGCCTCACAGGGGTGCGAGGCACGCCGCCTGCCAAAATGGCATCAGAATCGTTTCATTCAGAATAATGTTCTGCAAGCAAGGAAGAAACGTGTGGACTGCACTATCTTCCCAGCCCTGGCAACAATTATTTCCCCAGCCTTTTATTGGTTGTCATTTCAGCTCCACTGAGGGGAATGTCAATCTATTTAAACTTAGTCTCAGAACAGACCCCTTGGGGCCAGAGCGATAGTACAGCAGGTGCCTTGCACACGGCCAACCTGGGTTTGATCAGTGGTACCCAATATGTTCCCCTGAGCCCACCAGGAGTAATCCCTGAGCACTGCCGAGTATGGCCCCCAAACTAACCAATCAAACAAAGACCCAGACCCCTCAAGAAAAAGCCTCTTTGTGTGCATACGTTTCTTTCTGCTCTCTTCTTGGTTGGACACGGCGGATTCCTCACGAGCCTTCCTCTGGTAGAGCTCCGAGAGACTTTGTGTCAATTCACTTTCAGTTCTGGAAGACTCTTCTTTATTAGATGAGGCAGCATGCAGTAACCTGTGAACAAGCATTGGCTACAAAGCTGAAACTCTAATTTCCCAAAATATTATAACAACAAACAATCAAAACTCACTTCCTTTTAGAAGTCAATCAAAAGACATTAAGATGTGTTAAGAAATAGGACCAGAAAGATACCACTTCTAAGTCCATAGTTCAGTGGTACCCGGGTCTCCCTAATATCTCACTTTCACCAACACAAATCTCTAGACTCTTCATCTTATCCTCAAATTTCATCTTCATTAAATATTAGTACTTATTCCCAATTATTTTGTTATTAGGCTACATTAAAGGAAGGTGACCTATTAAATAAGACCATACAAACAGTGGGCCAGAGAGATGGCTCAGTGGACGGGATGGATTGTCGAACCCCCGCTCCACATTGTTCCCCAATCCCCAAACGCTGCTGGAAGCAACCCTTAGCACAGTTAGGAGTAGCCCCCGAAAACCACAGAGTGAGGCCCAAAAACAAAAAACAAAAACTACAAACAGGTAACTGAGAGTCGACTGAAAAACCAACGCCCAGGGAAATTTTTAAAAAGTCCATTTTTACCAAAACGACTCCATTAAATTTGCACTGGCGCCACTGAAGTTAGAACGAGGAAACCACTTCTCCACCACGGCCGCACTCCAGGGAGCGGTGCGGCCAAGTTCCTGCTGCACCCACTGTGGCACGGGGGCTACGGGAGAGGAAAAACAGCATCAGACACTGCACAGAGGCTGCTCCTGCACACGGCAACACTAACCATGCTCTCTCCCTGGCACCCCAGCCCCCTGCAGATCTTGGCAGCCTGTAACAAATCTGCTGTGAGTGTACCCGCAGAACTGCCCCAGAGCAGTGGGCATGCTCTGCACCCGGGAGGCCCAGCTCTGATGCCCAGAACTCTCGGGTCCCCCGAGCAGCACCAGAGGACGATCCCAAGCACCAAGCCTAAAGCAGACCCCAAGCTCTACAGGGTGTGGCCCAAACCACACCCCCATGCCAAAAACAAAGGGAGAGGGAGGGGAATCTGCCCAGGCTTCCTTGCTCTTGCTCAAAGACGCCAGCCTCAGAGCCCTGCCACTTGCTGCTGCCGCTCCCAAAGACTTTCCCTGTGGTGGTGCTGGAGGGGAGGTGCCCAACCTGGCCGTATCCAGGCCATGCAGAGCTGAGATTGTGCCTGGGCCTCTCGCATGCAGATCACGTGCTCTAGCCCACTGAGCTCTCTCCCTGGCCCCAGACATGTTCACTCCCATTTCTCCCTTTAAGCCTTGCTCAGAAACACTTTTCCAGCATGGCCTTCCTTGAGCACCTGGCTTAAAGCCACAGCTCTCTCCCTCTGTCCCACTCCTCAGCCCCCCCCCCCACCTCCTGCTTCGGGACTATGCAGTCGTCTTGCATCTATGCTATAAAACCTCATTTGATTTACTATTTTCTGTTAGATGATCAATGAATACCTTTCACTATTTTCTTCTCTCTCATGTTCCTAGGATCCAAAACAGCCCCTGCACACAGGAGGTATTCAATGCCACTGCTGAGTGTATAAATTATCAGTGACTATGTATCGAGCTACTTAGATATTATATATCTAGCTATTATACATTATATAGTTACTACACAAATAACAATGTCAGTAAAATGAAACAAAATGGAAGGAAGATAGATTCCTGGCAGTTTTAAGTATCCTTTACTAAAATTCAGTTTCATGTATACTTCTGATTTCAAACTGGCTTCACAGAGCCTTTGGCTTCCTCAGAAATGCTTCAGGGAGCTAGAGGTATTGTTCTGGAGGTGAGGTGCTTGCCTTGTACACAGCCGACCTGGGTCTGATCCCCAGCACCACACAGGGCGCCCACAGAATCCATTCAGAAATGGAAGTGATTTCTCAGCACTGCCAGCTATGGGCCTCCCCTCAAAACAGAAAACAGAAAAAAAAACACAAAACACAAACAAAAAGAGCAGTGCTACAGAATTCTATAGATACGTAAACTGCCCCAACTATGACCAGCCTGCTTTATCTGCTTTACAGCAGAGACCAGGCCATCCTGCAAGCAGAGTGAACCGAGGTTTGCTGCTGGCTCAGCTCACCTGGATCAGCAGGGTCCTCAGGGGAGTTGTCCATCTGAGTCAGCACAGCATTCAGAACACTAGTGAGAAGAGGATCTGCATCCCGGGGGCTCTCTGTTTCGGCCGCATGGAGGAAATGTCTCTGAACTTCAGCCCCTGCCATGCGGAACACAGTTAAAACTGCAGCATTGGCGGAGAGAGGAGAAAGAACTCCAGTGACGGGGGGCCAGCCTTCCTCAAGGTCCACACTGGCAACCTACATGAGAAGCGCCGATGAGTTGAGAATATCACTGTCATGTGCTTCAACAAAAGACAATACTAGTCTCCCTGGTGATTTTTTGCCCCCGCCTGGTGACTTTTAATACAAACGAGAAAAGAGTGGAAAAGTTACTTGGTGAGAATATAGCCCTAATTCCTTAATTTACAGAGAACTTCGAGGTACGAGGATTATTTATTAAGGACCTATGTGTTTTTCCTAATACTCTGAACCCTCCCATCTATTCTGAGGCAAAAATAACGAGCTCCATTTCATAAGGAAGAATTGGTGATGAAGAATAAGCAGCCTAATAAGCAAGTGGCAGAAGCTATGCACTTAAAAATAAAAAAAATTGAGGGGCTGGAGCGATAACACAGCGAGTAGGGCATTTGCCTTGCACGCAGCCAACCTGGGTTCAATTCCCAGCATCCCATATGGTCCCCTGAGCATCGCCAGGAGTAATTCCTAAGTGCAGAGCCAGGAGTAACCCCTGTGCATTGCCAGGTGTGACCCAAAAAGCCAAAAAAAAAAAAAAAATTTGAGCCTCCAAAGCGATGCTCAAATACTCAGATACCCAGTCCATGCCCAGCAACACTCAACCAGGCCAAGCGGGATCCAGAAATCAGATGTGTTTTGGGGCAGAAATGCTTCTGCCTCATGCCACCCTTGAAGGGGAAAGGTGTCTGTCCTTCCGCCTTTCCCCCACTTGGCAGCGGTATGGTGACCACCATCTTTCAGAGCCTATTGGACAGACAGGTACGAGCTTGCAGTGACGGGCGCACGGGGCCTTTCAGGATGGGGGGGCAGAACCAGCCCTTCTCCCCATTTGGACGAGACCCCGCGCAACATCATATGCTCTTCATTATCAGCAATAGAAAACAAAATATCTAATGATGCCTTTTTGGCAGGTCTGATTGTTGGGGGAAAATTCCAAATAGTAACAGGGGGTCTTCTGTCGAAAAATTGAATGTAATCAAAGTTGTAATCAAAGTAAAAAGAGAGTAAAGTGAAAATCATCTGCCACACAGGCAGGAGGAGGGTGAGATGGGAGATATACTGGGGTTCTTGGTGGTGGAACATGTGCACTGGTGAAGGGATGGGTGTTTGATCATTGTATGAACAACTTAAACCTGAAAGCTTTGTAACTGTTCTCACAGTGATTCAATTAGAAAAAAAATACAGCAGTCGGTAAGGCATGTGCCTTATACTTATACGTGGCCAACCCAGATTCAACCCCCAGCATCCATATCATCCTCTCCACCACCCCCAAGCACCATCAGGAGTAATTCCTGAATGCAGAGCCAGGAGTTAAGTCCTGATCTTCGCCGGGTGTGATCCAAAAACAAAAATTCACTTCTCTCAAACTCAGCATCGCCTTTAAATATGAGATGGTGTATGCTCCTTCTTAGAAAACAATTCAGTCTACAAAAGTACTGGACACTGTTATACCTAATCTTACAGTGTACAGACGAACTAAAAGAGAAATGCACTCATTATATGGAAGTATTAAATGCGTAACAGAAACTATTTAAAAAAAAAAAAGAAATAGTGGCTGGAATGATAATACAGTGGGGAGGGCGTTTGTCTTGCACATGGTTCGCTCCCTGGCACTCCCATTGTGGTCCTTAGGGCAGAGACAGGAAAAAGCCCTGAGCACGACTGGGTATGGCTCCCAAACCAAAGAAGTACCGCATGTCACAACCCTAATACAATAATCCCACAGTTGCCTTGAGGTACTTTAAACTCCTTTATAGAAGGAGTTTATATACTGCTTATATACTATGTTGGACTGTCCCCTGGGGAGACACCTACCAGGTGTAACTCTTCTGCAGTCAATCTGCTCACCAGATGCTGAAATGACACCCCTGAGGCCAGCAAATCCTCCTCAGGACCGTGGAGCATCCAGTTCTCAGTGGCCACAGTGTCGCTCATCGGAGGGGACCACTGGACCACTGGGCCTTGAAGGAAAATCCGAACTGGCTTTGGGAAATGTCTCTGATGCATGGTCAAGGGTTCCAGGGTGACTGTCCAGGTTTTGTAGCTCCCTTTGCCTGTTGAAAATAAAGAATATTAACATGCTCAGATGAAAAACAATTATGAAGAGGAGATTTAACAAGGCTGGAGATGGCGCAGGTCAGGTCTGAGGCCCTAAGTTTCATGCTGGCACCGCGTGCTGTGCCCTCTGCTGTCCCCAGAACCACCAGGAGGAGCCCCTGCTCAAAAACAGAGGATGGGGTTGGGAAGACAGCTCAAAGGGCTGACTGCACGCGTTGCATGCCGGAGCCTCGGGCTCAATCCCCAGCACTGAGCTAGGAAAATGAGGCTCCAAGGCTCTAAAAACATAGGACTTACTAGTGGGAAAAAAGCTGAGATGGTCACTTGACGTACTAGTGCCACTGCGCTCACTGCTAATTGTATAACAATAGGTGCTCAGAGACTATTTCCTTCCCAGGGAAAGCTACACATCTAGGAATGATAGGGACATAACTTGATGTTAAAACTTATTTTTTTTTTGCTTTTGTTCTGGGTCACACCCGGCGATGCACAGGGGTTACTCCTGGCTTTGCACTCAGGAATTACTCCTGGTGGTGCTCAGGGGACCATATGGGATGCTGGGAATCGGACCCGGGTTGGCCATAAAGATAAAGACCCTCCTGTTGTTCATCGAGTTGCTCGAGTGAGCCCAGTAACGTCTCCATTGGAGACTTTGTTGTTACTGTGTCTGGCATATCGAATACGTCACAGAGCCCGCAGGCTCTGCAGTGCGGGCGAGATACTCTTGGTAGCTAGCCGGGCTCTCCGAGAGGGGCGGAGGAATCGAACTCGGGTCGGCCATGTTGGCTGCGTGCAAGACAAACGCCCTACCGCTGTGCTATCGCGGGTTGGCCGTGTGCAAGGCAAATGCCTTACCTGCTGTATAGCTCCAGCCCCCAGATTAAGAAGTTTTAACACCGGGGCTGTTTTTGATGTTAAGTTTTAACATCAAAGCAAAAAACAAAACAAAACAAACAAAAACAAAAAACTTCTTAATCAGGGCCAGAGCGATAGTACAGCGGGGAGGGCGTTTGCCTTGCACACATTCGACCCGGGTTCAATCTCCGGCATCCCATATGGTCTCCCAAGCACTGCGAGGATTGATTCCTGAGTGAAGAGCCAGGAGTAACACCTGAGTATCTCCGGCTGTGACCCAAAAAGAAAAACAAAACAAAACTTCTTAATCATTATGACTTTTGAGAGAAATTTTTTGTTTTGCTATTTTGGGGCCACACCAGGCAGTGCTTGGGGCTGACTCCTGACTCTGCACCACTCAGGAGTCACTCCTGGCAGTGCTCAGAGTGCTGGGGATTGAACTGGGGTGACCCGCATGCAAGGCAAGTGCCCCCCTGCTGTACCATCTCTCTAAAAGAGGATGCTGGGCTGGAGAGAGTTAGAGCACACTCCTGGGCAGGGAATGATGGAGCGCTAGGTTGCATCCCCAATGCCACAGGGTTGCCCAGACGGCCAGTTCAGCACTACTGAGCATGGAAATAGGCTAGACCTGAGCACCCCTGGTTGTGCTCCACCCAAAAACCAAAAAAAAACCATCGTTGTTCAGAAATCCGTGCACTATAGTGCTTAACAGTGTGAGAAGAGGTTGGGTTCTAAAAAGACTGTATGTAACAAAATACTTAAGCAAAACTGGCTTGAAATGTTTTTCAATCACACACATTTGTTTTACACATAAACCTCCACAAAGGTTTAGAAATGAATTCAGGGGCTGCAGAAATAGTATTGCAGGTAAGGCGTGTGTGTGGCTATCCCAAAACTTTCACTTGCTCATTTTATACAGACTAGGAGCTGTGCTGAGTCAAAAGCTCCGGCCTTCCCATTAGTCCTTATTTTGCTTGTCCTTTAATCCTTTTGTTTATTAATACCCGCTGAGCTTTCTCCCCAGCCCCTCTTTAAGTCTCTTAATCATGGGCACCGAGTGCCAATGTTGCTGGAAATTCTAAAGAAGTTAAAACATGGGCCTGCTAGGAAGAAGCAAAATGTAAAACGTGGGTCTGCCATGAAGAAAGAAACTTAACCGAGACCCTGGGCTATGACTTGCTCACCTTCAACCGGGAGAAATAATGTTCCTTCCGTGCCAGGGAAGGAGGCCTCGCACTCAGAAGGGCAGAGCAAACGGTTCAGAGTGGAGTCAGTCGGCAGAGCGGAAATCCAGCAAGGGTGACAGTGCTCTCTCAGGGGCTTGCTCCCAGTCCGGAGCAGCACCTGCTGGGTTCTAGCAAAGTCCTGGCTGAACGCTTCGGAGGGAATCACAGTGCCTCCGACGTGCTGCAGCAGTTCACACACCGTCCGGTATCCGACGTGGTCCGGGGAGTCCCACGGCTGCAATAAGAACCACAGAGCGCCTCAGGTCGAGGGAAACCGGGAGGAATCGAGCCAGACCCGCATCAACGGATCACGGGCGCGAGCAGCGCATCTGCTGTTCTGGCTGGCTGTTGGGTCGCACCCAGAGGTGCTCGGGGCGCACTCTGCTCAGGGGTCGCTCCTGGTGGGCTCAGGGACCCTGCCGGGGCGCCGGGACTGAGCCCCAGGTGGGCCGGGCAGGCGCCGTCCCCGCTGGGCTCCCGCTCTGGCCCTCGCTGAGTCCGCCGAGCGCTCCGAACTCGGGACCGGCCGGCGCGAGAGCCGGCAGCGTGGCCTCCCCTTCCCCGCCGAGGGACGCGGCGTCCCGTCCGCCGCTGCGCCGCGGGGGCCTCGGAGGGAGGCCGGGGAGCGGGTCGCGCCGGGGGCGGGGGGAGGGGCCGGCGCCCCCGCTGCCAGGCCGCCCCCAGGGGCGCCCGGCCCGCCGGGCACTCACCGGCGCGGGCTCGCCGACGTCCACCCAGCACAGGGCGATGCCGCGCGCGAGCAGCCCGTCCTGCAGCCGCTTGGGCAGCAGCTGGTCCGCGCCGGGCGCCTCGCCGGCGAAGCGCAGCAGGTCGCGGCGCGAGCGCGGGCACGGCGCCAGCAGGAACACGGCGTGGCCGGGGCCCGCGCGCGCCGCCTCCTCGGCCTCGGCGTCCAGCAGCCGCCGGCCGCGCCGCCGCCGCGGCGTCTTGGCGGGGGACGCGATCTCGGGCCGGTCCCACTGGTAGTCGAGCAGCGCCTCGAGCAGCGCGCGCTGCGTGAGCGCCGCCCGCGGCGCGGGGCCCGGCGGCGGGGCGGCCGCGGCGCGCGCCTCCAGCTCGGCCTCCAGGGCCTGCCAGGCGCCGGCCCGCAGCTCGCGGAAGTCGGCCCCGCGCGTCGGCCGGCCGCGCGCGCCCCGCGAGTCGAAGAGCCGGAAGGCCCAGCGCAGCCGCGCCAGCCCCGAGCGGCCGCCGAGGTAGGCCAGGAGGCGCAGCGCGGTGCGCCGCAGCCGGCCCGCGTCCGCCGCGCCGCCCGCCGCGTCCAGCAGCAGCATGACGTTGTGGCAGCCGGCCATGGCGGCCGCGGGGCCCGCGCGCCCGGCCGGCCGCTCCGTCAGGCGCCGGCCGAAGCTCCCGCGCTCGCCCCGCGCCGCCCTCATTGGCCGGCCGACGCCCCGCCTCCCCCCCGATTGGCTGCTCGCCGGACGTCATCCGCGTGCGCGCCCTCCGGCCGCGGGCCTGGTTGGCAGGCGCCTGAGGGACGCCGGCGCCTGATTGGCGGGAAGGGCGGCCGTGGGCGGGGCGCCGCGTCCCGGGAGCGACCTGCCGCTCATTGGCCGGGGCCCTCCGATTTAAAATTTAAAGAGAAGGCGCTGCGGGGGCGTGTCCCGGGAGGGGAGGGGGTGGGAGCGCGGACGAGCCCGCGGGCGCCGGCTTTGCGTGGACGTGAAAAGATCGTGAAAGCTTAGCGGGTTCTCGGGAAAACTCCAGAAGGGAGTCTGGCATGATTGTCACCGCCTAACTAAAGCTGGTACGGAGCAGCTTGATTGCTGCATAAGTTTTGGTACGCTCCGAGAGAACGTTGGGCAGCGTTTAGGCGAGTTTTTGTTTAAGGGGATGCCGGTGGGAGATTTTTATAGCTAGAGTAGAAATTTCTGCTTGTTTTGGTGTAGGGACCACATCCGGTGGTGCTCAGGATTCACTCCTGGCTCCGAGCCCAGGGATTGCTCCTGGAGAAGCTCAGGGGACCAAATGTGATGCCCGGATCAAACTGCGGTCAGCTGCATGTAAGACAATCAGCTTTGCCCTGTGCTATTTCTCCCTTAAAAATGTGAGATTTTTCTAAATTTTTTTTTTGACAAATGCCAGGAGATCCCCAAATTTTCTGTCCATAGGAAGAATTAGAATACATGCCTGGGTCTGGAGCAATAGCACAGCGGGTAGGGAGTTTGCCTTGCACGTGGCTGACCCGGGGTTCGATCCCCAGCATTCCACATGGTCCCCCAAGCACCACCAGGAGTAATTCCTGAGTGCATGAGCCAGGAGTAACCCCTGTGCATCGCCGGGTGTGACCCAAAAAGAAAAAAAAAGAATACAAGCCTGTACTTCTTGCCCAGAAAAAGGGAGGCAACTCGCCATATTGCAGTATTAGTAAGAGCAGTGCTTTGGGATGTAGGAGACCGTTTTATTTTGGGGGGGGAGGGGCTTTTGGGTCATATCCGGTGATGCATAGGGGTTACTCCTGGCTTTGCACTCAGGAATTACTCCTGGCATTGGTCAGAAACCATGTGGGATGCTGGGGATCAAACCCGGGTTGGCATGTGCAAGACAAACACCCTACCCGCTCTACTATCGCTCCAGCCACAAGATGTAGGAGACCTTGGTTTAATTCCTGGCATCACATGGTCTATGGAGCACCTCCCGCACACACACACCTACTCACAGAGCCAGGAGCACTCCCTGAGCGCCACTGGATATGACCCCTGCTCATCACTGAAAAAAGAATTTGCTTTGCTCTCCAAAGTGTGAGACGCTAGAGGAAAAGAATTGTGGGTTTGTTTTTGTCTTTGGTCACACCCAGGCGGTGCTCAGGGCTTGCTCCTGGCGCTGAGCTCAGAGTGCGTGGTAGGGCTGGGGGCGCGTATATGATGCCTTGGATAAAACCAGGTCAGCCAGGTGCCTGGCAAGAGTGCAAGTCAAACGCCCTTCTCACTGTACTATCTCTCTGACCCTCCCATGTTTTATGTGTGTTTCTATCCCTAATACCGTGCACAGTGGCAATAAATTATTATTTTTAATTGAATTGTAGCAGGTTGCTTATTTCCCCAAAAGAATCGTAGGCGTTTGTTCAGATGCAGGAAATTACCACCAGGTGGCAGTAATGGCGTCTATCTCCAAGGCCCAAGGCCCCAGCTCTACTCCAAAATCTTTCTCCACTACCGGAAAAGCAGATCTTTCCCCGCACCTGGGTTGCATAGATTCCGTTCTTTTTTTTTGGGGGGGGGCGGAGGAGGGTGAGATTTTGCCTTTTCCCAATAGGACAGCTAATAAGAGGCAGCTCGGGGGTCCCAAACTCCCACCAAGGATTGAGTAGATGGATGAAGGTGGGGCCAGGCCGCAGCTGTAAGCAGGGGAGGCGATACACCCACTCCTCATAAGCCAGCATGTGCTCCCCAACTTTCTTTAGTGGGTGCTCACTTAGGAAGAGTTGGCGTGATGGTGAAGCAGAACCACAGATAGAAATTACAGGACCCCACGCAGAGTGGCATTGGAGACGAACGAACCCTTCTTTAAAATGTTCTGAAATGCTCAGTTGCCTGCCTTGCATGAGGCAGACTGGAGTTCTATCCCTGGCACCACCTGTGGTCTGGTCCTCTTCCTGCCAGGAGTGATCTCTGAGTGCAGGGCCAGGAGTAAATCCTGAGCACCTCGGGGTGTGACACCTGCCCGCAAATATTACAATAATAAAGTTGGGTCTGGAGAGATAGTACAGTGAGGAGGATGTTTGCCTTGCACACCTGGGTTTGATCCCCAGCACCCCATATGGTCCCCTGAGCACCATCAGGAGTGATCCCTGAGCTTAGAGCCTGGAGTCAGGTGTGGCCCCAAAACCAAAACCGAAAGAGCCCGGAGTACTGCCAGGTGTGGCCCAAGAACCAAATAAATTAATTTAATTTAATGTGAAAGGGCTGGAGCGATAGCACAGCGGTAGGGCGTTTGCCTTGCACGCAGCCAACATGGTCGACCCGAGTTCGATTCCTCCGCCCCTCTCGGAGAGCCCGGCAAGCTACCGAGAGTATCTCGCCCGCATGGCAGAGCCTGGCAAGCTCCCCGCGACGTATTCGATATGCCAGACACAGTAACAACAAAGTCTCCCATGGAGACGTTACTGGGCCCGCTTGAGCAAATCGATGAATCGATGATCAATGTGAAATTATCAAGACTGAACTGGCAAGATCATACAGTGGTATAAGGCACTTGCCTTGCATGCAGCTGACCCGGGTTCGATCCCCCACACTCTACATTCCATCTGGTCCCCCAAGCCCTTTCAGGAGTGACCCCTGAGAACAGAGCCAGGACTCAGCCCTGAGCCCTGCCGGGTGTTCTCTGTGGGCTTCTCGGAGGGCATTCACTGTGCTCTCCACGGTCTCTTTAACTCCTTTATTTCTTTGACCCTTCCTGGGTTTGCTGCCCGGTTGTGTTTTATCTCTAAATGAGGAGGTCGGATTGGACCAGTCCTTCTTAACCCTGGTTACACATTAGAGGCCCTTGGGCACTTTGAAACTCCACCTGAAGTGGGCCCTGCCCCCCGAAAGGTACCAGCTCAACTGGACTGGGGTGGCCCTGGGCCTGGGGTCCGCCCCCTCTAGTCTCCCAGCTGAGCTTCTCTGCCTGGTTGGTGACGACTGTATCTGTTTCCTCCTGGGAACACACAACCGTCTCAGCTCTGCTGGGCAGCATTGATGTCCTTGGCGTTCTGGGAAGGGCCGGGCGCCCCACTTGTTCTAACCCTCAGTGGCCCCTGTGTCTCCAGTCTTCACCTAACCCCAGCCCCCCCCTGCACCTGTGGCAGCATTTCCTGGCCAGCAGAGTCACGGGTCTGTGTGTACATGCAGAATCAGCACAAAGAACTCGGGGTTCATCCAAATCATTTAACCTAGTGGTATGTTTAACTGTGATTCAGAGACCACGTGTGAGCAGCACCTGCCTTGGGGAGTGGGAAAGGGGTCCCCACCCTCACTGCCTTCTGAGCTCCTCCCACATGACGTTCTGCTCGCCTGCCTGGGTCTGCTTCCTCTGGGACCAAAACCCTGAAAACCCAGGTGACTCAAGTCAAGGATCCAAACTCTGGGGGCTGTTCAGCTGGTGCCGACTTCAGAACAGCTGGCACTTGGCTCCCAATTCTGTCATAACGCCCCGAGGTGCCACCCCCGTTTAGAGGCGCCACAAAGATTTTCAGTGACTTCATCCAGGTTACACCCTCTCACCCAGGGGCACCCTCCTGCCAGTACCCCAAAGAGTGAGATGAAGAGCGCAGAGAGTTTTTTTTTGGGGGGTGGTCCTCTCCCTCTGAGCTGGTTTGAAAGACAAGGCTGTCTCGAGACTTTCTTGGCTCACAAGAGGGTCCTTTCTGGGGGGCCACCAAGAGCCAGAGAAGGGACCTGGATCATCTGATTTCCCTCTGACCCAGTGCCCTTGGAGCCTTCGCGCCCCTGTTTGTCAGTTGACAGCTCGGGTGTTGGGGTGGGGTTCTCAGCTCCTCGCATGTGTGTGCTGCCTCTCCGGCCCCTCGTCTGCAAGCTCCACACAGGTCTGCCAGCTCTCGCCTGGCGGCTCCCCAAGGCACTTCTCGCCGCCTCTCTCCTGGGCAAATGAGTCATGGCTTGGCAGTGCCATTTCCTGTGTTCTCAGGAAAGGTGTTTGCATTTAGGGCTTGAGGTCGTGGTGACCACCCCCCCACCCCGTCCTGGGCTTGATTTGTGATGTTTTCCCTTTGTGAGTGGTCCAGATGAATGTGGCTTGGGGTGTGGATTATTATTACCATCATCAGTTATTATTATTGTTGTTGTTGTTGTCTATTATCGTTATTATCACATTATATGATTACGATGATGGGGCAGAGCCACATTCCACCGAGGGGGAGCCATTTCTTTTAATTGGCATCTGCAGCACCCTCACAGCAAGTGACCCCTCACTCAGGCTGCCACCTCCCAGCTGACAGCTTAAACCAGCTCTTCTGGGGCAGCTGGCACGTGCACATCCCGTGTGCCCATCTTGGAAGCATGGGAGGGCCCAGATTTCCTGGAGGGGTGCTTCTCCCCTCCAAGCAATTCCCAAACCCCAGGAGATGTCTGACAATTTCACCCAGTCCAGACCCTGTCTAGCCGGAGGTAGTCAGTAGCCCCCTGACGCCCCCACCTCACGGGGGGAGGGGAGGGGCTCCCAGCTCGCCCACAGCTCCTGTCCGACTTGCATGCGATGGCTAAACAGAGCAGCTGACATAAGCCAGGAAAATGCTGTGTTCCCATTCGTTAGAGGACATAGAGCCATAGCAGGTAGGTGCCAGGTGACCCAC